CTTACTACGCAATATAACAACATAAACAGACGATCGCAGAAAGCTCCGAAGGGCCCATTTAAGGACACCGAAAGAGGGCAACAAAAACCTAAAATAGGCACTCTAAAAATCAAACTTTTATCCGTTTACTTTGCTCACCTTCTGTGATGCGACACGCCATCACATTCTACTCCGTTTCACCTTGTGTTGTACCGCAGCCGACTATACGAGCCACCGGAGCCAATCCAACTCTGTCGCTGCCAGATGACACTGTGCTCGACGTGCCGTTGCGCCCAACAGACAGGCCACGTGACACACCTTCGGCACTGGATTGGCTCCGATGGCTCGCAGCATTCAGAGTAAAGTGCGGTATTGCATTTTGTGCTCTAGTAACTCACCACTGCCGAACTGCTACGCCAGAAGCACTCAGCAGACCCCACCAACTCTGCCGCCCCTACGCTCCATTCACCCCTACGCTGACAGGGCGGTAGGGGCCACGTGGTTGGTGGGCCAAGCTATTATTGACTCATGTCCGACCTCCACATCTGTATGAGAAAGGGGCGTGATAAGTGATGCAAGACTGACAATCGGCTGGTTCACCGAGCATGTAGCCTCCAGTGCCCTGTCAGTTAAGGGGTGAATGAAGTCTAAAGTTGGTATATAACAGCCGTCTACTGTCCCACTCTCAGGCATGCCACACTTGACCAGTCCAGTCGTTGATCTTTAAGCAGGGTTAAGCAATGACTGCCTCGTGCCACCACACATGAAGGTGTCCACGGAACAAAGCCGCATTTGTGTCTACTCGCACCTTTGAGAAAATTGGTCCTGCCAGAACCCACAGCTCGTCGAGGTAGAAAACTTTCGGGCCCTTTATTTCCTGTGTTGTACAACACCCCAAGAGGTACCTCTGTTGAAACGGAACTAGCTTGACCCCCTCGATCAGAAGCGAGGCCCCTTGCGGCCATTCAGCGCCGTCTACTCATTCATAGATGTTGCTCCTTTCGACAAAATGTCTGTGGCGACAGCTGGAGCTAGTGAAAAAGCGGACACCGTAGCTCTTCCCAAAGCACCCTGTTCTTCCTCAAGAGCGGCTAGTTCATCCAGGAACAGTGCAATGGTGCTTGGTGGTCTGTGATCGCAGACCACCATCATAGCCCCACCAACGGTGGCGGTGGCGGCCAACCGGCCGGCCGGCCGGCCGCCCCCCCCCCCCCCCCCCCCCCCACTGACGTCACTCAGGTGACAAGCATTTCACTCGCATGACGTGACTCCAAGCCATACTCACTATGGCTGGCGACAACCCATAAAAGGCATGCACTGGCCCTTTGACCCACGCTGAGTGCAGTGCAGGAAGTGGAACGGCATCGGTGACCCAGTCGCAGCAGTTACCCAGAACTGTTCTACTGCTGTCTCGGCGAAGGTGCAGGCCCGCTGTTTGATGCACGTAGGTAGAAGCCATCAGCCGCGAGCATCAGACACCTGGGGTGGAAAAGTCTGCACCCAACAAAACAATAACCATGAGAAGAGTGGTCTAGCCGGTGAATTGCAAAAACATAAAAAGCAGGCACATATAGAAGTATTTCTGTTACCTCGTCTCATGCTCAAGCATTATTTTGGATAGTATAGTATAATGCCTGTCTCGCAGTGGCTTTCTGAACAAAATGTAGTAGAAAATACAACCAGTTGAATACCAAATGAGAAGTAGAACAGAGAGGCACTTATTTGTTGTCACTTTAACATGCACATTATGGAAGAGCACAACTCTTCGCGATTAACCTGTAGCAGAATCGCTTAGCAGTTCTGCGGCAGGTGTGAATGTACCACGAGGCAGAATACAGCATTTGTGCAGAAAACACCATCGCAGGCCTACCAGGATGAACAGTAACATTATTTATTACCCGCCAAATTCGACGCGCCGGGAGGGCCATTCGCGAAGCCTGATCTGTTTGTAAATCCCGTCTTTCGACAGAACGCTTTTGCGACTGCACGAGCTCGTCAAAAGCTGACATTCCCAACGCGCTTGGTCCTTCTTTAAGTGCGATTACTGAATGCAAATGCGGCACAGGCGGCACCCGGGAGCCACATGTCACTCCCGTTGATTATCTCTACTATCTTCTTTGTCCCCGACGCTACGTGAGGTAGCCAAGCGCTATCAAATTCCACCACTGCGGTGTCGCATCGACGATCGAACGCCACCAGAGTAGGTAAATTCCACTCACCTTTTACGTTCTGAACAAGCGTCACACGGGCCTCCGTGTGGCGAGACGGGGCCTGGTAGCTTGCATGAATGCGCTGTGAACTTCACTGCCGACGCTCGTTCCCAAGCATTGAATAGCGAGTTTTAGTAGACCGCGTTTCCCGCTCCGCTAGGCCCCTCCGCTACCCGGAACTGTACAGCCAAGGCCATCGGCGCGCAGGCGCAGTGGCGGTTTCTTTGTAGCGGAGGGCTAGCGGAGGGGGAAACACGGTCTACTAAAACTCCCTAATATCACGACCAACTCCACTCGGCAATACGGCGGCACATAACACGACAACGTGTAATACAAGAAAGACCGCTGGAACCGACACGACCGCTCCAAAAAGCACCCACCAAACACTTGAAAAAACGAAAAGTAAAAACAAAAAATAAAATTGAAACAAGCAAAAACAAACAAAACAAAAACTTTCGTCACTTCCGGTTTGTGTTGTTTTGCTTGTTTTTGCTTTTTCTCTCAGCCAATAGGCGTTGCAACCTTACTGCGGCGAAACGCTCGTCAGTGGAAGACCGAACTGAATGACGCCATTTCGTTCCAGCGGGATATGATTTGTTATTTGTATGGGTTGGCGTTATTTCTGCCGCCGAGAACCGCGCAGGCGCGACCTTCCTTATCTGCCGCAGCGGCTTTGGCCCTAGAGCGGCGCGATTTCTGCCGTCGCGGCGCTCTGGCTCTGGCCAGCACCTGCGGTTGAGCGGCACGAGTGCCGCGACGGCAGAAATCGCGCCGCTCTAGGGCCAAAATCGCTGCATGTGAAACACTCTTTACTCGTTTGCTCGCTTCGCGATGCGACGCGCTCCTATCTGATGTAAACTGCGAAGGACATGCCGCTCCGGAGGGCAGTGATCCCACATCTTCTCTCATCGCTCTGGACAGCGGCCGAGCGAGCAGAACACGTAATTGCTGCATATAATATAATTGTGTTACACAAAAAAAAAGAAAAGAAAGTGGGCGAAAAAAAAAAGCCGTTTACAACTTTCTGTAACGCCGAATTAGAGCGCAGCTCCTGAGGAGGAGGGGGGAAGGGTACTGAGGAAAGGGTATACTTCTCCTTTCTCCTCCTCATCCTGCCTGCTACTCCTCCCTCCGAGTGGTGTAACCGTTAGGTCACGTGACATCACCGGGATAACGCGACCTCACGGGGGTCACGCGACTTGATGACGTCACTTGTCCCATAATGCACCGGACGGTTACGCCGATGGCGACGCCACTCAAGCCGAAACGGGCTCTAAAATACGTTTGGGTGGACGCCACGGATGCACATCTTTAAAGTCGCGAGACCCGTCAACAACTTCGTAGGGAAAAAGTACCTAGAATGGCGGCTGCACCTCTAATCGCCGTAGTTCCAAGGACAATCGGACCCCTCTGCTGGGACAGGTGCGCACACGTCTGCAACCGTTTTACTTTTTCTTTGTATTTATTTTCTTTCGCTTTTTTTGGGGTGAGATTGTGGGAGTGGGTCTTCTGGGGTTTTCGACAACCTGAACTGACAGGGCAGCTACGCGCACGACCGACCAATCGTCCGATCCCCTTTCACCACCAGTCTCCAATCTCTGCGTGTGGGTATGGGCATGAGGGTGATCACATGGCCATAAGTAGGTGCACAATTGGTTCAACAAGCACCTACCTTCCACCGCACAGTCAGCTTGAGGTAGACTCACAAATCACCTCTGGCGCAATTAATGCGTTCCATCTGTATGCGTACCGTTTCCTTTTTTAGTCCATCCGAGCTTTCGGGTTTATAAGGTTGTGCAGAAAACAAAAAAATCAGCTAACAAAAAAAAAAAAGAAAAAAAAAGAGTAATGTAAATGCAAATTGGGCTGTCAAACCAACAGAGGCCATCTGGCATGCCCTAGCGGAGGACTGAAGAATAATGTAGACCACCTGGGAATCTTTCGACGCGAGACCAAAAGCTTTGTTACATGGTGCAGTTTCTGCCATGAGCCTCCGTCAGTTTGTGTGCACCTCGGCCGAGATTTGAACTCGCCAACTGGGGATCCGTAGGCCGGCGCTTTGCCTCACAACCACCGAAGCGGCAAAAAGAAAGGGGTCCTTCTACAAAAATTACGAGTCTTTGAATGTGTGTGCTATGCTCGAACCTGGACGGTTGAGGCCATGAAAGCTTCGGAGGAGGAAGGGAAACGCGCATACACTGATGGTGGGAGCACTCGCGAGTCCTTACGGAGCCCAGAAAACCTCGCTGCTGCTTCCCGGCCCTAAACTGTAACTCCACTTCATGTCACGCCCCTCGATTTGGAAGATCACTGTTGTTCCAAAAAAAAGGCGACTTTGGTTACGTGCCTAGTTAGACAAAATGTTTTGTTAGATCCACTTGATTTTCGTAGGAGACATTATCGCAAACGTCTATACCCTTTTCTCTCCCATCTACCACCACAAAGCCAAAGAGTCTGCTGTTTTGCGGCTGTATCGTTTCGATTGATTCAATAGACTTAGAAGACTTGACTACAAGTTACAAGTTCAAACTTTATATGAAGATGTTACGTTTCACATGTGGAAACGTCTGACGAGCAAAAATGTCTGATCAGATCCTTTGTGCATCCATTACTTTCATAGCGTTGCGACACTTTGTATTTCATTCTTTTTGTCATTCGCATTTTTTGCTGCGCATTACGGCTATCATGGTGCCAAGTACGAGTTTGAGCATAAAAATTCGGGTAACAAACACTCACAAAATATCTCATTTGCAAGATTAGCAAAATTGAATTTAACCAAGCTCAGTTAAAAACAATGAAGAGGAATTCTCGTAATACTTCACATTTTATTGACACATGTAATAAAGACATATTGGTAAAAAAAGAGAACATTCCTAGAGTAGTTACACAGAACCAATTAAAAGCTAAAATGTGTTGAAGGGGTACTAAACCACTTTCTACGATAGTCTATGGTCATAGTGAAATCTATAGGCTCCAACATACTAAAAAAAGAACATTACATTAATGCGTGGCCAATTTCTCCATCAAAATCGCTATCAAAAGATCGACACCAGATGTCGCCATCGGACGAGGAGGGCAGAGCCCTGTCCGTCCTCATGCAACTGCGCCATCTGATGTCAATCACAGTGTCGAGGTAACCAAATTTTTCATACCGATCTTATTAGAGAAAGTGGCCAGGCATGAATGTGAAGTTTCGTTTTCTAGGATGTCTAGAGTCCATAGATTGGGTTATAGATTGAGCCCATAAATAGACTATCGCAGAAAGTGTTTCAGCCAGTGTCCAGGTTTCCTATATCACTGCTGTTTACAGTTCCTATCGAAGCGTTCTTCGTCTTCTGGGCCCCCGAACAGGATATCACTGGAAAACTGCTGCCCAGATTCAACTGAAAAAAAAAAAAAAAAAAGAAGACATGAAAGTGGAATAAAAGTTGACAAAATCTGACTGGACTAGAAAGAAAAATCAGTAGCAGCAGTTTTCTTGCAAACATCGAGCATCGCGTGCAAGCCATTGCATGTTGTACTTTTGGGCGAGTAGGTGCAGTAAAATTGTCCGTGAAGTTGGTGCAAGGCCCTTCGTGATAATACAGACTATGGTTGACAATGTCCCCGTAACCATTTATGGGACAGCCCCAGAACATGTCCGACCTGCATACAACTGGACCAAAGGTTTTGCAACTGGTGCAAGGACGCCATCAATCGGGCAGCCCCAAACCATGCTTGATCAACAGAGCATAACTATAGGTTCTGTGGCATTTAGGAGATCATGACTACGCCCCATCCATAAGAGATTGTTGCTTATAACTAGGGTCGTTTTCGGGGTTTATTTTTCTTCAAATTCGTAGGGGGGGGGTGGGGGGGGGGGGGGGGGGGGGGGAGTTCTTTGGACGGGTTATTTTTTCCAACAAAATGGGTGTTTTGACCCCTTACCGTTCAGGATGACTACAGTTTGTCCGATTTCCTCGGATCATGCACCTAACCGTTTTGAACGAACCAGGCTCGCTCGGGACTTAGTTTGAAGCTCTACCAACAAACGGCAACACTGAATTTTTTTTAAATGCTGCTCTCATTTTTGTTGTGGCTAGAAGCTCGATTTTGAAGGCAACAAATGTACATTTTGAAGACAACAATTATGCAATTGAAGGACAGAAATTTCACACAAAAAAAAAAAAAAAAGGGTTAAGGGGTGAAGCAATGCGCCTTGCGAGTGGGAGAGGGGGTTATACAAAGCCCCGCCTCCTCAAGGGGGTGGGGGTTGCGGATGTAAACATATCGGCGTCGGCAATGGCGGACGTGCTGTTGGGCTGTAGCCGTGAGTCCTTTGCGTAATTGCTGGTTAAAAAAAAAAAGAGAAAAGAACGTTCCGCTTCTGTCCTGTGTGATTTAGAGGTCGGCTCCAATCAGGCGCTGTCCAAGGGGCAGTGTTACCAGGCGAAATGAAAACGTGGTGCAACTTCAGATGTGGTGGGTGCATTCACGATGGTGTGTCACATTTTAAATTTCCGAGAGGATTGACAGGAGTTTTTTCGTGATTTGGTGAATGGTGGTGCATGTCCGTTCTTAGTAGGTGGAGCGATTTGTCTCGTTAAGGGGGGACACTGGCTAGAGGTCAAACTTTTGAACTACTCAAGTGATCGGAATCAAATTTGCAGGGGAGCTTTAGCTTCAGATGTAAGTGTACTGTGCAAACTTTCGGCTCTCTAGGACAAATTTACATACCTGCATAAGATGATGTGTCACTTTTCATTAAGAAATCTATGATATGCAAATGAAGCTATTAAGCATCATTTTGACTGCTTGAATATAAAGTGGGGGATATGAGACCTCGGGCTATCTAGTTTTAATAACTTAAAAGTAAATATTTCAGGAAGAGTTATTACCTCAAACTATGAGATGCATATCTGTCCTCTGTCAATTTTTGAAAACTTAGTGTTTTATCACTAAGGGCTTCAACTTAAAACAAAATAAAGTAGATAGCCCAATTCCTGAGTAAATTTCAGTTCAGAAACATCTTGATTGTGGTATCAGAATACTTTCACCTTCGAACAAAAGATTCCTTCGTATAAAATTTGCAGCAAAAAGTGGAACTGAGAAAAATGCATTCAAAGATTGAACTCCTTTACTTTGTTACTGCCTCACAATGTGTTGAAAATATTTTATATCAACGTAACTATTTGGCGTATGGTTATGAAATTTGGTGTAAGGGTGTATAATTAGTTTCTAAAACTGAAAACCTCAAAATTAAAAAATGAATTTTTTCAAAAAAATTTTAAATTTAGGCCCATGTCCCCCCTTAATTCCAATAACGAACGAGACTCTAGTTAGATAGGCGTGCGTGGTTTTCTGCACCTTGCACCCTTATTAGAGGGACAAGCGGCTCCTAGCCGCACGAAACAGAGCAATAACAAGTCTGTGATGCCCTTAGATGTCCGGGGCTGCACGCGCGCTACACTGAAAGAAACATCATGTTTTTATCCCTGCTTTTAAAACAGTAAGCTTTGAAAAAAAGTGACTCGAGCAAATACAGAGGGCTAATTGAAGTCCATCAACTTATCCCCAAGCAAGTGTCTGTCTGTTTAAATAACAGAGCATAGAAAAAGAAGTTTTCATAAAATTTCGCCAAAAATAAAAACATAAATTACTTCTTGGTGTCAACGTGTCTACGACATAACTTCCGCGATACGCTCGACGCCACGCATGAAAGGAAGGAACTTGCGGACGCTAACCACCCTCGTTCTCGGTTGTTAGCAAGCAAACCTCGGTGCGTCGGCCACCTCGCCCGTGAGTCCTTTGGCTTCGCTCTTTGATAAGTGTCTGCTAGTTGTTAGACAAAAACACATCATACAGCTCGAGTTATTTCATCTGCCCTCTCTGAAAGGCAAAGTCTGCCTCGCTCGTAAAGGTAAGACAGCTAGTAGACGACGCTGCAAAAGAGCAGACGACGCTGGAAAAGAGCAGACGCTCAGATAGGGGGTCTCAGCAACCCCCTATTTTTCCGCTCTAGCCAATCAGAGCTCAACGTTCTGACGTCACCGCAACCCCTGCGCAAGAAGCAGACGAACTTGCCCCTTGCCCTCCGCATTGGCTTCCTTAGGATCTTCAGGACACTTTAAAGTATGTTTCTGGCCGTTTGTTTACCCCGCTAAATTTAGCAAGGAAAATGACATCACACAACCTATGTCACGCGACCTGTAGGCAAGTTCAGTTTCCCCGCTAAATTTAGTGGGAAAATTTACGTCGTGTAACCTCAAGACCAATTCGGTTTCCCCGCTAGATTTAGCGGAGAAAACGACATGGCTCAGTGTCGCGTGACCCCGACGCAAATTCAGTTTACCCACTAAACTTAGAGGAGAAATTGACAGGAGACTTGCTGCGGCTTCCCATTATGTCTGTAGCTAAACGTTTAATTAGATAACAGCATACAGTGCAATCCACTTATAAAGATTATGAGAAAACCCAAAGTTCATTCGTTTTGACCGATTATCATTGTATCTGGACTAGAAGATGAATGTTTATAGTCTTTAAACTCTAAAAACTGATCGTTATAAGCAGTACATCGTTATGTCTGGTATCTTTATAAGCGGATTGCACTGTACTGTCAAGACCGGTCATAACTAGGTCAACGGGAATCAGAAGTAACTTCGCTATATCCGCTATTTTGTTATAACCGACTTCGGTTATAACGAAGTGCAAAAGGGAATGGGCAATCGCGATCGCTTTGCTGTAGCCGCCATTTCGTTATAAACAATGTAGTTATAACCGGTCTCGACATTAGTCGGTTCTGCCCAAATATGTTTTTTCAGTGTCAATTTTCGGCATTGGGCAAGAAATCGGCATTTGTTGGACCTCAAGTCGAAGAAACGGGACACGGGCTTGGAGTTGCCCAACCTCCAGAGCACATACTTGTGCACCGATTGCTTGGAAAACGTCCCGGCACCGACGAGAGAAGGAAACAAGATGAGGGTGTCTGGTTTCCAAAAAAAGAACAACCCTCACGGACAAGTTCAGTGTGGTTGTGTTCGAGGTAAACACTCAATAAAACTGCAGTTGAAGATCTTTTTTCCTTTTTTCCGGTATGCCTGGGCTTGTTTTAGCACAGGAAAGCTTCAATTCAGAGCGTTCTGGTTATCCCCAACCTCGATAAAACTGGACAAGAGTGAATGTTAGAAAATATTTCCACACATCTGATGTCTTCCGGACATAGCGGATAGGTGACACCAGCACGCGCTCTCTCGTACGCGGTGACAATGCACTTTACCACATTCGTAAGGAAATGTGTCGTGGTGGTCAACATCATGGAGGCAACCATAGGCGACTGATGGCGGCGATAAAGTTTATTCTCGTGTTTTGAAAACGTCCCAAGTTTACGGCCCATTGTGGCCTAGCTCGGACATCCGTCACTGAGATCGGCATTTGGTGTATCTCCACGAGGAACAATATCCCCATCCAGGGAAGAAAAAAAATATCCGTCCTCATGAATATTCCTTCGGCAAAAGACTGAGCTCGTACAAACAAAACCACCTGGGACCTAATTGGCGCTTTAAGAATGTGACACATTTGTTCTGAAAACCATAAAAAAAAAAAAATGAAAAAAAAAAAAAAAATAATTTCTATAGTTGTTTTTACCTCGAGAAGAAACAAAGGCTTGCATATTGTTTGTATGCAGCGCGAAGCAGTTCTAAGATGATTTGGTTGTCGGAAGAAGGCATGCTTTTGAAGTTTGAAGAGTATGCCTGTAAGTTCACCCTCACCAGTATTTTCCGTGGCTGCCTCGGTGCACAGTGGACTCGTCGCAGCGTGTTTCGTCGGTTTTGAAACGCACGTGCAGTGTTTCCTGCAATAGAAAGGAACAGGAAGTTATGGCAATAACACCGGTACCACAAACCGTTTTTTTTTCATTTTAAGACCCGACTTCAGCGCAGCTGAAAATAAGAGTAGCTCCGCCCCCCTGAAAAATAAAGAGTTTCCGTCCCCGAAAAACTAAGCTATGCGTCGCCAACGCTCCTCCTCCGCCCAAATGTAGAGCTAGCAATCCAAACCAGACGGCAAAGTTTCCGAACTAACCGTCGTCCCAATCAAAAGTTATAAGCGATCTTCCGAAAATTTTGATAAAAAAATGGGGCCCCTTTTGTACAGTCTTCGGTAACCAGCGCCCATTCGGCTTTACATATTTGAGAGCCTCCGGAGCCATTATTTCCCGTTAAAAAGCGGGACGTCCCCACCACTCCGGCCGTGGTCTACGCAAAACGTGCCACAGGAACACGGAGCTAATACGCCTTCCATATCAAAAAAGGGAGACTCCCTTGCCTGGCAGAGACCAGGGCCTTCATCTGACGCTGCAGCGTGTCGTATTCCCGGTTGCGCAGCTTTAGCTGCGCTGCCAGGCGCTCCGCACGGAACTCCTCCACGATGCCGCCGTGGTCGAGCTGCCGTCCGTACTGCAGCAGACGCGCACCCTCCCTGGACCGCGGCGTCATGGCTGCCAAGTCGGCGGCGGTCAAGGCGTGACCGCACGGAGCCGCATTGGGCGACGTTGGCCTGGGCTGCAGGACTGCGAGAGGAGAGATGATGTACACGGGTTGGAGGAGCCAAAGCCAAATGTTTTTTTTTTTTTCGTGCCAAGCCGACGAAGGGCATCTGAAGCAACCTGGCGGAGGACCAAGGGTTACTTTCGACCACCTGGGATTCTTCAGACTCCGGAAGAAGGTGCTGCGTTAGACGGCGCCTTCTTTGAAGCGACTAGCTTTCTTAGGACCTTCGGGCCACTTTGAGGTTCATCTCTGGCCGTTTATTTCCCCCGCTAAATGTAGTGGTGAAAATAACGTCTTGCACCTTGATGTCTTCACCTATGCAAAAATTCAGTTTCTCCGTTAAATTTAGCGGGGAAAAATGAAGTCTCATGATGTCACGCAACTTGCACGAATTCGGTTTCCCTCTAAACTTACCAGGAAAATCGACATTGCACAATTTCAATATCAATTCAGTTTCCCCACCAAATTTAGCGGGGAAAATGACGTCGCATGGCTCGGGGTCACGTGACCGCCACACAAATTCAGTTTATCCGCTAGATTTAGCGGGGAAAATTGACACACGACCTGCCGCACCTCTTTGAATTATGTCTGCAGCTAATAGCTTAACAATATAGTTGGTTCTGCCCGACTTATTCCGCATTAAGCTTCTGTCAGATGGGTGGGGATTCAAACCAGCCACCTAAATGTAAGCTGGCCCCTTGGCTTGGAGCTACTGAGGCTGCTTGTTTTAGAAAATTACAACCTGCGAGACAGTGGCACCTTTTCAAACCTGGCGCACGCGGCTTCCGTGCCAAAAGGAAAAGAGCAATGCAAGCTCACCAGTGCTGTTCAGCTCCCTCTGGTGCAGCCTGCGGACCTCGGCTTCCAGCTCAACCTCCCGCCGCTTGTGGGCCTTCTTGGTGGCCTTGAGGCTACGGACACGCCACCGACGCCAATATTAGTCCCCAGCAGACAGCAGAGAAACAGATGCTACGAAGCAAGTTTTCCTCGAAGGAGCTGCAAGTAGGCTTTGTCCCAATGCGCTGCTCACTTAGGTCCCGACTAAGAATGTCTCAAACCTGCGTCGAACCCCAGGTTCGACTTGTCCAACTTTCGGCAAAATTCAACAAAATTCGACATTTGAACAGTATTGCCAAACTGCTACGCAGCATTTTGAAATATTAAGCCACACAACTTAAAAGCCTAACCACAGAGTGCAGTCGAAGTTTGCAGCCTATAAACTCTAAAGTATGGTTGGGGCCACAACATGTTTGCAATGAACGCATTGTTAGAACCAAAACGACTTACTCCTCCTCTAGTGACTGGAGCCTCAAGCAGAGCCTATCCATCTCCTGCGCTGACCAGCGGTCAGTCTGGACGGCTGTTGACTGGCAGGGTGCAGGTGTTGTCTGTAAGGAAACCATTGTGAATTAAGAGTGCGGGATATTACAAAAATGAGAGAAACATTGTCCATCTCTTTGCCACTTCCCAAGGGCATCCTAAATGCATAGAATTTATAGGGCCTCTTCGCACCCCTTTCGTGGGCACGATTAGTTCACACAAAAGTGCATTACCATATAAGTACCTGTATATGCCACACTTGTGTAAGGGCCTGGCCCTGCATATTTAAACCAATGTTAGAAATTGACGTGCATTACCCTCCCCCTCTCTTTCCGAAGTGCAACGAAGTGCACTGGAGAACTCAAAAGAGCAACTCCGGCCACTGTTGCCAGTGTCGAGCGCCGAGGACATCGCAGGTTACAACGATCGAGACAGAAATAAAGGCGCTCGAGACCACTGTGTGCGATCACAAGTTACATACATTTTTTGAGGCACATCCAAAACTATGGTTTTTCTCAGTTGGTCGGCTGCACCTAAAAAATTAACCCCGTAATAAATAAAGTACGACCCTCCTGCGCAACTTGCACGGTAATAGACAAGTTGCAATAAACCCAGTCCACACGTGAAGCATCCTATTAACCGTTGGAAGGTAAAGTGTGCTGTCTCTCGCGGCATCTGCGATGTGAAATGGAGGCCAGAGGGGGAAGAAAGAGACAAGATATTGACCTATCAGATAAGAATAGGTTCTACTTAATGCGACAATGCTAATACAGATAATGAATTTCAACAAATTTTATGCAAGTTCGACTTTGCACAAAAAAACAACCTACCAACTTGCATGATGACCTACTAACATGCAAAGGAAAAAAAAAAAAAAAACATTTCTTTAAAACAGACTGGACGGGAAAAGAACACCATAAAATAAATTTACAACAAACTAAAAATTCTTTTCTACAGCTATATTCACGGCGCAAAAAATAATTTATAGTTGGTGTCTGCGGAAGCCGCCACTGGTCAACTGGTAGACCTGTGCGCCGCTGCAAAGTCACACCGCCGCCGCACGCTGAGCAGGGCGCGCCACCGGTTGAATGCGTTTCTCCACACCGCCGCCCACCGGCGCGCCGCTGCCACCAATTTCTAAAAGTTACTTATTAATCTTGGCTCCTGCAGGCGCCAACTGCAAATTCGTATTTTGTCGTAAATAAAGCACTAAATTTTTTTTTCGTTGTAAATTTTGTTTTACAACATTCTTTTTCCATCTCCCGTAGAATACCGCGCATCCGCCCATTTCACGCTAAGTGCCCACTCCCAAATCTGCAAGATCTGGGAAAATATTCACAGTACATTTATACGTAAAATTGATCACCGGACAAGCGTGTGTCCGGTGTCCTACAAAACGAGTCAGAAGTCTCATGTACCTTGGCAGAGTGTTGTGGTCTTGCACGATGCACTTTTGCCCGAACTTCCCCCGCCTTCTCGGGAGACGAAATGCTCTCCGCCGTGCACTCCGTGCTCGGCCGTTCCCCGGAACGTACTCGTTTCGGATTCCTGCTTCCGGGAAGGTCGTCCGCGGCACTGGAACGTGCGGCCGCCCGAATGGTTGCAGCGAAACACGCAGGGGGAGACGCCGCAGGAGCCTGAACGGATGCATAAAATAAAGAAAGCACCGACAGTCGCACTTTGCACTGCCCTAAAGATGTCTACTTCTGCTGGTCGTCACAAACGGTAAAGCAGGAAGACTCAAAGTCGCAAGACTCAACCAAACAGTAGCCAGATAAAGTCGACGATGTCAACATCGTCGTGCGTGGCACTTCAGAAAGAAAGCCCCGCCAATGGTACAGCACGAGTGAATGTGAATTCCGCACCTCTTACGGGTGCACACCCGTCTTGAGCCTGCTATTTCGAGTCTCTCTGTTTCTTCCATACCATGCGCTTGTTCTTTTCTCATTTTCCTCCTGCACTCGCCTCCCGCATGTGCAAGCATGATCGCTACCCTCTTACCACATTTCATACTCCTGCCTCCTGTGTGTTGGCTCAACATTGGAATCTCAACCCAGTTTTCGCGTCGCTTGTGCGGCTCATCATAAAGTGAAATGTAATGTATCATCCAGCAATATAATAATAAATTTTGCGCTAAAAGTACTTTAGAAACCTTGCTGTGGGACAGTAAGCAACACGCTGTCATAACAAAGGGACTTCATGCTTTGGCTTGAATGACGGAAAAAGTATGCAACCGGGGAGAAAGAAGAGACATACCTGACACGATGGCTGGCGACCACTTGTGCTGCTCCATGGCTCGTCAACTGGCTTCAGGAACGGAAACTTCGCCCTCGCCGAGAGTCGACGTGCCAGCTCGTCGGGATGGACCCCGCTGCTGCCTGTAGAGGACTTTTGGCAGTCCCCAGGTGGAGCGGACAATGGGCGGAACAAATGATTGAACAGGCACAGCAGACGATGAAACAGGTGGAACGGGCAATGAAACCAGTGGAGCATGCAATGGAACAAGTGAAGCAATGGGTCGGGTGGCCGGCGTGTGATGAAGTGGAGAGAACAAACGTGTGCAAAGCGGGCTTAACGGGGTACGGCACCTGCTACCAAGCCCGGTTTGCACGACTAGAACGAATGATGTAGAAAACAGTTAAGAAACTAGAGGCACGCATAATGATACTTTGTGGGAACATGACTTCGTGAATTTTTAAAGCGACAGCTTTAAGGAGCTTGTGTCGCAGAAGACGGGAAAATCTTGATTGGTCGATGGAGTCGTGGCTTAACAGCCACACGACCTCCACACAGGAATTTCCAACAATCCACAACGCTCACGTGAAACGTGACGTCACGCGTGGGATGAAAGGGATTAAAACATGACATGTAACGCGAATTAAAGGTTGCGGCATGTTTCGAACGATTTTGCTTTATAAAGTAATTAATTTGCATTGAAAGAAAAATCCAAAGAATTTCAGGCAGGGGCTGGATTCGAAACTATGACCCTTTTGCTGCGAGCCAGATACGCTACCAATTAAGCCACGCACACATGCTTGCACAGGTTCAGAACGGGCGGTGGTTTATATTTAGCTATCACGTTCCACTCTTAAATGCGAAGGTTAAGCATCCTCCTGTAGCTTTTTGCCGTTGTGTTTCTAAAAAGATATTGTCAGGCACTAAATTTTCCCCACTTGCACTAGTCAAGAAAGGAAGACCTTTCCACTGCCCAAGTAGTTCTAATGAAAACCTCTAGATTAAGAAAAAAACAATTAAAACCAGAGATTGCACGTTCACGCTAACAGCGTCTCGTTACGTGCATCCATCAGCCGATGGTGCACAACATACCTACAGAAACCCTCCGGTTCATTCAGACAGAAACTACAGTAGAATCTCGGTTCAAAAGGAGCACTGCTTCAAGAGCATTTTTCTTTACAAGTGGCCCAATTGAAGTGGTATCCCTAGAGAATACCCACCTTGCTCGAAGGTCTTTCGGCCCAGTTGGCAGTCCAGGGCACGTCCCTCGGCGTCAAGAAAGGGAACCTTGCCCTCGCCGCCTCCGCACGAGATTGTTCTGCCGAGACGGTCTGCGACACAACGTCGCTGCCCGAACAGTTGTGGATGTCGTCATTCGAGGTTCCCACTAGATCCTGCCGAGGGGTCGCCGAGATGACCGCGGGAGGTGCGTGGACGGTCCCGACACGTGCAGTCTGCCGCAAAGCGTCGCTCTTGGGATGGCTCGACGTTGCCTGCGTACTAATGGTTTTCAGGGGCCTCGGCGTGACATTGACACCGACGTCCCTTGCGAGACCTTGCGCCAACGGCGAGGTTGCTGCGTCTCGTTCGAAGAAGCTCCTCGACACCGCTGTCTCCTTGTCTTTGCCAATCTTCACCACTTGGCAATCGGTTAGAGTGCCGGCATTCACAACGTTTACGAGCGGAGTCCTGTCCGTCATGGTTTCGGCGTGCACCATCAACACAGCCTCAGTTCCAACACCGGCACGGGACACAAAGTAGGTCTCGTTTAACTGGCCCGCCACAACATCCCCAATGCCCGTGATAGCCCCCATTCTGCCGAATGACGCAGCCATCGCGCACGACGGCATGGCAACCGCTGAAGACTCGTAGACGGCAGTCTTCAGATGCAGAGAGTTCCTTGCAGGGCAGACTGGAGTCGTCTGAGTCTCGACCGTCACCGGCGGCTTGGGTGGAGTCTTCGCGACGCAGTCCTTTTCCAGACGCTGCGCAATCGGAGAGGTCGCGACGTCTTGCTCGAAGAAGCTCCTCGACACTGCTGTCTCCTTGTCTTTGCCGATCTTCACCACTTCACAATCGGTTAGAGTGCCGGCATCCACAACGCTCACGAGCGGAGTCACGTCCGTCATGGTTTCGACGTGCACCATCGACACAGCCTCAGTTCCAACGCCGGCACAGGACACAAAGTAGGTCTTATTTAACTGGGCCGCCACAACTTCCCCAGCACCAGCGATAGCCCCCATTCTGTCGAAAGACTCAGCGATCACGTACGACGGCATGGCAACCGCTGAAGACTCGTAGATGTCAGACTTTTCATGCAGAGAGTTACTTGCGCGGCAGCCCGGAGTTGTCTGCGTCTCCACTGTCACCGGCGGCTTGGGTGGGGTCTTCGCAACGCAGTCTCTTTCCAGACGCTGTGCAATCGGAGAGGTCGCGACGTTTTGCTCGAAGAAGCTCCTCGACACTGCTGTCCCCTTTTCTTCGACAGTCTTTGCCTCTTTGCGGTCTGTCATTGTGCCAGCGTCTGCAACGCTCGCAACCGGCGCCACATCCGTCATGGTTTCGACGTGCAACGTCGATATGGCATCCGTTCCGACCGCGACGTCCGACGTGAGGACGACTCCGTCTAGCGCTGTGGACGTGCTCCCGTCGACGACGTTCGGCGAGACTTCCACGCAGACGTCGACTGCGCTTCGGAGTGGCAAATGGCAAGAAGTGCCCCTTTCCCGCGCATTGACACGGTCCGTAGAGCTGGAGGCGTCTCGCATTCCGACCGCCGGCGTGACGACGTCCGTCTGCACTCCGACAGAGCACATGACGACAGGAGACGAATCGGACCGCTCGACAAGGTCCATGTCGGAAGAGGTGTCTCGAAGTTCGAATGTCATCAAGTCCGTAAACTCGGGCTGCAAGTCCGCCGCCCAGGCGTCGTCGAAGTTTGTCGCAGCAGCAGATGACGATGCCGCCACGAGAAAAGGACTGTGACCCTGTGGAACGAGTGGACGACTGCACGCCTTTTGAGCTGCCATCGTCTGCAGGGCGGCTACAGACATGACCGGGGTGACCGTGGCTTCGGGTGGGGACTTTGAGCCGCAGCCATTGCTTCCAGAGACGGCGGGGGAGAGGGTGACTGCTGCATTCTGCACACCTTTGGGCTGAACTTTGTGAGAGGTCTGCAAGTTTCGAAGAGAAAAAATGGAAGACGTTTACAGTTCTCTGTAATGCCAAATTAGAGTGCAGCTCCTGAGGAGGGGAAAGTACGGAGGGGAGGGTATGCCCCACCTCCCCCTCCTGCTTCCTTCCCACTTAGCGGCAAATTTTCCCCAAATTTAGCGGGGAATTTAGCGAAAATTTCCCCGCTAAACTTAACGGGAAAACTGAACTGGTGTTTAAATCACGTGATGCCAATTTCCCAACTAAATTTAACGAAAAAATTTCCCCCTTAACTATAGTGGGGAAATGTCCCATAATGCAACGAGCCGTTATGCCGACACTGCTCAACCCGGAAACGGGCGCCTAAGAGCTGCGCTCCAAAAATAGACAGTCAAGCTCAGTTCACCCACGTCCAGCCACAACGGATGCCACGAGCCGTCGAAGTCAATCCAAAGCCGTGCAAGCGTCATGGGACCTCGGACCGGCCAAGACAGGTTGTAGCATCCGCCGCGATTGAACCCGAAGTGAAACGAAGTGTTGAACCACCCAAACGAGCTACGCCTGGAGTATCCCCACCCAGTTCTCCGATTTTCTATTGGACACCGCCATTTCGGTGCAGAGCAGGTACCAAGATGGCCAAAGTGTCGCTGTCTCAAGAGCAGCCGATTTAGTGACTCCGACGCTTAGACAATAAAGACACGTTCCCCAATCTTGTGCCACCCTGTGGCGATCGCGAGAATCGTAACTCACGCTGCACATGAGTCTCTCCAGCGTAGTGAGCTCCTTGAGTTCCTCGTGCTCGCGGCGGAGACGCGCCAGCTCCGACTCCAGCTCCAGTACCCTGCAAACGTTCGAAGGAGGAAGGGAAATTCTCCGGGAGTCCGTGCCAGACAAGCGAGCTGCGGAGCCAGGTGACAAGTACAGTGTAGACCGCATATAACGTATGTCGCGGGAGTCGCGAAAATCCGCACTATAAGCGGTACCTCGCTATAACCAAAACATCAATTTTTCAGGCCAAAATACATGCCATGCATGTGACAACTTACCTTTGTAAAAGAATTTATTTTGTGTTAGATGAAAAATAAAGCTTAGTTTGAGGAAGGTCTTTATTTCACCATACTTGTACACTTCTCTCTTAAGTGTGTCACACATTTTGAAAGAAATGAGCGACTTTTGCCTGGCGCAGCCTTTTAACGGCGTCGTGGGTTGCGGACGGACGTTGCGAGCGTTCAGGATTGTTAAGCCTAATCACTTTTCTGCGGCAATGAAAATGCGTGCAAATCCGCACCCTTTATACGGTACGCACCAGTAATACCCCCAGTAATACCTTCATTTCATGCCTGTGCATTTCATGCACAGGCATGAAATGCACCAAATAAGAAATCCGGGCGATGTTCGAAAACACAAATGCTTAGAAATCACCACTGTAGTCGAAGTAAACAAACACGACGACACGGGCGTTTCTGCTGTCTTGAGAGTTCCGCCACGACATCGCCGGACGAGGAGGTGGATCTTCCCTTCTAGCACGTGCTGGGTTATCCTAGCGACACGCACCGAAAATTCACAGTCAAGGATAGCGCTTTTATGCGGAACGATGAGCTTCCACCACGCCGTCTACGTCGACGATCACAACCGACGCCATGTTTGCGGATAGAAGCCGGACCGCGACCGGCATGCAACGTGCGCGAACACTTCTCCTCGACCTGCGATTGGTCCGTCGTTGCGGTTGTTTCCAATGCAGCGGAGGGACGCACGCACGTGAACGGCACTTGTGTGCGTCCCTCCGTCGCTATGGCAACTGAAGCCTCTCTCTTCGCTTCTTCGAGCAACCTCCTTGCCCTGCGAGTGCCGCTTGCAGCTAGCGCCGTTATCTAGTGTCGCAGAGGGAAGCGTGCTCGCTGCGTCGGTTGGTCGCCACGGTCGGCGGGCTGTTCCAGAAACCGCACTATAACCGGTATTTCCCTTCGCGCGCCTGCATTTTAAGCGGTATGTAATTACATGGAGTTCTATGGGAGGCGAACCGGTGGTTTAAAAAAGCCGCGTTATACCCGGTCCTGCACATAAGTGGTTACGTTGTAAGTGGTCTATACTGTAAATAACTGCGGGTAACACAAGTAACGACATCCAGTCACTATAAATCCTTTGGCCCCTAACCCTGCCATTGTAAACTAAAAGTCGAATTTGAGGGTTTTACGTGCCAAACCAACGACAGGCATCTGGCAAGCCCCAGTGGAGGACCGAGGATTAATTTGGACCACCTGGGGATCTTTTGACCTGCAACCTAAAGCTCGGTTACACGGCACCTCCTCCGCAATGCCATTGTAAATTGACGCTACCACAAAGCGTTGGAAATCAAAATGCAGTCTCCACACGAAAACGGCATTTCTTGTTGGGTTTGCAAGTACGTACATAGGAAAGAAAAACAAAACAAACACGACAGAAGGACAAGAGTAAAGGACAAGAAACAAAATGCAATGCAAGTGCTGCACTGGGAAGAAGTTCGTAAACAATAATTGATTGGAATAACCTGCCAGCGCATTACCATCGAAGATTGAACAAAATTTCATGAACTCACGTGCGGTGATAATTGTTTCGTTTTTTCCTCCTCTACTCGTATGTATTTTACTTATGTTAATTCTTTAAAGAGTTTTAGCTTGTTTTTGTATATTTTGTTTTATATAGAGCATTTTAGGGGTACATATTTATTAAATAAACCACAATCTGTTGCTGATAAAAAGAAATGCAAGGAGTAGAAGGGTATGCACTTGGGCTGGATAGTTCCGACGGTTAAAGCGCTAAAAACAGCAGACAAGTGAAAGAGACGAACAACACAGAGCGTTCTGTGTTGTTCGTCTGTCACTTGTCCGTTGTTTTTTCAGCGCTTTTACCCTCTGAAATACAAGGAGGATTTCACGAAACTAGCAGCGTTCCACCGTGGTTCCCAAGAAGGTCCTGTCGATGTTAACAGAGAGCCTTGGCAGTGATGGGTGCCAGACAACGCTCATCAAGCCAGCAGGGAGCCAACAGTCGCAAAGCTCGACCTCTATCTAGCTGCATTTGTGAATCTCATTACTAAATTCTAGCACTTCATCTTCAACCAAACTCTAGGAAAATGCACTGGCACGCTCAAATAGCCATTCCACCAACACCGAGGAAAGACAAAAAAAAAAAGGTCACTGGAATAACCCAGCAAACGCCCACTCAAAATGTGGAGATAATCGTGTGAAACGGGAGATGGGCGTTCCTTAGATCAACACGTAAAGATATGTTTTTCGTGCACTTTCCGGATGCTACAAAATTGCGGGATGGGCGGATGCTTGGTATTTTACGGTAACCGTTTTATCCCCAGAAATGCCGCGGCATACAAAAGCCAGTCACAAAACAGGTGGCTATCTTGGTACCCTAGGAGTGCAATTCTTCTAGTGTTTACTTTATTAGGAATGGTTCATAACACAAGAATGTAGGAGGGCATGCTTGATTGTTTAACAATTGTTTTTTCCCAAACTCCACAGCAAATCGTGGCTGTTGTAAAAAGACAATTGCTTAACATATTTGTCCATGCTGAACCAACTCGCCACTAGAGCAATAACAGTAACAAAAAGTTTGTTATTGTCACTTTGTACAACACCGCTGACGATAGCACCTAATTTAGCTGTATGGGCACATTTTGAAGCGGAAGAAAAGTGCAGTGATAGGAGAAACAAGAACTAACCGTTCCACGCAATTCTTGTTGGTGCATGCCTGAAAAAAACAACATAATGGTGAGAATTTTAGCACAATGTTTTAGTACCTCTATTAGATAAACAAGTACTCGAAAGAGCAAGTGGCTCTTACTCGCATGCGCAAGTAGCTTTGACAATGTAGGAGCATGGCAAAATCTATGCTAACCTTAAATAGGCGACATAAAATCGCTCATACAAAGTATAACAATAACTCTGGGCACCGGTCTACAAGCAGTGCCGAAGATTATACAAGAAAAAAACGAAAACAAATCTGGCAACGAGGCTCTTATGCAACTTTCTTGTTTAGCGCAGACGTGCGTCTGTACACGGCGTGCTGTGGTCGAGGCGGCGTTGCTGTGTGGTGTTGACTCGCCACGAACACGGAGCTCGGAATGGGACGCTCCACAAATGTCTGCTTGCGGCGTTCCAGGAAATCTTTATTTATGCTGTTTGCATTGTGCTTTGTCTTAAACGTCGCACAACCTTACTAACTGCGGTTGCGACGTTCTGGGAGAAGGAGCAGGTTTGCGGTAACCTTACTTTGGTGGAGACAAACTTTGACCTTTCAGTTCGTGTTTACATTTCAGGATATGGGGCGTGCATTAACCTTGCGATCCCTGAATGGGTTACTGCTTGTGTTGTCTTTCTGACTTCCTTTCTTGTCCAAAATTTTTTTTTTGTAAGCATTTTATTTTGTTATTTTTGTAGCTTTTCTTTCGCACGCATGTACTGTGACTTCGGAGTCGCAGAGGTTGGGGAGGAAATGCGTAAACAAAAAAAAGTGTCTTTTCCTCTGTCGTTTTAATTTGTCACAAACACTGTCCAACTGTAAAGTCCGTGGCCGCGTCATTCGGGTGGGATGAATGTTCGCACAGCCCGAGTTGGGGTATTTGCAGGAATAAACAATCACTTTTTTTTTTTAATTAAATATTTTCCCAAAAGGTGGGGATACTACGGTACTACCAAGCGGAGGATACATGAGGCCTCTGTGTTAGAAACGTCGGCAGCACATGGGGCACGCACAAGATACAACGGCTGCGCAAGCGTTTACTTCGGAGTGTGGTTCAATCAACCTCACGTCACAAGTTTGTCCCTCAAGCCTTTCGATGGCGGTAATTTAATCGAGGGCCTTACGGGTCACCGCTTTGTACCGGCCAGTTCTTATGACCACACCGTCAAAACAGAAACAAACCAAGAAAGAATTTTGAAGTAATCAAAGAACAGATTCTTATCTGCCATCTCTGTACGGAAGTGCCGGCACTCAACGAGACACCGGTTTATGACCGCCATTATGTAGTTTGTCCGAAGAGAAACTACTTGTTGAGACACCAGATGGAACTGAAGTTTGAAAAGAGCACTTTTTTAAAATACAAAATGGCCTTTCTAGTAAGAGGGTTGGCCACCAGTTGGTTTTTTACTCCACAGCGAATGTGTCGCATTCGCTGCGGGGTAAAACTTTTACCCCACCAGGGACCAAACGTGATCCAGATGCAAGGGCGGGTTCGTACCTGGTCGAGGGGTGGAGACATGATTCGGAGCAGTTCCTCTCGCTTGAGGTAGCGTTCAAGCTGCTCCCCAGGAATCGCTGCACGGAAATCGAGAACACACTTCACAAAATGATTTCGAAGCCCATCTAAACCAGGCATTTGTATACTAGATATAGAGGAACACCCAACTGCCTCAAACGACAACTGAGGGATGCCCGTTCCCTTCGGCACCATTGCACATGAGCAGCCTTCAGATTTTAACAATAATCGACGCAAAAGCGAGTGCTTGGCTCACAGCTGTGCATCAATGTGCAGATCAGACATGCTAAAATACATCGTAGTGCTAAAACTGGGAAGGAAGACAGGGTACTAGGGTCAAGAACAACAGAGAAAATTACTGCAAGATTGTAAGCGTGCGAGTCAACATTCCTATCTGTGCCACTGCGCAAGTGCTGGAGCGAGCCTCCAAAGCATTCACTTAACACCATCAAATGCTCTTTGTCCCGTTGAGAATTTCCACAAACTAGAGGAAAGCCAATGGCAGAAAAACTTTCAGTTGAAAAAATATTCAACGATTTTGCAAAACATAATTAACGCACCTTGGTTATTAGTTTAGCTATGTTTGTTGGTGCGTTTCGTCAACTCCGAGGCAAATTGGCGGCCACGAAGAAAACGCCAGAGAAACACCCCAACTGCTTTTAGTTCTTCGGAATTTCTGACTCGATCGCCTAATTGTTTTTGTAAAATCAAATTTTCAACCACATAAAAATATGCGAGCTTAAACAAAAATTATACAGGCTCGATCATGCTGACAAAGACTGCGGAGCACAGAATGAGTCCCACACAAACCACACCGTGTTATTTACATTCATTTGATCATATTATTCTTTCTCATCTATTGGCTTCATACAAAACGTTCTGCTCTTGACAGCCCGCTTGCATTCGAATGAAATCTTTAACCTTTCAAGAGCAGCTGTGCTAGCAGGTCAATGGCTCTTCAACTGCCACCACACCGACCGAGGCTAGTTTTTGACATAGTCCTTTGTAGGCTGTACATATAACATTTTTGTTGTGCGACGCACCGCGCTTGTCGTCCACAATGCACGTTCCCGACGCTCGTCTACGACGACTCTAGTAGGAAACGACCCATAAAATGCAACCTCTGCTTAGAGAGCCTAGATTGAAGAGAAGGTCCACCTCAAATCATGGGGAGCGTTTGCAATTCGGCGGACACCTCCTACGGAGATTGGTTGCAAGCACGCATGAGTCGCATCATCGGAAAGGCAGAGAAACCTATCCGTATTAAGACGGCGCTGCGGTCTGTTGGCAGAGCCACAGACCGAGACACGAGCGAGCATGGGCCGTCCCAAAAACGGTCGAGCACATGGACCGGAGAAGCGGACGAGCCGAACTTATCCTAGAACGATTTGGGGACAGATCCACATCGACGAGCCAGGGCTAATGAGACGATGGCAGATCTATCCCTTTTCCGAGCATCATTGCGGTTGCAACACAAAACTTGCCTTCGAAAGAGGTGTTCGCAGCAGTGTCGGGCAACCCCGTGCTGCTCCGCGTTGCCGACGTGCCGGTTGTTTCGGGGAGCTCCTCGATGGTGCTCAGGTCCAGGCGAGGCTGCGGCGTGTCCACAGGCCTCGGCGGCTTCAGCACGGGCAGTGCCGGAGCCATGCACAACACCGGCAGCGCAGATCGCGGGCGAGAGCCGCCCCACGTCTCCCTCCGCTTGCAACGCCGCTGGGAAAACCCACAAATGTGTCCCTCTTTTGCGATAACTGCCCGCTTCCTTGGCACGCGTGGCCCTTACATTTCCTCTGCAATGTTGTGTCGCACTACGACGCCAATGTTACACGCCACATTGTGATATCACAGTGTCACACGTGATGCCACGTCACGTGGCACCAGGTCAGAACACGAGACACCACAATGTCATGCGACACTGCAGTAGCACATGTCATGTGACATCACGTGACACCGTGATGACAGTGTTATGTGACCCCATGTGGCACCACAGTAACATGTCATGTGACATCAGGTAACACGTGACACCGTGACGTGTGACATCACAGTGTCACACGATAACACGTTACATCACAGTACCACATGCCACGTGACATTAGGTCACGACATGTGACACCATGTCAAATGACATGACGGTATTGCATGTTATGTGACAACAGGTCACGTGTGACACCATGCCGTCAGTGTTATGTGAAACCATGTGACATTGCAGTGTAACATGTCATGTGACAAGAGGTCACAACATGTGACACCATGATGTCAGTGTTATGCAACACTATGTGACATCGCAGTGTAACATGTTGTCCTATGACACCATGGTATCACATGACACCAGGTCACAACACATAACACCAGTACCGTTTTTGCTTGCACAATGAACGCACCCCTTAAGTCGGCTCTCAAAATTTCGACTTTCTTTTTTCACTCTCGTATTAAACGCACCCCCAACTCAAGCGTAAAAATTTTGACCCCCTCCCTCCAAGCGCGTGAAATGAACTCACTTTTCTATCCTGGCGCAGCGAGGTCGCGAATGCATGGGCAGTGTAGGCGAACAAAAACACCTTAAAAATTCGAAAAGATCCAATGGACGCAAGAAAAAAAAAACATAAAGAGGAGCTTTTTTTTTTTTTTGCACAGCGCAGTCTGGATTTTGGGGTCGCGCGCCGCGCGCAAGGAGGTAAGAAAGAGCAGCAGAGAAGCCCTCGAAGCAAACGAAACAGCTTGCAACAGACGGCAAAAAACAACCCAAGGAACTAAGAGAAAAAGAAAACGAAGAGGAGCTTTTTTTTTCTTTTTGCACAACCAAGTTGGGTTACGGGGTTGCGCGCCGCGCGCAAAGAGATAAGAAGTTACGTCGATTTTTCAGGATAAAAGGTCCCTTCATTATGCGAGTAAATACGGATGCAAAAATTTTACTTTGCGTAATGAACGACCCCCCCCCCCCCCCCCCCCCCAACTTTGTATAGACTTTTAGGAAAAAAAAGTGCATTAATTCTGCGAGTAAATACGGTATGACATGACATCACCATACCTGCAAAGTTCCAAAACCAAATCCAGGGGATTTTCTGCGGTGGGGGAGCAGTTTTTTAAGAAGAAATATTGACAATAAATTTACATGAAGACAACTTCATTACATTTATACTGCACTGCTCATGCTAGCGAGATACAGCTATTATTACAGCCGTCTGTTGAGAGGGCAAAGACTCCTCGTTTAAGGAGGGACACTGACTAGAGATTTAACTTGTAAACTACTCAAGTCATCAGAATGAAATTTGCAGGAGGTTTAACTTCAGATGTAGGTGTACTGTGCAAACTTTCAGCTCTCTAGGACAAGTTTACATACCTGCATAAGAAGATGTGTCACTCTTCGTTTAGAAATACATGACATGCAAATGAAGCTATTAAGCACCATTTTGACCACTTGAATATAAAGTGGGAAATGTGGGACTTCGGGCTACCTAGTTTTTATAACTAAAATGCAAAAATACTCCAGAAGCCGGGCGAAGACATGATAAGTGTAATAACAAAAACGGCTTGACATAACAAAAATAAAAATTTAATTAAACGTTTTGCCTCCCATGCGAGAGGCATCTTCAGTAGAGCACAGAGCGAGTGAGAGTCGCACAAAAAAGTTCGGCTATTTAGGCATAAAGTTTGCGTACACGTCCGGCAAGGGGCCACGGTTCTTGTTTACCAGCGATGAATCGCTTCCGCGTTTGTCGTTCTGGATGAACCAAGATTCCAGCAGCTTCCTCGGTCCCCACCTTCGATCCCTCGAAACGTTTAATTAAATTGTTATTTTTGTTATGTCAAGCCGTTTTCGTTATTACACTTATCATGTCTTCGCCCGGCTTCTGGAGTATTTTTGCATTCATCCGTAACCTTTACGGTTGTATCGCACTTAGCAATGTGAGAGAGTACATTAACCAATCTACCACGATCGTCCGCCTACAGTGCCACCAAGACTTCAATCGCCAGTGCCTTCATGAGGACGTGATTCCCAATGGACTACGGTGCAAACCTCTGGTGGACACACCGTACGGACGAAAGGTGGTCAGGGACTACGGCCGCAACTGTGTGAAGGCGCGCATACAGGATAACCAACAGCGGATTTACCACGCAAGACGTCGACAGTCCACGGCGGAGCAGAGTCTACGACAGACGCTAGCATACAATGACCTACGGAATGTGTTCCTGGCAAGGAGGGAGGCCGAGGAGATGGAAAGGAACAGATGCACAGAGGCGCATAAAAACAAGCTCACCCGGCTACTGCCTCCGAGATCGCCATCCAGGACTGAGAAATGTAAGGTGTTCAACATGTCATCCAAGCCCCTTCTGCCCCGACACGTGAGTCTGCTATCCAAAGGGCTGGACTTTGCCCTTACTCCACGGTACGTTCCAAAACGTGACTTCATAATCAAAATTGAAGAGAAACTCAGATATGTGCACGATGTCACAGGGGTAAATCTCGAGAGAAGCCGCGTTGTCAGTGTTTTGAACAATGCGAAACCGGCCGGGTCGAATTTAGGTCAACAAGAACGCGTTGCTCTTAATGAGTTGAAGTCAGACAGCTCCATCATGATTTTAAAGGCCGACAAAGGAAAAGGAACCGTTGTGCTCGATAGAGATGACTACATGAAGGAGATGTATGAAGTTATAAATGACAGTCGCTATTTCGTGAGGCTATCAAGAGATCCCGCTGCTAAGTCCGAAAGAGAGTTAGTTGACCACCTTCGAGAGCTGAAAAAGAAAGGACGCATCAGTGACGACCTATACCGTCGTCTCTTCTCCTTTGACGCCGCGACACCCAAGATGTATGGACTCCCCTAAATTCACAAACCGGGTTGCCCCCTACGCCCGATTGTATATGTTATTGGTTCATCCACTTACAGCCTTTCCAAATATCTGGTTATGATTCTGAGCCGTCTTACGGGAAACAATGAGTTTAGCGTCCGGAATTCCCATGAGTTTGTTGAACTTATACGCGCTCAGACCCTGCTACCGCACGAGGCTATGGTATCCTTTGATGTGATTTCATTATTTACGAATGTCCCCAACACCCTGGCGGTTGAGGTCGCCCGTGACTGGTTGTTGGCAGACCAGTCTTTGTCCACTCGTACAACCCTCCTTGTTGATGACGTTATACTTCTTTTGCGTTTTTGTCTCAACCAGTGCAATTTTAGTTTTAATGGGGACATATATCATCAGGTCAGCGGATGCCCTATGGGGAGTTCAGCTTCCGTAACCGTCTCGAATCTTGTCATGGAATATGTTGAGGAAAAGGTAATGTCTGGCATTGATTTCCCCGTGAAGTTCTACCGTTGTTATGTCGATGACACGTTTGTAATAGTTAAAAGAGAGAACGTAACCGATTTTCACCGCAATTAGAAGTGTCCACCCCTCAATTCAGTTCACCTGTGAACATGAAACCGACAGTACCTTGCCGTGTTTAGATGTACGTGTCCATAGAACTAGTGAACCTTTCTTTAAGATGGAGACATCCGTATATCGTAAACCATGTGACACACAAAACTTTCTTGACTACCACTCTCATCACCCTACTCAACACAAAAGCTCAGTTGTAAGATCGCTACTTCATCGTTCAGAAACAGTCCCATCAAACTCAACACTTAGCAATCAAGAACTCAGCCATGTGCGGGAGGCTTTGAAGAAACGTAACTACCCCGACCGATTTATCAATCGCGTTAAGAAACAAATGTCCCGTCGGCGCCCGGATCGAGCCGAACGAACATGTGGCGTCGTGTGCATCCCGTACGTTAAGGGGGTTTCGGAGGCATTGGGACGCGCCCTTAGGCCGTTAGGGGTATGAACTGTATGCAAACCCTACAGAACAATTGCCAATGTTATCTCCAAGCCAAAAGACCCGACCCCGCCAGAGGCAGAAAGGGGCGTGATCTACCAGGTGCAGTGCAAGGAATGTGACGCTTCCTACATCGGAGAGACGGAACGAAAAAGAAAAACAAGACTAAAAGAACACGCACGGGATGTCGCCAATTCCACGAATGCCACCCGCTTCAAGTCCGAACTCGTCGACCACACATGGACGTCAGGACATCAATTTGACTTAGACAAGGCATCGACTTTGGCGAGGGATCAAAGGTGGGGACCAAGGAAGCTGCTGGAATCTTGGTTCATCCAGAACGACAAACGCGGAAATGATTCATCGCTGGTAAACAAGAACCATGGCCCCCTGCCGGAGGTGTACGCAAACTTTATGCCTAAATAGCCGAACTTTTTTGTGCGACTCTCACTCGCTCTGTGCTCTACTGAAGATGCCTCCCGCATGGGAGGCGAAACGTTTAATTAAATTGTTATTTTTGTTATGTCAAGCCGTTTTTGTTATTACACTTATCATATAACTAAAATGTAAATATATCAGGAAGAGTTACCTCAAAATATGAGATGCATATCGGTCCTATGTCAATTTCTGAAAACATAGTTTTTTATCACCGAGAATTTCAACTCAAAACAAAATAAAGTAGATAGCCCAATTCCCCAGTAAATTTCAGTTCAGAAACATCTTGATTGTGGTATCAGAATACCTTTACCTTCGAACAAAAGATTCCTTAGTATGAAATTTGCAGCAAAAAGCGGAACTCAAAAAAATGCATTCAAACACTGAATTCCTTTATTTTGATACTGCCTCACAATGTGGTGAAAATATTGTATACCAATATAACTATTTGGCATTTGGTCATCAAATTAAGTGTAAGGGCGTAAATTAGTTTCAAAAACCGGAAACTTCAAAAAATTTTTAGAGCCCTTCCACTTTATGCGAAGATGGAGGACCAGTGAAGCTGTTACTTTTACAATGTCTAGGACGATGCCTAGAGATGATAACAATGGATCAGGACCTATCTAATGATGCCAAGGAAGGCTGACTCGCACTGGTTGCCCCCCCTTTTTGTTTTTGTTTATTCATACTTGTCACAACCAATGAGGAGTTTTCTATGACCATCCGTGGACACAATTCTTCCCAGATCCTAGTGCATAAGAGCTTAGCTGTAAGAATGATCTTTTTCAAACAAATTTGAAATGTATGCTTATGTCCCCCCTTAATTGGGGAGGCAGGGGGGGGGGGGGGGATGATTTGCATCTTCTGGCAGATTTTCCTGTCAGTCATACAAAATTCCGGAATCCCCGGGTGATACAAGAGACTTGGCAGGTATGCATCACAGTATCATGTCACATGACACAATGACATCAGTGTTGTGATACCATGTGACATCACAGCGTAACATGTCATACGACATCTCAGTATGAAATGTCACATGACATCAGGTCACAACATGGTAGACAATGTCATGTGACATCACAGTATCACACGACGAGGTCACAACACGTGACATCGTGATGCCATGTGACATTCAATATCACGTGACACTACGACGTCAGTGATGCAAGACACCATGTGATGTCGCACTGCAACGTGATGTCACATGACACCAGGACATCAGTGTCGCATGTTATCACCACTCAACTGGATGCCCCAGCGTTTCACCGAGGAACAAGGAAGGACCATTCTACCTCCTAGAGTTCGACATTCCGTTGAAGCAACGTGTACGACACTGCCGGCTCAAGAGACACAAACACGACGATGGTGAGCCACTCACCTCGACCGCAGGTACCGGGGTCATCAGCTGCGGCAGGGAGTGTGTGGACACCACCAGCTGGCGCTCCAGCTCTTCCACCTTCCTGCTCAGGGACTCTATGGTTGAGTCCTTTTCCTGGAGCGTCTTCGTCAGGGTGCCGTCTTCCATCGCCTGCGAAAGATGCCAGAGGGACATACTTCAGTCGTAGCCTTTCCCTGTGTACGTCCTGCCATAGTTATAAAATTGTTGCAGCTTTGTTCATTTGACGAAATGCAATGAAATGCGGTTGCTTTACAGGAACATTGCGAGTGAAAACGAAATCTAAGGGTCCCGCACAGGGACCCTCGAATGCCTGTGCAGAATTATAGGAACATACAATGGGTCCTAGTCCTACTAGCATACCGTGGAATCTCATTAATTCCAACTACTAACATGCAGGTCCCATCCTATGTTTCTAGGAAGGAAACCCCCGGTAATTCAAACTTCGCCTTATTCGAACAAAGTTTTACACCCCGGGTTTAAATTAACGAGATTCCACTGTAGTTATCTCATTTTATTTTTGGTTTGTCCTAATGCCTTTCAAGTAACCCAAGAAATGTGAAACAAGTTGCCCGCGTACAAGTGGCACGGTGGTTTCAAAAGCCAAGAGGTGAAGTAGAGTTCACCTTCATCTTCTGACGCAGGGTCTGGATCTCTCTGTGGTAACGACGCATCATGGTGCTGTCCGACACCACCTCGTTCACGACTGGACGGTTGCAGATCTTCTTGGCGGAGCTGGCAAACTGGGCACGCGAAGACAAAAAGATGCGGAGGAAAGGGGCTGCAACAGCGCACTTTCACAAACACGTGCATTCAGATGCAAGGCAGTCCCGAGCATCCCAGCAACAGACCGTCTAATGAATCTTACGCTGCAGTCGGTGTTCCGCCGTAAAACAAGCCAAAAACACTTCTACACCTGCACATTGAAAGCTCAAACTTTCCCTGAAAAGGCCTCCTGCACTGAAGCCCTGAATAAACTGTGGCACCCTCATTGTTGGGTAGTACAAGCTCACCTGACTGGGCTTTGCACTGCTTGTGGCACCTTTGCCCAGCTTATCTTTCTCTGTAGTGCTGAAGAACAGAAGAACACTTTCGACGTCTGCAATCGGCTAGATTCAATGCCGCAAGACAATCGAAAGTGCCAGGTTCACGCCTCCACTGCTAGGGTATGCGACTTATCTCTGCGCGGTGACATGAGAATATCTCATTTTTTTTCCTTTCTACTTTGGAACACAAGAAAAGGCGTCTCTTGGCTCACACTGTTAGTATTTTAGCTTTGACCTGTGCTTCAACAGCGTTTGCATTTTTAACGCAAAGGCATTAAGTGCTCATAGAGCGAGCTGATGTCTTCAGCATTTCAACCGCGTCAAACGGCACCTTAAATCCTTTCTCCAAGTCAAGCCAGCTCTTAACCATGAAACCATGTGCAAAGCTAGCCAATGGCACCAAAATTCTCCAGCAGAGTGAAGCTGATGGATTTTCAGCTTCAGTCCCATTGGCTGGTACGCGTCGACGAGTTTCCCATTGGCCGGACACGCAGTGCCATGAGCTGGCCGGTCATTGAAACTGACGGTGCGCGTCAGTTTCAACGACCTGGCACTCCATGGCACTGCGTGTCCGTCAGCGTGCCGCTGCAGACGAAATAAGCGAGCGGAAGAATGATGTATATGCTTTCGCATTCACAACTCATAAGAAGTGCTTGGGTGTACCTCGAGCCTTTTTAATGCGAAAGCATTAACTGTCTCGTGTTGCGAGCCGACATCATCAGCTTTGAAGCCATGCCAAATGACTCTTAAATCCTTCTACAAGTCAAGCAAGCTCCCATCGCTTCGATCCCATTGACTAGTGCGCAACGACCAGGCTCCCATTCGCCGGACATGAAGCGCCATAGGGTGGCCGGTCTTTGAAGCGGTGTTGGTACAAGAGCCAGAGTTGAGCATCTTTTTCACGCGCCGCTCCGCTATTTGCCGAGATCCGATCACATGAGGAGCCGGATCAAGTGCCGTGCAGGAGAGCAGATGTTGTGTGTGCCCCGGTGTATGTTCCTCTGCTTTTGAGCGCGCCGCGCATCGAACACGCAGCGCCGCTATTCGCCAAATTCAGTCACGTGAGGAGAGGGATCAACATGCTGTGCGGGAAAGATGGCACACGGGGATGAACGCGCAACTCTGGCTCCTGTAGGGAGCCTATACGGAAACTCTAGTCAGCGCCCGGTCAGCACGCCAACACGCGTACAGCAAGAATGATGTACATGCTTTCGCATTAACAACTCACAAGTGCTTAGGTGTACCTCAATCTTTTTTTTTTTTTTGTATTTTCTTTTTCGGTTTTGCGTTTTGTACCAGAGCAGGGAAGCTTCTATAGTCGTTTTCATCTCAAGAAAGAAGGAAGCTTTGTGCATTGCTCATACGCCGCACAAAGTAGTTCTTACAAGATGGGGTTGTCGAAAGAAGCGATGCAAGAGAACATATATCTAATCCAAAATGCAGCAAAATATATCTTAATTCTCTCCATAAAGGGGGAAATTAGTAATGCTCCACAAGGACCCATACTCTTTTACTACGGTTTTTGTGGTGAAAACCAGTATGCATGTTCGACAGCCCGAGACGCTGGAGGTTGTACTATCAAAAACAAGTCCTAATAAGTCCCTTTTTGCAGCACCTTTTGGGCAATTCAGGAGGCCTGTGAGCTTAGAAGTGGTACATTTCAGCTACTAAAATCAGGGCATAGCTTCCATTTTGTAAAAAATGAGACCAACAAATTTGTTCCGGTTCATACACGACACAGTCGACAACGCTTACGACGCATAGCACCACCTCCCGTTGGACAAAGCAAGCAGATGACGGAGTGAGTCGTCTGCTCACTGCGCCTATTGGTAGAAGTTACTTTCGACACCTACGAGGTCGCCTGCAAACTCTGCCGTTTCCAAATTCGTCCGCCGCTGACTCTGACAATGTTTTGTGGTCCGTTGATGGCCGAAATGCTTACGCGGAGCGTGCAGCTCGTCTGCAAAACCGAGCTGGGAGTGACCGTACACACGATGGCTGTGTGGGCATTGCCTCCGAGGGAGTTCTGCAGGATCCGAGTAAGCTTGGAGTCCCGGTAGTTGATGAAGCCCCTGAAGCATTTAGAAGAAGATTAGGAATGAAAGTAGCAAAGGTTCAAGAAGCACTAAACCACTTTCTGCAATAGTCTATTTATGGTCATAACTCCAATGCGCCCTAAAAAAAACTGTATGACGATTACAGGACGTGATGCATTTAGACAGTGGGAGCTGTGCTGCTCAGTGAACGATACGACGATGACAATCGATTGACATTGTACCGATGGTGATCTGACATTGATCGACGTTGCGTTGACTTAGCGTCGTCAATGAATAAACAATCTTAAGGTTGTGATGCGCTTTCCCACCAAATTTAGCGGGAAAACTGAATTGATGCATAGGTCACGCAATGTCAATCTTTCCGCTAAATTTAGCGGTGTACTTGAATTTGTAGGTCCTGTGACGTCAGGTCACGTGACATTACTTTTTCCGCCAAATTTGGTGGGGTAACTTTTAGTGTACGCCCACGCTGTCGCAAAACAGGGGGACGAGCCACCAACAGCTGCCGCTGTAAAACCAAACATTATATCCATGTGTGGAAGATTTCTCAATTGAAATTGGTATCAAGGATCCATTATCTCGGAACTATCGCACGCATCACAGAAGAGAAGCTCTTATTTGCGGTGCCTGCGATAGTTTAGAGGTTAGCAATCTTTGATACCTGTTTTAATAGAGAAATTGGGGATGCACGGATGCAATGTTTGGTTTCTTAGGGTGCTTAGAGCCCATGGGAGTTATGACCATAAACAGACAAATGCAGAAAGCAGTGTATTGTCCCTTTAAGTGTAGGAGAGACGCAGATCCTGAAACGGCAGGAGAAACATTAATCTCTCAAGCTGCCAAATGCGACAATATTCTTGCTGTTCTCTTAGGAGGCAGGGCAAATGCCAGAAACCTTTGTGGAGATGTTGCATGTTCCCCCTACAGTTTCTTAAATTGCACCCTCACACCTTTCTCTTATTTCTTCATTCCCTTTTTGTGTATTCAATGTGCCGTAATATGCCTCTGCTGTATTACTTCTGTCCTAATAGAGGCGAGGAAGAGAACTGCTCAAGTAGGGAAAAGAAATTGTGCTAATACACGAGAAGAAAAGTGCTCCAAAAGGCAAAAGAAGTTTTTCCGATAGACAGAAGGAAGAAAACTTTAAACGAGCAGAAGAAAACATTTCAATAATAAAAAAAAAAAATTGTTGCAATAGGTGGAAGCAGTCTTGAGCAGTAATTAGTTACTAGTAACACATTACTGCTAATAAATTACTTTTTTTCAGTAACTTGTAACTGTAACTCGTTACTGCTTAGCGAAAATAACTTGTACCTGTAACAAGGTTACTATTCTAAAAAGTAACTAATGAGTAACATTGCTACAGTTACCTCTCAGATTTATGCGCAAAAATATTACAAACACGACCACCAAATTGTCTCGCAACTTGTGAGAAGGTCCCCAATCTTGATATGGGAAGGGCAGAGCAAAAACTGCTGCAGAAACCGTCTGGAACACGAGGGAAAAATAAAATAAAAAGAAACTAAATTTTGGGTGACCCTGCTTGGCCAAGCTGGTCCCGCCAACTGGGAGGAAGGGGGCGTCTGTGTCCGCCTGGCGGAGGGAACGAGTGCTTTTATTGGTGGACTGGTTTTGGCGATTGTCGCCATAAACGTCCGTAGGTTTACGGCACAACCGATTGTCTGAACCTCGTCCTTTTGCCGCCAAGCATACGTTTCCTTCCGCTTTCATTTGAGCCGTTCAATTCCCAGATAAACTCTTGCGGGGTCTCGACTGAGGCCCCCATTTGCTCTCCCTCCCCTTCTTTTGCAGCCCAAGAAAAGTCCGTCGTTTTGCTTGTTTTCTTGAAATTGAAAGACCGGATATCTGCCAACCTAGCAACATGAAAATTCGGGAGACCGCTGCACAAGGGAGGGGTGAGATAAAAAAAGAAACATCAAGAAACTTTCTTTTTTAGGTTTGACAAGAATATGTATCTGCAAATCACACTGTCTTTGCAGTTGTTTTGGAGGAAACTGCAGATGGTGCCGGGCCCTTCTGCAGCACGAACATAGTTCCGATACTTTTGTGAAGCGATGTGTATCTTGATGTCAACTTAGCCGCCATGCGAAACGCTCACATCACAGGTGCACGTGGTACAGAATCCATACTTGTCACCCTTCCATGAACTGACAAAGCACAGAAACTCAGTCGTGCATAATCTCAGAAATACTTGCAAGTACTTCCTCTTGGTTTTTGAAAGCGCCATTGATCGTTCCAACTAAACTCGGGGAAACAGTGGTTCGGCGTTCCGCACTTCACTCGACGACCTGACAAAGCCAACTGAAGCTTTGCGCCTAGCCTAGAGCTGCGCACCCATGATTATAAAAGCCGTGTTCCGAAAGGCGCTCGAATTTACTCCAGAGTAGAGTTTTTGTACCTTGGCGTTTGGAAATCTACCCTCGTTTTACGCTGCTGCTCTAACTGAGTTGTCATGTAGTAACCCGTCGGAATACCCTGAAACTACTCGAGTAATCCGCTTTATGATAATAACAATAAAGCGTAAAAAAAAAAAAAGATATGACGGCAAATTTTAGGGAGATTTGAGGTCGCGCTCATACACCCGGGAGATGTGATCAAAATTCTGGAGGCTCCCGGCCACTTTGGCAAAGCTGGCAGGTATGAGACCGCCCTTAGCCGGGACCAGGGGCCCTTGGCATCAGTCAATTTATGGATATTCGGGTCGTGGACTTTCCGGGTGGTCTCTTCTACTTGGGGTGGTGAGGTAAAGGAGTGCAAACATGTCAGACCTAGTTAGGAAGTGGCAGAGAAAAGATTGCAACAGCCGTTTGGAATTCTACGCGCAGTGGTCGTTTGTACTTCGACCAGCGTTTCTTTTCCTCTTCTGCCATGTCCAGTAGGTTCGCTGAAGGAATGTTACCGCAACATTGCTCTCCAAGTTTTTTAGAGAAGCTTCGTGTTTTATGAAAGATTGTGCACATGCAGTAGAAAACGATTCGATCGACGAGTCCACTGGAGTGGCATAAAAACATTACAAAGGTGATTGCAAGGTATGACAAATATTATTGACTTCACATCTGCATAATTTTTATTGCATCCATATCATTTCACCTGATGAAAGCAATCCGAAATCAGAATTGACCAACTGTAAACACGCATTACGAATGGAAACAGCCGAGCCCTAGATGATTGCTGTTGTATTTGTGTATACAATAGATGAATTCATTAATTCGAATGCTAGGAAGCCATGAATCTTGTTTTAATTATCAAAAACTCATCTTAATGTGATACCAGACAAAATGATGATTTGCCTAATGAATGGCTCCACATACAAAGCATATATTTGATGATTTCCTCTTTACAGATATACCCAATTCACAAAAGGGAGAAAGTCGTTCCGATGGGCGGAAGAGTCCGCGCCAACCGACGGGACCTAGGCACTCACTGTTCCCCGCGGCTCAGCATGGAGATGACCCGGCTGAGAGCCATGAGCGACGTGTTGATGAAGTTGCCCTCGCGGAAACGCTCCCCCGTGGTCCGTGCCTCTGTCGTGCGCTCCGAACCGGCCAGGTCCACCAGGTTCTGGGGACGGGGAAGAGCATCAACCCGAGGCAGCGGAGCCAGGGTTGCCGAACCGTGCCTCCAACCGGTCTGTTTAGCTTCCCGTCCCACCCATGCATCAAAAGTGGTCTCAAAGTGGCGATAGATGACCCCACAAAAGCCAGACTGCCATGCTGTCAAATGTCGCAATCCGGGCAGGAAATAAAGCAAAAAGTTTCGGGGGAAAGAAAAAGCGTCCCAGCTTCTGGCTGCCAAAGCTTCCGTGAACGATCAACGACCAACACACTGAGAAACTTCGTCGTCTGGCACTCCAAGGATGATGCATCTGTCCTCTAACTAAGATTATTAAACGTTGTTTGCGCTTGTAAACGGAATGCCTTTGTATTCTATCTCCACACGTGGAGCAGTTTAGACACAAATGGCTCAATGTACTGCTTTGAACCACTTCTCGACACCGAAGGAAGTAAAATTGAAACTGTGCGATCTAGACGCACAAACATCTAAATGAGCAGCTCAGGACTGCAATGGCGTCTTTCGAGTCAAACTTCTAGGTGCTTGTTTCCAGAGTAGGGGCACAAAATTAAGGAACACAAGATACCGATGGATGGAATTCACTTGGGCCACCGACTGAGGCTAAAAAAACAAAAATACTGCCACGCCCACTTTTTGTTGTAACTCTTCGCTCCAAAATGTTCTATCATGACACTTTGCACACATCTACCTGGCCACCTCTGGCTTGTGCGATTACTAGTAACGGGTGACACTCACCAAATGAGACACGGTAACGGTGTTGTCCTCCTCTTCTCCCCTGACCCTGCTCTCTATAACCTGAAACAGAAAGACAAAAGTTAAGATCAAACATGATAGATTCATGCACTGCAGAGATTTCATATGCAACGACATAACAAAAAATGATGAAATCCTTTCAATGATGCCTCCTTACTGATTAATGTGACTCGTCCGTCTACCCTTACTGCACCCAATTAACCCCTCCAAAAAAGGACTCAAAATACATAGTTACTTCCCAAAAGAATAAAATATATAAATTTACTCCTCGAAAGGTGCAATACTGTAATGCCTAGATTTTGCCAATTCTGCAACTTAAACATTGCAAAAAACAGAACTCGTGTATAAGGTCACTATGGTAACAAATACATAGCGTACCACCCTCATCCGCAAAATATTTAAGGCACACTTCGCAATGAAGTCATTTACAGTACACATATTTACTCTTCAAAAGGACTGAATGTACGAATTTACTCCTTGAAAAAAAATATAGAAATAAACAAACTGAGAGTTTCTTTTCAAAGGGATCAAATATATATATATATATATATATTTGATCCCTTTGAAAAGAAACTCTCTGTTTATTTCTATATTTTCTATATATATATATATATATCCTACCCAAAAGAATTGAATGTAAAAAATTTACTTCTCCAAAGGAGTGAAAACAGAAAAGCAGTCTCCTTAATTCAGTAAGGGAAATCAATCACTCTTAAGTCACTCACCATTTTGAAGATGGTATGGGACCGTGAGCTCCTGGCGTTGAGGTTGGTGCAGCCGATGTGGCGATGCCCTTCGGGAAAAACAAACCATGGAACAAACACTTGCGCAGGAGCACTCAAAGCCAAGTTAAAGACACATGCACCAGGGGAAAAATACTTTTTTTATTACTTACGATAAAGAAATTAAATTTTCACAGTTTATGGTGCTTAATCCCCTCTTTATAAATCTGGCGTTATATTTGATACAGCTTGCTTTTTAGGTTCTCGATGCAATGTAGATACAGAAGAAAACATGTACTTGTGCACATGTGAGGCATGGCAACACACTTAACACACCTACCCTAAATTTCCAAGAGATAGGTGTACAATCAAAGAAAGTTAAAATATTGCTACATTAGGTCATGTCCCTCCCTTCCAAGCTTTAAAAAAAAATTAAAAATAACAAAAATGCCATATCAAGGGACTAACAAATGTTTCTAACATCTTTTATGAATGTAAAAAAAAATATATACTTTAACCAAACCTAGATAGTTGCATTCTGCATATTCTAAAGTATATGCATGCCAAATTTGGTAGTGAGAGGACAATATTAAGAACAGAAATTCTTGTGCACAAACTGAAGATGCCCCAAAATTGAATAAAAAGAAAAATGTGTACCTTACCATAGATGTTTAGCTATTCACTATTTACTCGCATAATGAACGCACCCCCCAAAACGGCTACCAATACTTGGACTTCTTTTTTTTCCCCTCGTGTAATGAACGCACTTCCAACTTTCGGCGCAGCGAGTCTCAAATTGCGTCCAATTTTGCTGCCAAGCGGTCAGGCCAAGTCAAGCCAAGCCAAGCAAAGCCGCTCTTGTAATGGCTGCAAGCAGCTGCAAGTGCATACTTGCGGGAAGTGATCAACTGTGAAACCAAGCGGTGCGCACGCTGGACGAAGCTTGGGTCGAGGAATCGCCCAGCCCCGGACATTCTTCGCCTATCGGACGCACTGATGTCAACAAACACGCCATCGCCTCTGGTCCGTTTTCTGACAAAGTGAAAGTGGTTAAGCCTAAAAATGGTTGCGTTGCTCTCCATTCTGAGTGAGCTTCGTAGGGTACTTTATCTTAAAAAAGGTGCACACCTAAAGCGCCCTTTAAAAGGTTTGCAATTTATAGAGCACGACTGCTGTGGCGTGCCTCCATCAGGAGACGTGCCACAGTACCCTGCCATATCATATTGGCACTTAAAATGACATTTGCACAAAGTGTGTAAGTGCGTTCATTATGCGAGTAAATACGGTACTTGTTTGAGGAGCAGAAAAATTAATTTTGCTAATAAATATCCAAGAGAAACTGAAGCTACAGAAGACTGCAATAGAGAGGAGACGGCTAGGCCTACTTGTCAACGTAAATGTGATGACGGGAGACGCGACTTGAACCAGGCAGAGAAGAGGGGCTCAAATTCATGCCATTTTGGGATGCCTCGTCTCTTCACACGAGTGTTCACTAATTTTGCGATAATGACCGGCACTAATTAGTTTTACAGACCAAATATAAACATTTGAAAAAAATAAAACTTCATAAAACCCCAAATCAGATGTTTTGCCAAATATTGCCGTTCGTTTGAAGCACATCTCCCCTTAAAGACAACATAAATGGATGCCAAGACGCAGGAAAAGACGGCAAAGAATCGCAATGAATTGACCGCCCCCTACCAACGGAAAGCTAAATAAACCAAACAGAAAATGTTCCAAGTGGCACATCGTGGAAACTTTATGGGGAGCAAAATTGCGCGACTATCATAAGACGTGATGCGTTCCGACAGCGGCAGCTCTGCAGCTTATTCAATAATATGAATATGATGATCGATTGACACTGCGCTGATTGTGCGTCGTACAGTGATTTGATATTGAACTGACGTGTTGATGTAGCATCAATACGTCGTTGATAAATAATTTTAAAATCGTTCGAAACAAATTTAGCGTGGAACCTGAATCTGTAGGTCCCTTGGCGCAGGTCATCCAACTTTAATGTTCCTGGCAAATTTAGCGGGGAAACTCTTAGCTTAAGGGGAGGCACTACCTTGGAGGGTCTACTTTTTAAGTATTGGTGCCAGGTCAATGAAATTTTTAGGGTATGTTAAACGTCAAAACTTAGGAGGCTACACCAACTTTCAACCCAAAAGGTTTATTTTTTGACAAGTTACAGCCTTATTCGTTGAAAAAAATGTACATGTAGCAGTGCCAAAGGAAAAAAACTATCGTTTCAAAATATGAATAAGAAAGCACAATTTCTTCGTTGGGATATAACGCTGAATGACTAAACTAATCGGTAGTAGGCTTGAAATAATTTTTAAGGCCATATTTCACGTAAAAAATAACTTTCAATAGTGGTATGAATTTTTAATTTTTTTCTTGTTTCACAAACGTCAACATTTTTGTGTGAAGAAATAACAATTTGCAAAAAGTAAGCGTATAGCCGAGTTCTCCAGTAAATTTCATGCCAAAAAAGCCATACATTAGACTTGGGGGCGCTTAACTCATCAAACAATAGTTTTAGAGCTGTGAAAAAATGGTGAAAACATGAAGCTGAGAAAAACGGGTTTGAAAGTTCGAACAGTGTTTTAGTTTAGATGGGGCTTGCCATTTCATCTAAAATGCTCCAGGGGCATATGTCACTCCTTCCTCTCCACGGTCCCTCTGTGCCTTGGCCACAGCTTCCATCTTCCTTTTTTTGTGGGACATCTTGGAGGACTCGAGCGCTTTCACTTGGGCCTTCGCAACCTTCGTCTTGGTGGCCCTCTCTCCGTATGACGCTTGGTAGCTCCCTGGCTGTATGCCCATTTCCAACAGAGCTTCCTGATTTGCTAGGACGAGTCACGTCACGTGGCTCGTCCTAGCAAATCAGAGCTCTTGTTTCTCCAGCTTGACGAATAAGAGCGTGAACAGCTATGTTTTCTACGGGGTTTTACGGTCTGTGAGCACGATATCGCGAACAGTGCTGCGAACAGAACGAAAGAGTCCCAGCACTTCGAAAATAATTTATTTCGGAGCAAATACGAACGGCCGCCAGCACTTCGAAAATAATTTATTTCGGAGTAAATACTTTACTTACAGGAATAAAATTTTTGGACAGCATTCTTTGAGTTGTAAAAGCTGGTCAACCTATTTTCCAAAAATGTGACTTTTTTGAAAAAAATCGCGATTCCTAGGCCGTGCCTCCCCTTAAGCTCGCGCGTTTGCAAAACCGGGGAATGGACCACTAACAGCTGCCACTGTAAAAACTAGACAAGACTTATCTTTGAAGACCAAGACACAAAATGTAAACAAGTAGACTACGGTACTCTCCACAGGCAGTTTCAGGCGACATACTTTCGGCTTGAAATCTCGCCGGACAACATATCAATGACCTCTTGCCGTGCGTCTTTCTATCCGTGTAGGCAGAGTTTTCCAGCTCTGTCCAGTTTCTTTGCCGCGCAATTGACTGCGTCTGCCACAGCAGTCGGCAACACAAAGGAGTGTCCTTTGGTGCTCTATTCTCAGACATACCAGTTTTCTTTTTACACCATAGGTTGCACAATCCACATATCACCAAAAAATTTTCACAAAATGCCCCTTCAGTTGGGCTTGGCGGCAACTGCGCATGCACGGCACGAGCGTTGGCACAAATTGACGTCCAAAAAAAGGTAGGTTCGTGCTGGGCAGAGTTCTACGAACAAGGGAGCACTTGCCCAAAAGAGAAAAAACCGCTTACTCTCGCCGAGCTGCATCGCCTTCATGACTGCCTCCATCGAACAGACCGTCTGCTCGGTGAGATCCTGGACGTAAGGCTCGCCATCCTACGCAGAAGAAATTTGTGAGAAGCTGTTTTTTACTCTCTAAACGCTTTGGTCACGTGGCAGTAATTCACCAATCAACCATTGGAGTGCCACGCTTGATTATACCCTGGCCCATGACCGTCTTGTTTCAGTACCCGTTTGCTCGTTGCCCCTCCCAACTGGACCATCATTCTATTTGCCACATATAGGCAAGCCATAAAAACATACCTTCTCTTGTCACTTTTCGATTGCACATATTTCTTCTTTTTTGGAAAGTTCTGTTTCAGTATGCATCCTCGTTGTTACAAAACGGCACATCTACGCTTCGTGGAAAACACAGCGGCCTAGAAGATAATAATCAACTCGGTATTCGACGACCGTGTAGACTAGTTATCTGTCCGAATAAATGAAGGCCGAGCGGGGCCGCTCGAAACAGTGACCTCGGGGGCAAGGCCGTGGCATTACCGCATAGCACACTCTCAAAAAGCACAATACGAGAAACATGTTGTAGGTCGGAGGGACACAGGCACCAATTAATGCTTTCCCCATGAAACAGTGTAACTTTTATAAATGCATATTGTTTAGCCCAAGACAAAATTCTGCGTTCGGCGCACGGGAGAAAAAAATATGCAGAGACCTTCCACTTCATGTGAAGATGAAAGAACAGCAAAGCTGTTATCTTTACGACCTCTACGACAATGCCTAGAGGATGATGCCTACAGGACGATGCCTAGACAAATTCAGCCTTTCCACTTTGGTGAAAACCAGAGTGGAAAGGCTGGAAAGGTTGCCACCGTCGCTCATAGACGGCGGTACCTGTCTGCAGTTTTGAGTCAACATCTGTTTGTCAACGCACACGATACTGGGGAAACTAGCCCTTAACAGCTCCGTTGTAGAAGCTACAAAACCGACACTCAAAGGGTCAATTTTCCCCGCTACATTCAGCCACTCCGCCATGGGCGGCGGGTATTGTGGGCGGCACGTGGCCACAGCCGTAGAAATTTAGAAGCAAAGAGGAAGGGCCCACCGAATTCTCCCTCAGCTGCAGGCTCTGAAAGTAAGAGCCGCTCGGCGTCTTCATCAGGTCGTGCAGGTTCTCATTGTAGATCTCCAGGTAGGAGATGCGCAACAAGTACTCCCTGTCGGGCACCTGCAACAGTCCAGCCAACACTGCACATAAACCTCGAGGCAACAGCCTCAGTCACACCAGCATAACATCTTACAACAGTTTAAAGAAACACAGCTCACGAAGGAAGCATCATAAATTATGGAATGGGATGTGAAAAAGTGCCTCCTCGGCACAATATTTTAATGGCGAGACTCTTTGTTTTTTATTTACATATAAATATGCAAATCCCCGTCCCCTTTGTAACAGATCTATAATAACATTAAAGTAATGAGGGCATAATAAATAAATAAGGTTACCAGAGCTGGAAAGAGAACAACAAACAGAGTGAGGCAAAGAGGACCCATAAATGCCGTGCTTTTAGAACTCCATTGGGATATGTGTGCCAAGAAACAGGCAGGTTTTGCATTCTCAAATAGAGCGAGTCAAACGACCCTAACGCAATGCACACTAAAAAGTGTCCAAGCAAGAAACAAAAAAACACTCACATTTTCAATGATATTAAACACCTCCTTGACCGCCAGCGGGATCAAACCCATCTCTTGATCCGTACCCATCATGGTGTGAGTCTTGCCCGACGCTGTCTGCCCGTAGGCGAACAGGGTGCCTGCGTCGGGAGGGTGCAACAGGAAGTGTCGCGACAACCTTAAGCCGCGGTCACACTGCCAAAGGCCCGTCCACGCACTTAAAACCGAGTACGACCGACTGAGACAAGACTGGCCTTTAAGCCTCTTGCAACGGCTTACGACCGATGCGCTGCTGCAGCGCTGGTCGTAAGCCATTGCAACAGGCTTAAAAACGGGTCTTGCCTCAATCGGTCGTAGCCAAACTCAAGTGTGTGAACAAGCTTAATTACGTCCGAGCAGTCACACTAAAAATAAATCTTTTCGGGAACAAGCAGTGCCCATCTTAGAATGAGCGCACCTGCAAGGACATACTCACCGTTGAAGCCCTTCATCACAGACTCCACGAGGGGCTGGCCAATCTCCCGGTAGACGTCGGAGTTGCACTGGGAGGGTCCGAAGACCCGATCTGAGAGACATTAAAATGAAGTCGAGCCCGAGAATTGGCAACGAGTTATACAGATCTACTATTAAGACTTCACTGACACGAGGCATTACCTTGGCCTGCCTACGAAAGGAATTCATGAGTGTGAGAACCGTGAATCTTACAGTAGAACCACATTGATATGTTTTCCTGGCTGTAATGTCTAACTTTCATAGGGATGCGCGCATCTGGGTCAGTTCGATGGGCACTGAAAGTTTGTCTACAATTGCACAATGTTTCCTGGTTACGATTGCAGATCGACCCGTGCTGAGTAAATACGGTAGTTTTCCACGATCAAGTTCACGGAAATTGACCTATGGATCTGCTTAGCAGGAAGGAGGGAGGGGCCAGAGGAATCAGTTTTATTTCTAGTTCTTAAACTAGGGCAGGGGTTCTCAAACTTTTTGGTCTCACGGATCCCCAGGAAGCCTAAAAAACTGCCGTGGAACCCCCCCTCCCCCTCCATATTTGCCGACTGACATGCAACAGATGCGCGATAGACCATTTGCTATATCCCCCAAGTGTCCTAGCCCGCGCTAAAAAAATCACGGAAACGGTGTTCCTTCAGCTTTTTAGTGATCGGTAATTTCGACCCTATCCTTGGTTGCACAGCTTTTGAGCGTAATTCGGAGTCACCTTGAACAAGCGCCCGATATACTCCAATGATCTGTCATATCGCTTTTAAAATTTCTCCTCAATGTCAGCGTCTTTGACACTGTGCATGCTGTCCACCCTTCAACCTGGACAGGCTCAAAGAAATCTCTTACATTATTATCATGCTGATATTAAATTAGAAACAATAAAAATGCTACAAACAGCCCCGCAGACTCCGAGCGAAATCCTGGTTTTTGTTGTTGCGAATTATCAGCTTTTTAAGCAATTCCTGCTCAAACAACAATCACGAGAATGATAAGATTGTAAGAGATTTCTGCAGCTCAGCCAGGTTGAAAGGTGGATCGCATGCGCAGTATCAAAAATGCTGACATTGACGAGCAATTTTAAAGGTGATATGACAGGTTCTTGGGGTATATCAGGCGCTTGTTCAGGGTGACTTTGAATTACGCTGAAGAACTGTGTAACGATGGAGTTGGTCGAAATTTAGCGGTCGCTAGGGAGCTGAAGGATTCCTCGAGTGCGGGACGGGGCGCTTGGGAATATAGCAAATGGTCTATTGTAGGCAATTTTGCTTGTGTTGCTTCTCATATATCCCCACCATATCAATCGCAATGTCAGTACAAAGTGAGATGAAGGCGCTTTGCATGGTCCTTCTGCGCAGCCTGCGGCGTGGGGGGGAGGGGGGGGTTGCAATTTGGGTGTTTGCGGAACCCATGAGACCAGCTCGTGGAACCCGTGTTCCCCGGAACCTAGTTTGAGAACCCCTGGGCTGGGGGGTGCAAGTCATTGCACGTTATAAAGGAGTTAATATATCTATCCAACCATCCATCCACCCACCGAGCCCTAGAATGGTCGTCCATGCTTTATTACGAGACTAGGTTTCTACATACAGAAGTTCATTGCATAACGAACAAGTACATGAATTATCCCGGCCTGCAAAAGGCTCGGTCCCTCAGCGAAACATTGTCTACTATTAAGTCTCGAAAGAAGACCTCTCTGAAACTCAACGACAACCAAAACAAGGTGGCAATTTCTGCAATTGAGTTGCATCCTAATGTACAGCAAGATATTACCCGTACAAGCAAGGTAAAAACTTTTGTGGCTTGACTAGACATAACTCTTATCCTGTGTTCCTATAAATCTGCCGTGTGTAAACGTGTAGAGTAATATAAACTCACCAAACGTGTGCACCACATCCACTTTGTCATCAGGGAACATAGAGTTGTCTTTAATAGTCCAGTGGGGCTGGTCACCACCGTCAATCTCCCTGCAAAGCGTAAAGTCAAGAAGCGGTTTCCTTGTTTGCATCCCTATTTAGTTACCCATAAGGGTGACTGTCCCACATAGAGTGAGAGTCACATTTATAAAGGGACTATCCATTGGAAAGAGGTAATAAGAAGAAACAAGGAGAGGTACACAAACCACGCCCTACACAAGGGTGTGTTTTGTGTGTCTTGCCCTATTTTTGAGTACTGTAACCAACAAACTCTATTTCAGGTTAGAGGCAATACTTTTGTCAACCTCGATGGGGGGAATAGCCTCTTATTCGGAGACTCAAATGGGCAAAGGGGAAGGGGGATGGTATGCAGGCCTCAAATTTCCTTTTGAAAAGTCCACCTTTTCAGATAAACCAAGCTGGGTCAGTACAGCTCAATAGAGCCAACGGAATCTTGCTTCCTTACTAAAGGAAATGCCCCATTTTCATACCAGAACCATCTGAACCTGCACATTTCTAAAATGGTCCATTAAAACATGCTTGTAAGCTACAGATAAAAAAAGAAAAGGAAAGCAACAAGAAAATGGATTAAGACAGTCTTGTTTTGGTCTGTCTTATAAATTTCTTCTAAGAAACAGTGTGATGAAACAAATGTATGCTTCATGAACCGATATTTACATGCTCATTCTGAGCATGTGAATCTTTCAAGATTCTATGAGCAGAGTAATTTTGAAAAAGGGGACTCATGAGTGCCAAAATAGAGAACAAGAGAATAAAGAGAAACAAAGAGCAGAGGATGGTACCTTAAAGAGGCCCTGCAATCATATTCAAGCGTCTACCTTTTTTGCGTTTTCCACGTCTCTTGGGGTTCGGGCAAGCCAGCGGGCACGGAGAGAGTAACTAAATATCACCGAGTCATATTTTAACCGGACAACGCGGAAACCTCCTCCACCGACGGCGGGGACCCGCGGTACCGAAAGAGTGCGATATGCGACGTCTTTGGTCCTGGACTTACTACTGGTCAGAGCCGCTAAAAGCTTCTTTTTAGTTGAAATACAAAATATAAGTTGCGTGAACCGTTTAAATTATTTATAAAAGTAGTTTTTGTTCAGTATTTTAGATCAGAAAAGAAAAAATGCAGTTCATAAAGTACGGAAACAAGAAATGACCCGTCGACCACGGCGGCGCTGTGGTCGTAGGGACTGGAGGCTCCGACCGGCTCCGAGCGTTCCGAAGGCCTTCGGCGAGCAGCTTTGTCTGGCGGTTTCGCTGTTTCGCGGTATGGCAGTGCGAAGTGGCTCCCATTCTGAACTGATCTTTGCCCCGTGTTTACTGTCGTTTGTGGCCAATGAAGTGTCATGCCGAATTAGTGTTTAATTGCGCAGCAAATGCAATGAGAGCCGCTCTGGCTGCCTGCTGCATACAGCCTACCCGGAACACGCTTTAGTGGTGCCCTCTCGCGCCGTCGACCCTGAGTGCGGCAGCCTGCGACTGCTCGCTAAGCTCACTACCCCTCCTCTAGTTCATAGCCACTCAAGCAGCCAAGGACGTCATGAAGGCGGTTATTTTTTGCTTGTTTTTGTCATTTTAATTTGACTATAACTTTTAAAATAAAGCGAAATTTGAGAAAAGAAAAGTTTTGTTAATTTACTACGTTCAGTGCGCTCAGGTTCGGTGCAAATTAAAAATTAGTAAAGAAGTAATTGCAGGGACCCTTTAAATCAGCTCAAGAAGGAAATAAAAATGCAAGTTGGCCTCTGCAAACTTGAAGGAATGTTAGGTATAACTAGGGTTCGGAGTTTTCGGTTTAAACCGATAAAAGTATGCCGAATTCATTTTCGGAAATTCGTTTTCAACCGAAAAAAGTCAGTTTTTAGGTTCGGCATTTTCGATTTCAACCAATAAAAACCAAATAAAGTACGTCGAATCCATTTTTTTAAAATTCAGTTTTAACCGGAAAAGGTCACTTTAACCTTCCTGTCGTACCACAGAGCCGTGGCGAAAAAGTGGAAAGACAGTGTCTATCGAAATGTGTCCGAATCTATGGGGCACACGGATGCCATCTCGACGTTTTGGTTTAATGTTTGCATCATCGATCGGAACGCGAAGTCCGAAATGCCCCATGACTTCGCCATGTACGAGCGTGTTTTCAAACTCGTTGTAAGGAAGAATGACTTGATGCAAGCTCTGCATGTTGTGTTGTGCTTCAAAACGTCGCACCGCATCTCTTTTGGCGGTCACAATTGGTTGATTGGGCGATTTTGGCTCACGCAGCACTTCATCTCCTCAGCCCGCCAGTGTTAGCATTGAGAGGGCATTCACTAAGCTCAGGGTCATATTAACAGGAAAGAAAAAGTGGGGATCAATGAGGGAAACCTGGGAAAGTACTTGTGTGTCTACTACAAGATCACGCAATCCTGATATATAGAAGGCGAAGTTCCATGCTTTTTGGCATAGGCTTCATATATGACTTGTTTGTACTGCTTTTTTTTATTGATTCTTTTACAGTTGCACACATTTTCCAAATAAATTGTCCATTTCTTTGTCAACTTATCTGTGCCGTTATTCTTTGTGTGAGCACAAATATCAGACCTACAGGGCTCATCTGATACGGTGTCCGTTGGTGTTCATTTTATATTCACCAAAAAAAAAAAACAAACGAAAATTGAATTTTAAAACACCGAAAAGGTACGCCGAATTTTGAAAATAATAGAAACCGAAAACGCAGAACAACCAAATGTATTTCAAGAAAAAAAAAAAAAGAAAAAAAAGAAACAATAATTAGTACGCTTGGGAGAAAAGCGTGTTGGTTTAAGTCATGGATGAAGAAAGAATAAAACAATTAAAAGAGGGACAACACAACCACATCTTAGATGTGGTTGTGTTGTCCCTCTTTTAATTGTTTTATTCCTTTTTCATCCATGATAATTAGTAGTTTGGCGTGATCTCTGCCCAGCTTGTGCCGAAAACGGTTAGTTACGACGGTTATAACGGTTAGTTACGACACTTTGACACCTAGCTGTATTTGCAGATTTGGGGTTGTGCTTTGTACCCCTTGTTCCTTTTGTCACAAGATTATCATCATGACTTACGCTTGACTGAGCGGCCTGACGCGGACCGCTACCTTGATATTTGACATGGCTGGATCGTGAAGGTGGACAGTCACTCTGCCTGGACGAAGGACAGGGGAAGGGTTAACGACCACCTGAAAGACGGACACGACGGCAAGATGGTAAACAAAGTCGGGGACAACGGAACCAAACAAGCAATAATAATAATTCAAATGGACCGAAACCGCAGGTGCATCTTCGACCGCACCGTTGTTCCTCTAAACCGCCGGGGACACTACGAAGACTCACCGAAAGGTCTAATGACGAAGAAGTGAACGTCGAAACAGTCGAGTCATAATAGGAAGTGCGATTAACACAATTTGTAGAAATGACCGAGGTAGAAGTTCTAACTGACAAGCACCGGCAAAATGAGCAAACATGGCAAACATTCGAACCAAGGCGCATAAAAGACGTCACGAGTGTTCTGCGGTTCTTCAATAAAAAACAACAACTTAAAATGCCGTATCAAGAAACCTAACTTTTATTACAAAACATTTAGTATAAATAAAATGTTTTTATTATTTATTAAACGGTTGAGTAATATTTTAAACTACTTTCTTAATAGTTTAAAATATTGCAACGTTGAAGACGGAGCTTCACTGCGATCCCGACCACGCTTTACCTCCTCCATGGTAACCATAGTAACTATTACAACTATGAATCACTACGCGTCCTACGCGTCATACTTGGATTTGCGTCCGTTTTGTTGGTCATCTTTCAAGCGTGGTCATGATCGTAGGATTCCTGCATTCGTACGGAGAGCAGTATGTGAGGTGGGAAGAAATGAAATCGCCTTCCGTCAAGTAATCTCGCGCAAAACGTCCATCTTTGATATTTACAGCGTGTAACAATGTCGCCCCAAACACTGGCATACTAACCTCACGTTGTCCAAACATCTAACGGTTAATTCGACATCTACTTTTTGATTTCTAGTCTTTTTGGCCTCTTATTGAGACTGAAATCGTGCCTCCAGCATTCTGCGAAAGTGAGTTCCAGTTATTTGCTAACATGCTTCTAAACGACAACAACTGTGTGATGCTTCGTGTGTTTTGTATCCTTTGTATCACTCTTTTTTGCGCTTTGCACGTGTCCACCAGTGTTGCCAAATGAGCACACTCATTCCATTCCATTTCCATTCCGGGAATTAGAGTTTCCGATAATTCTATTTCTCTCAGCTCTTTGGATGGGCCCATTCCCATTCCTGAAATGACTGAACCGTCCATATTCCGTTCTTCTAATTCATGAACGTGAAAATGACACTTGGCAGCTGTGCTGTCATTACGAAAAAAAGAGCCCTATAAAGCTGATGTTATCAAACGCATCCACAAATTACTAATTATACTAAGCCGGGCGGTGGTAGCTCAGAGCATTTGATGGCAATGCAGACCACGGGTTTCCCCAGGATTTAAAATAAGAGGGGGTATCTAGATTTTTAGGGGAGGGGGCAAGGGGGGGGGGGGGGGGGGGCACTTGAGAATAGAGGAGTCGTTGCGAATTACGCGGGTGCCTTCAGAAAAACAAGGGGTGTGTGTAGGCAAATCAGATGCAGACATCGGTTGTGCCATGAAAAGCAGAAAGCTCGCAACAGACATCAAAAGTTAGAACCACCCATTTATTTGTCAAACAGTCCGTATGCCCTCCACTTGTTGGATATACATGGCCACTATATATGTTTGATAAGGTGTTAAAAATTTCTAGTTCGTGCATGGAGCAAGAAAAGCTATTGTGCCGTTTGCTTCGGATACTTGTAAGTACCGCAGCACCGCTAGTATGGTGTCAGAAGCGACGCCGCATATACCTTCTCCTAATTTCCATGCACTGGTTCAAGAGTCACTTTAACTGTGCGCTAGTGTTGCACCAGCAGGCCATAGGCCCTAACTAATGATTGAAATACCACGCATAACAATTGAGCCCATTCCATTCCCACTCGATTCCGGACAAAGGGCATCTAATTCCAACCCCATTCCATCCCACCCAGCGCTGCCGCCATTTTATTCCCGTTCCATTCTCGAGTCGTGGACATGCGTAATGATTCCGGAATCATTCCAACTCTGCGACACTGGCAGCTCCAATGATGCCACCTGCGTTGTGCAGCTGCCTGCACTACTTTGTTTCTATAGTATGAATTCTATATGAATGCACGACCCCATTATAGTATGAATTCCCGGAGCATATTTATTAATCTGTCTATAGTTACTGGCAGGGCGAGAACGGCAGGGTGCCTCCTTCAGATGCCTGGCTTCTAACCCTCCAGCATGTGCTCGTTGCCTTGCTTTGGCTGCACATATGCGCTCAAAGGCCGCGAGACGCCGATGTGTCATTGAAGGTTGTGCTAGGGGCGGGACGGCTGAAGGACTTCCCTGCGGATCTAATCCTACCCTTGGGGCCAGACACATTACAGAGGTGAGTGAATTACATCAAAAATTAAAACACCCCATAGCATAAAAACGCAGAATGGAAAATGGCAATTCGTCATGGCAGTTCGAAAACTCTACAAGCTATGGCTCGGGGAAGGTAAGCGATTCACGCAGTGCAGGAAAGCTAAGAATAATGGGGTCGTGCATTCATAGAAGCAAATTATTTGGGTTGCTCTTCTAGATAATGGGGAGAAAACGGTGCAAAAAAGACACAGGGACGAGTAGACGAATGACAGAAACACAGCGCTGAGTCTTTGTTGTTGTTGGCAGATATCAACGTAGACTCACTGGAGTTCACGACTTCGTTTTCTTTTTTCATTGTCTTCAATACATACCAGCAATGAAGTGGGATGAGAAAGGAAAAGACACATTCACAGCAGGAAACTTCTTCAGCCAGCCATTTGAACATATAAAAACGGAGTGTAACAGAATAAGTAACAATACTGTCATATTCTGTGACACTTGGTTTCTATATTTTCGAATGGGCGACTGAAGAAGTGTACCGTCGTGAATGTATCTTTCTTTCTTTTTATTCTACCTCATTGCTTTTATGCATTGAAGAAAATGAGAGAGAAAACAAAGTCATGTGTCAGCACTATGTTCCTGTCTTTCGTCTCCAGGGGGAGATCGGTGGGCGAGTGGGCTAGCGCACACCAGCTTGGAGCACGTAGAACGAAAGCTTGCGCTGCAGAACTTAGGGTTCCTGGGTTCAATCCCCACCCCTGCCTGTTTCGATCATTGTACCAGCATGCGGTCATGTATCACTACTGTGTGATGCACGTTAAAGAACCCGGGCTAGCGGTTGTACTGCACTGGCTAAATTTCTCATCTACAGCTGGGAGACTCGCCGCCTATTGAAGCAGACCAAGTTCTAGGCTGTATAAACATGCACACAACCCAATTTTTTTTCTCATGTGCACTGCGAGATGCCCCGGAGCATGTTCCCGTAACCTGGTGTTCACGGCCTGACTGACCTATGTATATTTTGCCACGGGTGAAAGGTATTTTACATATAACCTGGCTTTGGCAAGGTATGTATGTTTGCTCGTGTCTCAGATCACATTCATTGTGACGTTCCTGCGGGGTATTTATCTTTGGACAGTTTTTTGAGCTTGTCTGGTGCTGAAAATACAACAGGGATGTCATACCTGGAAGCCACCTCTTTTATGTTGTGTGATACCCTGGGAATGTAGGACATCACACATGCACGTGAGAGGCTGTAACTGCAAGCCGATACTGACAGAAACAGAAGTCCTCTAAAGGTTCCGTGAAAAGAGATCAAGGGAACTATACGAGGCGATGACCATCAAAGAAAGGGAAAACTCTTGCGTCAGTGCACCATCCGTGGCGTTAAGTGCCAAAGAACTTCATTACCTTACCTTCCCTACTTGAGGTTGTATCAGTGGTCTACTGTCAGCAACTTCCTCTTCCCTTTTTTTTTTTGCTATTTCTCAATCTTCTTGAATGTAAAATCATTCTCTTTCTTTTTTATATTTTTTCTCAGCTCTGAAGGAGAAAGAAACGCTACTTGTTTCTCATCTTCCATGTGAGTATTGAAATGACAGTTGTGAGTAAGTGCTTCCGTCAGTGTGTACTTGACTTTTGCACTACTTATTTGTAATAGGCATATCCAACTATCCTACCTTAATATTTTACCCCAGTACCTGCTTTGTTCATTGTATGCATTAGTGACATTCATGAGAAAATGTATGATCACTTTGAGTGACTGTTTCTTGACCGTTCACCTTCTTCTAAGCCTTGCAGGTCAAGCACTCTGGACGCCGTCTGGACAAAAATGAGCCGATCTACGTGTCACCACCTTGAAAAGAGAGCGAGTCACTGGCCAAGTCAACCTTTGGCAGTGGCTACATTCTTCACACAAATGCGACCGAATCGGATGAAACGGGGCGCGGTCACAGTTTATCGCAGCTCAGCCGAATTGCATGCTGCCTTTCCCCGTCTGCCCTACTTCTAGCCGACTCGCCTGATCTGATGTTATCATCTCATGTGTGACATGATACGTGTGATGTGTTATTGTTGTTGCATTTTACATTGTACCTTGTGTGGACACAAGAAAGCACAGAGAGTGCTGCACTTGCACCACACTTTCCTCGAAGGCAGTGATTGAATTCTCGAATTGTGTGCGAGTGTATTGGCATTTTCTTGGTAGGGCGACATCTTGACATGCACTGAAGAGGCACAGGTCACGTTGAAACGTGGTGTTTGATTTTTGATTAGAACAGCTTGATCTTAACTCGAACAGGCTGTGAACAATGCATTCATGTGGTACATGAAGGTGAGTTATACGGTCGGGGGACCTAATGTATAGGTCTAATGGTCACAATAACTGGAAATATCAACTGAAATTTGCCGATTAACGTTTTAATTAGTGAAAAGAAACATATGGTTCCGATTAGAAACTTGCTTAGCATAATTAAACACCGCTATATCAGTCAATTTTTTAAAACTGTGTGGGAAGCATGGTGGTACACTAAATTTACCACTTGGGCAACTGGGCGCAAGGCTGTCAGCCTTGCGTCCAGTTCATGAGTGGCAACTTTGGCGTACCCCCACATGTTTAGAGTCCTTACACTCTTGACTGGTTTCGTGGCTTTAGGTGATGCTCAGCGAGTTTCTGATTGAGACCATGTTTATTTTCGCTAGTTAGAAAGTTAATCAACAAATTTTACTTAATTATTCGGCTTTTCGTGACAATTAGCTCTCTGCATTATGTCCCCCCGGCCCTATAACTTGCCTGCACGTACCAGATGAATGCGCCCTTTTGCAGCTTTTTTTTTCTTAAATAAAGCTATTTGTAATATACAATCAGACACCCCATATATTGCTTTTTCACGGCAGTGTTTCTCTGGATGTTTAGGGACAACACCCTCGTTTCTGTGCTGCGTCTTGGCGCTTCCCCTCTTGGGAGTTCTCCTTGGACGAATGCAATCCATCAGTTTTCTGGTTTTACACGCGCGAGTGTTGCCGTACGTCTCATCTTTTTCTTTCCTTGGTTCTTTCTGCTGGGGCCGGTTGGTCAAGCGTAGTTCGATGAATATGTGATAATAAATAAAAAATGAAGTATAAATGAAGTTCGATCTGCCTTCCCAACAGAGTTTGCCGAGACGGCTTCCTACGAAGAATGGCTGGCCACCTACTGCGAGCCCAGGGGCAGCGTCCTGCGCTTCCAGAAAGCCGGGCCGGATCGGCAAACGTGGAAGAAGCATCACCAAGGTAGGACAGGTTACGATGCCCCTTCTGCGCTTGCCGCAACCACAATGCCCGAAACTCGTCTGCCACATTCACCGTTGCCGCTGCGATGCTGCGCGGATCACAACTGGCAGCAGCACGACCGACGGTTTTACGTCGTTGTCGGGCAGAAATCGAGGGACCACTCTTTTGGTCGTGGTAAATAGAGCAGTCGCGAGATGCGTTCCAGGCACCGCACTGCTACTGCTGCAGAACAGATGCCACCATAGGTACGAAAGGGTGCACACTGGAAGGCGACCGTCCGTTCTCACTTTTTTGCTAGGGCTCACTCAGAGATTCACGGAAGCTCCCCGGGGGATGAGATGCCCTTTAAGTGGCTGGGTTTTTCGGGATGTGGTCCTACAAAGGTACGGCCTGTCGGGGCCGGTTCGCCCAGTTGCAACTCCTTACAACCGAGTGCCTTAAAACCTCTTAAAATCTCTTGCGAGACCTGTTGGGTAGCTGTGGACCACACCATTTCCGTACATGTACTTCCTATTTTTCTTTCGCTCATTATTCTTTTCTTTTTTGGCTTGGTAAACCTTTGACACTGTTATAGATGACCGTTTTTCGTAGATGTACATACATTTGATCTCGCAAATATTTTGAAAGCTTCGCTCTAGTAAAATGTAGTTCGAGAGTCATCTGGTAAGTGGGCCAGCAAGCCAGTGTGTTCTCCCGTCACGAGAGATCGCAAGAACTTGGTCGTAAGCAAGCGTAAGTGTGTGAACAAGCCTCTGTGCAGACGACCCAAACCTGTTTTCGTCCCGCAAATGACACTAAAGAAGCTACGTTTGTGGTCGACGGTGCTTTTGGTGAAGTCGGACATTTTCACATCCCTGCAACCTTAATTTATTTTTATTTTCTTTCTCCGTACGTTGCATGCCGTGCTTTAGAGAGAAATCGGGGGGGGGGGGGGGGGGTGCTGTTTTGTTACACGCACACATGGTATGCGTTACAAGTAATCAAATTTCTTGTAATCGGTTTCTTATCAGAGGGATTTGATAATCATACGATTAGTTTGTTCACACAGCATTCGCACCAGTAATCCAATTACTTTTCAAAGTAATCGAATTTCTAGGAACAACTATAATTTTTATGTGCTACAATATTTTTTTTTCTTATCCAAACTATACAATTAGTTCAGTGAGTTCAGAAAAACAAAGCACGAGCAAAAGTCGACGTCACAGATTAGGGACACTGCCTAGCTAGAGGCAGCGCAGCAAACAAAACCAAACGGCACAGAGCCAGCCGGGACCTCTCGAACACACCGACCAAGTTCGCGACCGCAGGTTACATGTACGCCGTTTCACTTTAGGTCCAACTGCAGTCGAATCCACGATACGGTGGAGCCAATCGGGCAGCCCTAAAAGCGCATCGTCATCGAGCGGCGCACGGGTAAAAGTGCGGGATCACGGCGCCTTCCACATGTACGATTGGTTTCGTTGGCGATCACAGACGTAGAAAGGCGAAGAGCGCCGTGACGGTGCATTTTTGGTGCCACTTGATTGGCTCCGTCCAATTGTACTGTAAACTGCAGTCGAACTTCAAGTGAGACGGAGGGCAGCAAAGCTAAAATTTGGGGCGATTGGACACTCTGCAACTTGGTGACCTTATTTTTACCCCGAAAGATAAAAGAAAAAAGAAATGGTCGTTCAACCTTCTGCCCTCCAAAAAAAATGGAACCTGCATGGATTGCTTACTTCGAGCTGCTTTTAACTCATGTGTGAATACTCTGAGGCAGCAGGAAGAGGTCTGGAGGATGAGAACCAAACAAATCTTTATCGTTGCAATTAAAAAGAATAACACGAAAGGTTCTCGGAGTCTGCCCCTCTACCAGTGACGTCACGAGGGGGGGGGGGGGGGTGCGGACCACCTTGGGTGCAGCGCTTGGGGGGGGTGTTGCAGCGGGCCACAAAAGCGGGGGGCGGGGGGGGTGTCGCGGCACTGCTAGTTTTCGCTGTAGTTGACGTTGCTCACGCTGCATGGTAACGCATCTCAGTCACATTATTTGTCCCTACGATCGACGTTGTTGGATCGGCTGCTAGTAACATGGACTTTAGATATACGACTCACCATCTTGAACTGCATTTTTCCCATTGTTAGCAATTCTTCTTTCTTCCTTTTAGTGTCAGGTGATCTGGTGGGTCGCATACATATTTTCTTACAATGGTGTAGTTCTAAACCATGCATTGCCGTTTCAATAAACTGATAAAGGTTCCACGATTTCAGTGGTGTTACCAGAGCTGGGCACTAACTTGAATGGCAAAGCATAAATCTTGTCATATTAACAGTGCCGCAAGAGAGGGTTCTGCTCTTTGTTGCTCCAATTTGTCGAGGCACAAAATCGTAACCTTACACGAAATTCCAGTGCTTAGTTAGCTGAAACGTTCACCCGAAAATATGCGGAGAGCTTTCGTCATAAACTGTTAATGCATATTCTTAGTTTGTAAACGGGAGAACAAATGCCTGCCTTTGGCTGAAGTAGCCATTCAATGTTGCCAACCAGACCTAACCTGCCTTCTTCGTGTCACTCCCACAGGTTGGACCGAGACAGCAATCGCCGGCGAAGCGGCGAGCTTTGACCCCCAGCACAAGAGTGACCCCTGTTCGCAAAAAGACGGATCCGACGTGCCACAGAACAGGTCGGACCAATGGGACAGGTCCGACGTGCCTGAACACACGTTGGACCAACAACAGGCCAATCGCCAGGGCTGCGGCCTCCCTCTCTCCAGCATCGCCACTCAGCACGTCTCCACACACGCACGAACGTACGTGCAGGGAAAGCCTTTCAGTTGTCTCATCTGCCAGAAGACCTTTGCGTACAAGGGCAGCCTCCATGTTCACCAAAGGGTCCACACGGGGGAGAGGCCTTTCAAGTGTGGCACGTGCGGGAGTGCGTTTAGGCACAGCTCCAACCTGAAGGAGCACAAGAGGATACACACCGGAGAGCGGCCGTACAGGTGCGAGGTCTGCGGAAGGACGTTCTCGCAGATAAGCCATCTGAAGGGACATCGACAGAGATGCCACAAGTGCTAGGCCCGCAACCCGTGATACTTGTGGCAAGACTGGTTTTGAGCTCAGCAGCACATTCATACCTGTTTAATGTGGGTCGCAAGATTGTCACCTTCTTTTTGCAGGGGTTGTGGTGACGTGCCTCGAGGTCTGCCCCCATCCTTCAATCTGAGCACTGCGTTTTCACGTCACTACAACCCCTGCAACAGAAGCAGACGAACTTGCGCTATATATAGGCATGCATCTGCTCCATTTCTGAGCAGTAGGGTTTGCATGGTTGTGATGCTTTATGGCATATTTTGCATTTAAAGGAAAACAAATGACAGGGGAGCCTCAAGAGACTGCCAGTTTAATCTTTCTTGACACGATAAATATAACTAATACCATAACCACTTTTGCTGTTTTAAATGTGAAAGCATTAACTGTCGCATGGAATGAACCGACGTCATCAGCCTTGAAACCACGCCAAACGTTGGTCAAACGGCACCTAAAATCCCCTTTCCCAAGTGAGGCCGATTTCTGATGGATTATGCTCCCATTGGTTGGAGTGCTTCATCAAGGAACGAGGCTCCCATTGTTCCAAAAGACGTCACCAGAGAAGCCCTCTCCATGGCGGCGCAGCACGTGCAGCGGCCCGGCCGACGGTGCAGGCCTGGCAGCAGAGCCCGCTTGTGCAAGCTCTGGAGAGGCTGCACGGCCGAGCTCAGCGCAGCGTGGCCACTTCACGAGAGCGTGTGCTCAACTGTCGGTCGGGGAAACATGGCTGTCCACGCCACTACGCCGCAGACAAACTAAGGGAGCAAAAAAACGACATTCATGCTTTCGCATTCACAACTCATAAGTGTTTATGTGTCTTTCGTCTTTTTTTGTTTTTTTACATTTATAAACTAGCTGCTTCAGGTGGAGTCTTGGAATTGTCTGCACTGTTATTTCTGTTATTTAGAGGTTGGCATAACTGCATATTTTAAAGCTTTCTTTTGGGCATGCATGAAGTTGCATTTTCACTTGTCATACCTTCATCCATACATGTAGATAAGTGGATATGGAGGGAGACCCTATAAAGGAACTAACCGGCCAAACGCACTCACGACGTCAATCCCTCCACTCTGCGCTTGTGTCACACTGCCCGTGGCACAAACACATCAATTGTAGAACCGTGCTCCGGAATTGTTGACTGTTCGAGGTCGGATTCGGCTACAATGGAGCACCGCTTCCCCTTAGCATTGTTGAAGGTCGTGGTGAGCGATCAAGATGGTCCGCCGCAACAGGAAAGATGGGGAGGGTAGCGATAGAGAGGGAATGCTTTTGTTGACTTGATAGATGGTGCCACGAAACTTCCGTCTTCTGAACGACGTCATACCATAGTTTCAATGACCGCCACACGTGGCTGCAGATTAGGACAAAAATGTTTTCTCCTTTGTCATCACACAGCAAAATTGCGGTATTTCGAGGGAAGGTGGACCGTTTTTTCTCACTTATGCCAAGATTACCAGTATAAAAAATACAAGCTGCAAATTCTTTTAACAATAAAATCGTTGCGCTGCCCCTTTACTTAGCTAACTAATTACCTTACCATATTTTCCAGACCATGGTCTGCACCCAATGCATATTCAGCAGAGAAACATTTGGTGTCAAAAATAAAAGTTTTATTTGGTGCATAGCCCACACCTTGCATAGTCCGCACTTAGAAATATCATACACAGCAGACGTTGACAAATGCCTGCTGTACTAGCTTACAAAGAAGCTTGTATTGTATGTAAATCAGCATTAATATACTCTGTTATTCGTAGAATCCTTCATGTCACAGTAAACAATCTAGAAAAAAACGGATTCTTGCATTGTCCGCACCTTTAGATAGTCTGCATCGAGTAAAATTTTAATCATGTATAGTCTGGAAAATTTGGTATATTGTCTTTTTCTATTGGCCCCCGTGGCCACCAACTTAGCCCCAGGGCTAAAAGAACCCTAATGCAAATCCCCTTTTTGAAATTCTAGATCCTTTTAAGGGAAACTGAAGTGGTTCTGTATTTGAGTAAAACACTTCAATCGTCTTCATTTAGACTCCAGGATCACGAATATCGAGAATATTTTTCAATTTGGTGCACAGAGGCTATAGAAAATCATTTTCTAAGTTCTGCTGAAGCCCCTCCTTCCCAGAGGGGTTACGTCATAGTAGCAGTTTTCGGAATCTCCGCTCTTTCGCATCTTCAGCACTTGACAAAGCTACGCTCATGCAATCTTGCTATTTTAAAAAATGTGAGAAAAAGATGTCACGACTGGTGCCAGTGCAGGGGAATATAACTGGCAAGCATGCAATTGCACGTGCTCTCCACACGAGTGACGCATGCTTGACGGCCGAAAACTCCTTTTATGACGCAACGACTGGTCGGACATTTCTCACATTTAGTTACACCTTCGGAGAAAATGAATGTGATATTCATATTCACCGGATAAAAATACTCTAAAATACACCTCTAACTTTTTTTCTTTTTTTGAGAAGCTCCTTAGCTTTTGTTTAAAGAACCCTCTTGGATAGTGCATATGCATGCTTTTTTTACGCAGGACAGCAGTGCATAGGTACCGACTGCAGGCTTCTCTTGAAACTTCCTGAAAGAGGCAGAGCTCTCTCCCCTCCCTTTCCTGTGAGAGGCAAGATGTCACACCGCAACATAGGCGCAGCCAGCAAACGACACACCCCGATGTCTGCTTGCTGCGCCTATCAGGAGATGGTGCTGCAAGTTAGCAGTGTCACTAACTTTGTCGTCTGCAAACGTGCCCGACATTGGCAAGTTTGTTGCTCTCACTTTTTAGAGAAAGAGAACTACAGTGCAATCCCCTTATAACTATAATAAGGAAACATGAAAATTATGTTGTTATAACTGATTATCGTTGTATCTAGACTAGAAACTGTTATAAGCAGATGCCATTATATGTGGTATCGTTATAAGGGGATTGCGCTGTACACCTTGAAATTTCACATGGTAAAAATGACTTGCTCAATGAAGTGAAAGTTCAAGCTTAACTAAGGCCTCAGGCCACCAGGAACATTGAAACTTTCTGCCTACTGTATTTACTCGCACAATGAACGCACCCCCCAAGTCGGCTCTCAAAATTTCGACTCTTTTTTTTCACTCGCGTATTAAATGCACCCCTAACTCCGATGTCAAAATTTTGACCCCCTCCACCCCGCGCGCGAAATGGACGCACTTTTCTATCCTGGTGCCGCGAGGTCGCGAATGCATGGGCAGCGTGGGCGAACAAAACGCCTTGCAAAAGGAGTTAAAAAAAATTAAAAAAAAAGATCCAACGGAAGCAAAAAAACAAAACATTTTTTTTTTTTTTGCACAGCGCAGTTTGGACTTTGGGTTCGCGCGCCGCACGCAAAGAGATAAGAGGAGCGGAGAAGCCTTCGCCTAAGCAACGCCTAAGCAAACGAAACAGCTTGCGAAAGGCGGCAAAAAACAAACAAAAAAATAAACTGAACTAAGAGAAAAAAACACAAAGGAGTTTTTTTTTTCTTTTTTTTTGCACAGCGCAGTTTGGTTACGGGGTCGCGCGCAAGGAGATAAGAAAGATAAGCGAAAAAGTCCTCGCCTAAGCAAACGCAACAGCTTGCGAAAGGCGGCAACCCCCCCCCCCCCCCCCCCAGAAAAAAACCAAAAAAAAAAACCCATGTAACTAACAAGTTTTTTTTTTTTTTTTTTTGTACAGCCCAGTTTGGTTACAGGGTCGCGCGCCGCGAGCAAAGAAATAAAAAGTTACGTTGATTTTTCAGGATAAAAGGTCCGTTCATTATGCGAGTAAATACGGACGCAAAAATTTTACTTCGCGTAATGAACTACCCCCCCCCCCCCCCCCCCAACTTTGCATCGATTTTTCGGGAAAAAAAGTGCGTTCATTCTGCGAGTAAATACGGTATATTGCAGTGTGTGACGTCCCACCTCACTGAGTTACACTTACTACACCGACAGACCAAAATGGTGGAAAAAAAAGGCATCATTCCTTTATTTCCAAAGGTAACAGGGAAGTCACAGACTTTGAGGAAAAACCTCTCGGAACAGCCCAGATCCCAATGCACCCTTGGGGACAAGTCGTAAATCATGCTCTCGACGACATTCCCCAGTCGCGTCGACGGCACATTGCGCACATTCTTTGGGCCCGGACAGCTGCGCCGAGGAACCAAATTCGCTGATGAAACGAGAACGGCAAGGAGTCGTTCAAGTGCTCGGCCCCTGGCACATGCTCCGTGCCTTCAGCTGCGCTTTGGCATGAGTTGCCGAGCCGCCGAAAGCGCCGCCAAAGCCAAGAAGCTCGCACTGGAGGCCGGGACACCGAAGCTCCTCCCCATCGTGATCACCTCCTTGCCCGGAAACGAATAGAGGAAATAAATTTGGGAATGCTTCAAAACGCAGGCAAGGCAACGCGACGACGACGACGTTTTAAATACTAGGTTTACACAACGCTCACGAGCGAGGGAGTCCACCACGCCGCAAAAAACTTGTGTGTCACGGTTTCCCACCCGACAATAGCTGCTATGCGACGCGCTAGGGACGTGCACTTTGACGCCACGGAAAATGCCCGGAAAGAAAGAAGCAATGAGTAAAATAAGCTCGGATGGCCGTCCAAAACGGGTCTAGGCCTTGTCGGTAAAGTTGGTCGCTTAAGCCACTAAATGAGCTGCGCTTAGAGTATCGGCACCCCGCTCCCCGATATTGTTGTGGGCGCCACCATCTTGGTGCTTAGTACAGAGCAGATGCAACTGCCGATCGTCACGATTCAAAAGTGCGACTTCCTCAGCATTACATTCCGTGTTAGGAAGCTCACGTAATATTGCTTCGCTCTGTCAGGAACTGTTTAAACATTTGTGGAGGACGGAAAAGCGCTCCTTGTGATTTTAGGTATAAAGCTTCAGGTAACTGGCAACCATCACTTTAAGCCCCAAGAGGGGTAAGTGTCATTACTCTGAAGCGTAGCTTATTTAGAAACATTAAACTGTCACAAAATAGGCTATGCTCAGAGTAGCGGTAATCCATTCTCTTGTTTTTCTCGTGGCCGCCGCTATTTTGGCGCCCAGTGCAGAGCAGGCGCAACTGTTACGATCCAAAAAATGCGACTTCCCAAGCTTTGAATGCGGTGTCGGGAAAGCTCAAGGGATGGAGTTTTGCTGTTGTGAACCGTTTCAACGTTTCTGAAGAACAGAAAGGCATTTCCTGTGACTCCAGATAAAAGCTTCGGACACCTGGCAACAACGATTTTAAGCACCCAGATTCTAGGCTAGGTGGCGCAAGCTACTGCTCTTTATGAGGGGTTCAGCTGTTGGCATCAGAGCTGTACATGTAGAGAGTTCGGTCAATGGGAGGTGCGGGCAGAGTCGGGGCGTGCGGCAGAGTCGGAAAGAGGGCTTGGCATGCTCTCTTGACCAACCAGAAGCCGAAAAAAATCCCCTAGCGTTGGTAGCGGCAAACAGTTCTGATCAAAAGTCTATGTTCGTATATGGTTTTAATAAGTGCGTAAGAGTGAAGTGTAGTGACTCTTTGTGGTTGAAAATAGGGTGCACGTGTTGTTTTGATTATGATCATGCAGAAAGATGTAAGAAACTAATGCGCCGCGCAACTCTGTTTTGCGCGGACAGAGTGTGACCGTTCGGACGGCAGATTCCCGGCCCTGGGTGCTTGGCGTACGGATCATGTCGATCGTTCCGCTAGTCGCCCTCTTCCACCATCATTTTGGATCAATGTGACTGAAACATCACGTGTACCATATTTTCAGCCATTGAGAGTTACTCCAATGCAGTTATCAGGTTTGTTTCTCGCGACCACCGCCAGGGTATTATTTCCGGCTTCTGGTTGGTCACATTCAAATTTCTGAAGACGCCCTGGAACACGCCCAGCCCGCTTTCGGCCAATGGCGCCTCCTCATTTGTCTCCTATACTTCCCAACGAATGGCCAAACTCTCTACATTTACGGCTCTGGTTGGCATCCATCCATCCATCCGATTGCCGAAGTGCCGTCACTACGAAGCGTGGCCCATTTAGTGGCTCTAGGTAAAGCTAGAAAGGAAACCCCATGGACCCTAAACCACCGAGAACTCGAAACGCCCAATTAAAAACTTGACTTGCCTCTTCTTATTTTTTGGCTTCGTTTGAACAAACTTGGGTGCGAGCTCCGCAGTTCCAGACTGCAAGCCTCTAAATGGCAGCTCGTCATCGCCAGTTGAATGCAAATGATGTTGCAGCATTTGCACGTTGATGTGCAACAAAAAAATCTAGAGTTAAAAAAATAGACATTTCAACGCCACTATTGGCTAATGTGGCCACCTACTAAGACCTGCGGGGAAGGTTGTTGTTTTTTTTGTATTTTTTTGTTACACAACTTTTTTGTTTGTTTTTTGAGTTGGCTTGCAAATGTAGCTGGGCGTGGTCCTTAAGTTTGGCCGTTTCAATCGAAACTTTCCGAGATAAAGCCATGAAGTTTCTACCGTAAAATATGTGGAACGTTTGAAATTCAAAGTTTACAAGAACGGAGCAGCATGCGCTTGGCATAAACCGTTGAGTGAAAATAAATTGGCAACCAAAGTGCAAGGCGTGCAAAGTGAAAAACAGGTACAAACGTGATAAATAAATTCTTCGCAGCTAGTTGTCATGCAACAGGTGTAACGTGCAATCTACATATCAGTTTTTCTTTTCCTCCTGTTTTTGCAACTTTGTTGCAGACAATTCCAAAGAACAGAAAACTTGCGAACCTCATACACTCAGCTCGTGCTCCATTCTTATTTCGTTTTGAATTTCATAACAAACAGCATTTTCAAAGTTCAAGTGCCATACTGTTCTACATTCATTGTCTTTTCATGTCTCTGGTAGCCTCTCTGCCCTTTGAAAAAGTAAAGCACATTTGAGGCCTACTCCCTTAGTGCAAACTTCCTTACTACAAACATGAGCAGCGGTGGAGTTGCACCTAAATGCTTACTTCGAAACATCACAGTCATCCTTGGTTTGGGGCTAGCCTTTAACGACCCTGAACTAACTAACCAAGAGTGAAGCAACGTTGAAGATTAGGGGAAGTACAAAGCCAGGGGTACAAACTTATATGGGTGACATAAGGCAGGAAGCAACTACAGGGCAGTCTAGAAATGACTACCCCTCTCGGATACCCGACGTTCCATGTAGTATCTTCCGCGCCCGGCGAATATTGAAATGAGCGTAAAAACACATGCTTTGGCATAAACTATGAAAAGCAGAAGCTTCATGTTAAAGTCCTCAGACATGGTAAGGGGCTAACTACCCAAAAATATAGTCAGAGTGCAGGCCAGCTGGTGTATGTTGAACATGATGGTAAACCTGAGACTAGGGTAGGAAAACGGAAAACGCGAAGGAAGACATAAAAAGAATTGAGACGCTGCCTGCTCTTTTTCCGTCTTCCTTCGCGTTTTCTGTTTTCCTACCCTAGTCTCAGGTTTACCGTCATGTTCAACCTTTGCTACACCAATTTTAAGTAGCCACTTTTGGTTACTCTCAGGTTCTTGATTCAGTAAGCACAGAAAAAAGTAACTCGTTGATGACACTATGGTAATTTCTTTTCACTTGGAAATTGGGTACCAGTCACGGAAACTTAAAAGAATAGACACGCTGGTGTGGGTCGTATAAAATGACTAATCCTTGCATTACTTTCCCAGCTACACAAACTGCACTATCAAAATGCCTCAGTCTGATGCCACCACACACCTCAAAACATCCACACATGAACTAAGCAACCACCTTCTCCCCTAATGAAAATTATGTATGCTGAGAAGATAGTTGTTCAGAAATACAGTTGATATTGCCTCTTCTAATTTCAAATTATGATGTAACTGGACAGCCTGACAAACACACTTTCTTCAGTACTTCATTTTCTTTGCCCTTGAGAACCTAACCTCAGGAGAGGTCACCCCCTACACTTGATTGACAGCCCATCTTTTGTCTTGTCAAAGAAACAAGCACTAAAAAAGTGGTTTCCTAAAAAAAGAAGTGACAACTTGAAGACTGGTTACCTTCCTCGCAGTTTCATACTTTGGTGCCACCGCAAATCCTGCAACAAACGAGTTGCCAATAATCCCCATCTTTCCTTATAAAACCAGACCAGCCTTGAGAGAGCCTACCTTCCCCCCTCCAAAAAAAAAAAAAGAAAAAGAAGAGGGTACTCCCTAGGATTAGCCTTCCATCCCTCCCAATACTGGATTCCAATGTTACTACACGCACTGCAATACCCACATATGAAACAAGCCAGCTCGTTCTCAGTGAAAAGTATCTACTCCCAACAGCTATCCTCCATCTCCTGAGGTTACTCCCCAGAATTAGCCTACCCTCCCAATTTTGGATTCCCACGTTACCACGCACACTGCAACGCCGTCGCAAAAAAACCGACCAGCTCATTCGAGGAGAAAATGATCTTTGCCTAATGGTAGCAACCCTCTCTTTCCCCGAGAGAAAAGAGGCTACCGCCACTATTAGCCCCCCACCCCCCTCAATTTCAAACTCTGATGTCGCCACGCACAATGCGACAACTACATGTGAAAGCGGTCAGTTCGTTCTTAGCAAAAACAGTGTATGCCTCACGGCGGACACCCTTTCCTTCCCCGAAGAGGGTTGCTCCCGCCGCTAAACCTGCAGTACCAAACCGGCGGCCGACACGTTGTCGCCGCCGCCACCCGTGTGGAGGACCTTGGTGCACACGAGAACGGGGGCGACACAGATCTCAAAGTCCGCCTCCTGCCAGCAGGCGACTGGACGCTTGCTGTCAAAGGGGATCCGCCGGGCGCCCTGGCCCCGGCTCGTCGTGAAGGAGTCGTCCATGATGACTCGCGCGTGCTCCGTGTCGATGTCGTCCGAGCCGCAGGTGTAGCGGTGGGCGGTCAGAGCGGACTTGGCTGCGGCGGCAAGCGAGTTCTTCCACGGGGAGTCCCTCGCAACCAGGATTGCCTGCCACGAACGAAGAAGTGGTTCATCAGTTGCGTGCAATGTTGGAGATGGCATGCAGTGTAGGGATGTGCGCCCTCCCCACAAAACATTCTTTGACTAGTACAGTAAAACCTCGTTATAACAAAGTTGAAGGAGCGATCGTAATTATTTCGTTATAACCATTAGTTTGTTATAGCCAATGTCCATTTCTTCCCACTATTAGCAAGAAAGGGGAATTATGATTGCTTTGTTATATCCATTAGTTTGTTATATCCAATTTTGTTATAACGAGGTTTTACTGTATTTGGACAAGGTAGGCCATTTTTCTCTTGGCAATGGTGGAAAGATTTCTTCTGCGTGGAGTCTCTCGCAACCAGGATTGCATGCCGCAAACAAAACGTCAATCAATTGCGCACAATTTCGGAGGTGGCGCGTGACATTGGAGCTAGTGTGCCATGTAGGATATTGCACGAAACGGCAGAATGCATGTTTGCACACCCTCTGTGCAGACAAATTTTTAAAGATAGTTGGGCTCGTAGGTTATCTTTGAGCACTTTTCCACAAACGGAAAAATGAGATCAAGACGAGGCCGCTCTACGTTCTGGCTAGCATCGATCTCTGTCGGGACACTACGGTGTGCAACGACGAAAGAACCGGTAAGGAGATGCGGCAGTGTTGACATATCCGTTGGGAAAGAGCGTTTTAAGTAAGCTGCCCACATATGCTCATGGCATCTCGCTTCGGTCAAATTACAAGTTGGCAACTAGTGCAGTTGTTTAGAACCGGGTGTTCTTCATTGAGCAAAGTCGTCAAACAGTGGAACTAACTTCAAGGTCCTTGAAGGTTGCACAGACCACAATACCATATTTCGAAAGAAAAATTATCGTTACTACGTCCATCTGTATGCAATGATCTCAAATCTAATACTCTGAAGGGATACTTCAACGAAATTTGAAATACACCCGTCGTGTTCACGAATAGGCTGAATATGATCCACAATATCCGTAAATGACAATCGCACGTTTGTATTTTGAGCCTGGTGGCTGTATTTTTCGTTATCAAGGGGCGAATCTGGCAAACGATCGGAGAGCACCCAGCGCAATTGTGACATAGTTTGTCTCAGGACCTTATGTCCGGACGCAGTGGACGTTGTAAGCTATCCCAGCCAATCCCACTCTGTGAACAAAGCCCGGGATACGCTTTCCGCGCGTCGCTGCGCACCCTCCCTAAGGTCAAGTGACATTCACACGGCTTTAGATAGGCCCCGATGGCTCGCAGCATCCGCTGAAAGCAGCCAAGCACATCAGCAATTGGGCCACCGCAAATAACCCCAAAACTGCCTTTGTACGAATTTTGGGCGATGGGTTCATCTTCTATAATCTTGTAGAGGGACAATAGTGACTTCTGGGACAAACAAAAGAGAGTCTCCAAGAGAGGGGAGCTCCTCCTTCAGCTCTTCTCTCATGGTGGCCGGAGGCGAGACAGTTATCGTCACTACCTGACAAGGTTCCTAGACGGGCATTACAAACGAGGCGCTAGCAACATAAACCAGGTGCTCTTTGCTAATAGTTTAATTCGTGTTAAATTCTTTTTCCTTTTTCAACAAGAGATTGGTATGTCTGGTGTGACAATGCTCTCTTGAACACATAGACCAAGAAATAAACGTTGCAATTTCGTTGTAGTCTCCCTTTACAGAGGGGGGGGGGGGTTCACCTTGTGGGAAAACTAAGGACTTGCGGATCAATAATCCTGCACGTTGAACTTTACCTGGAAGGCGAGGGTGTGGATGTGCAGGCGACTGAGTCTCCGCCTGCCTGCATTCTTTTCGTTGGTGGCACCGTGACGCGATGCTTGTTCTTGCACAAGCCTGCAAGAGCCGATAAAAGGAGTGAAAAATGAGGAACACCGCTCACTTGCTCGTCCCACAAGATGCAACTCGTGCGAGGATCCACGAGGACAGACTGGACCTAAGACAAGCGACACCAGGCTTAAGGCAAAAAGCTGGAATTGGCCGTACAACCTTTAATCGATGTGCCACGTGACACAACTGACATAATTGTGCCGCACACAGAAAGTGCCAGATCGCTTTTCAGAATTATTTCGAGCCATGCCTACCTTACACTATACAGTATTTAGAGCAGCACAGTTCGAACAAGTTATTTTGGCAAAGGTACCGCGAAACCAGAGTTCGCTGTAGGCAACCGAACGGCCGTTATTTACCACACGCAATCGTCTAGGGACAATGATGTTAACCTTGTGCACCACGAAAGGAATCGAAGTAGCTTTTGGCCCAAGATGGTTCTCTTTTTTTTCCCGTTCTGCTAACTCCCGAGGCTTGCAGCCCCACTGTGATCTACCTGAGCAGTGGCGGATTTAGAGGGGGGGGGCGGTCCAAATGTCCTGAACCCCCTCTTGAATTTTGCATGTGCATAATATTTAGGGCATGGAAACGGGAAGAGGTGGGGGGGGGGCTTAAACAAAGAATACGCTGACCAACACCTGACCCCCCCCCCACCTCAAGAAATACCTGCATCTGCCCCTGTACCTGAAACAGGTGCTTGTAGTCCGTGCGCCGCACTCTGCTGCCTACAGGCAACACACAATTGCACTGCGCACTAACCACAACGTTATGGGACGTCGCGGCGTGACGTGAACGCTTGCACCACGCTTTATAATCGCGAAGCATTTATCCCAAAGTTACGTTAACGGAAGTATGGTGCCCGCAACGCGTCTCCGACCGCTGTGTTTCCCGCATCCTAAAAAGTGGTCCCTCGATTTCCGCCCGACGACGTCGTCAAAGTGGCGCTCCATCGTAGCAAACGCGACTGCCGAGACCCGCTCACCCGTAGACGTCCCTCATCATGTCCAGCACGGTGGCAACCCTGGGGTAAGAGTCCGCCACGTAGGAGACGTTGCCGTACTTGAGGATGCTCAGCAGGTTCGGAAGCTCCTGCTCATTCATGCCCACTGAGTCGGAGTAGGGCAGCACGTGCTCCGCGAGCTCGTGCAGGAGCGTGGGGTCCGTGTAGGACGCCATCTCGAAGTGGAGCGGCACCGCGGGGTCCGCCTCCTTCATCATGTCGCGGACCTCTCGAACGTGCTCGGCACGCTGACCTGCGAGTGGCGACGTCGAGTGTTTGACTCCGACGGGGAAGGTGTTTCACAAACTTGACACCGCCCCGAGACGGTCCATTTTTGGGACCTTTCGTGCTATTCTTGGGCCTAACGGTCCAACTACATGGTGAAGTTCTGACTCCCCGACGCCAGCCCAGCATGGGGAAGACATTCCAGTCGCTGGAATTACCGATTTCGCCGTGACTAGCCGGCAAGAGATCAAAATTTGGGTAACCGAGTGGCTGCATCAAGTTCGAGAAGCACTGTACGTGGTCTGACAATATGCTTAACGGACAGCCAATGTAGCACTTAATGCGGATGGCAATGCTATGAAACATGAATCAATTGATGCCTTGAATTGGCGTCTAGTTGTGTGCAAAGACTGATATGGTTAGGTCAGCTTTTCTGATTTGCGTAGCGCCCTGAACTGCTCCTAGCTTTTGTGATGTCATTCGTTGCCACCTTGGGACTGCTTCCGACGAATGGGCGGAATAGGATGCTAAACACACACCTGGCATCATCTACATGACGACACCCTTGTGAGGCCATTTTTGACCAAACAGGGGCTAGCTGAGCTAGAACACCTTTCTCAGTTGTAAGATCTGACCCCTGATGAGTCCACGTTCTTCCTCAAGCTGAGGATGGTGCTGAAGGGAACACGTTTCCAGGGTGTTCAGGACATCCAAAGTGCTACGACAATGAAACTTGCAAGGCGTCCAAACAAGTGTCCCATGATCTGTAAAAGCATCACGTGCGACGCACATAGCTCGGAGATGACTCTGTCAAAGAAGGGGTTCTCAAAGCTCCTCAGCTCAAGGAACCTCTATTTTTTTTCTATGATTGGCAGAGAATACTTCCCATCTCAACATTGATTCAATACAAGCCTACAGTCAACAAACCACCCCTCCCTCCACTGCTACAGTCGCCGTCAGCTCTGTGGTGAACTGTCTTTTGTGTTGATCACTCGCTGCTACCTTCGACGAAGCTAATCCTTCAAAAGTCGACAATCGTGGAGGAAGTTATTTCCCGTTGGGTTCCCAAGAGAGAACCCAATGGAAACTAGATGGTCCCCTAGAGTAGGTACCTCACTTGAAAGACGACGTGAGAATTGAGAGGCACTTTGACCTTCCATTTGTTTCATTTTTTAAACTAAAAAGTAGCGCACAAAAGAAAATATGGTTTTCCGTTCCTAGTTCCATAGGTGAAGCAGATTAACTCCTGCATAGGATTGCCCCAAGTCCGAAATTCGTTGCCCCGGCCCTTTAAGAACCCAATTTAAGAATTCATGATATATCTGATATCTTCAGCAGACATCTGCTTTGGTTTGTATTGAGCCTGTCCTGGAACGAGATTGACGGACCGGGCACGGGCAATGCGAAAGTGCCGTCAACGTGCATGCACCAACAGCACCACATAATGCAGCCGAGAAGATACCCTAATCCCAATGGCAGATGTCCTGAAGCCAGAGACCGTGCCGAAATTGTGCTTCCAGACGCGACGTTAGCCCTTGCGGTACCTCCCGACATTGGAGAGCGGTCCAAGGCCGGCACGTACCTTTCTCAAATGGAAAATTGTCCATCATCTGAAGCCCCGAGATGACTAGCAGGTCCGGCCGGAACGGCTTCAGCTCGGGGACAAAGTTCCTGACCGAGGCCAACTTTGGGTTGATGTGGTCATTGTGAATGATGAACCTGCATTGGCACAAACAAACCAGCAGTGTGTTTCTTTCTCTCTTTGTCGCTTTTTCTAACGTTCAGCTGGTAATCAGTAAGCATGGATAACCAACCGGCTCAGCTACAGGCCATCAAAACGAAACACCTCTGTTAGGTAGCACCTCATACAATTAGTACACAAGTAAACATTTCAAAATATCGGTATTCTCAAGCCAAAGTGACGGGAATGGTGTCTCTTACGCTTACAGACAGTGAATCAAAAAGCTCTTGCCGGAGTCACGGCGAAATTGGGCACATGGGCTCGCACACGTGCAAGCCCATGTGCGACACGAAATGTGCAGTCAATGTCGGCTGGACGCCCCGGACCGGGTATAAACTTTATTTGAATGAATTCTCTCTCTCTCCCCAGACAGCCTGACCAGTTTTGACCATCATCACGAGTAACGGATGCCATCTGGTGGGGGGCTGTCTGTGAACTACAAATAGAGGGCAGCCGCGCAGGCCTCTGTCCGTCAAAGCACAAAGGCACTGTGCTGTAGTATCGTAATTTTGTTGCTTTTTATGCCCCATATTATCAATGCTTAAAAAAATATAGTAAGAAAAAAACTATGCGCAAGGATAGGTGCTGACAATGTTGGTCATGCCTTCCAAAAGTGGTGACGCTGGGAAGCGGGTCCAGGGGAGAGGCAGTCTTGTACATGTTACTCAAAGAAAGTAATTGATTACAATTACTCTTAATTAAAAAGTATTCAGTTAAGTTACATGATTACTTAACAAGAAAAGCAATCGGCTGTTACTCAAAAAAGTAACCGCTACTTTTCCGATCACTTCAGATTTTCAAATCGACAGGTTTTTCTGCCGGTTTAGAAATGGGTCTTTTGTACTGTCCGATGTTAAACTAGAATGACCGAAATAAAAACTATGCGTCCTCTTAATGCTCCAATTTGGACAAACCATTCACCTGTCGGAGACTTGGTTCGAGGATTCGTTGGTAGAAACTGTGTACGAGCAAAGGGCTCAATTAGAAAGGGGAGGGAAAAATTGTAAAAGTTACAAGCAATCGTAGTAATTCCAAATGTACATCAGGTTACTCTTGCGATTACTTGCTATAGAAAGTAATAAAACAAGTACAAAATTGTTCAAAAAAGTAATTGATTGCGTACAAGTAATTTGATTACTTGTAACGATTACCGTACAAGGCAGCGCAGAGGATTGCAGGAAAAACGTCCATCTGTAAGGAGGTCGCCTCATGGGTGGATGGATGATAACGGCTGTACCCTCTATAATGAGCGGTATGTAGCTTGCGCCACCCATTCCAGGAACCGAAAGTATGATTTTTCCTCCCCGCCAATTTTCTTACCTCTGTCTTTTTGTAATTATCACCAGGTGGTGCGGGATAGTGCCAAGATGGCCTTTAAAGAATCGAGCAAAAAAAACCTCCAAGAAACATCCCTTGCCTTTTTACCCCTCAATCAATCAAATGCTTTAACCTCGTAATCATTGTCTTCAAAATTACATTAATTGTATTTAAAATCAAATTTATAGCCAAAAACAGAATGGGAGCAAGATAAAAAAAAAAAAGTCAGTACTGCCATCTGTTGGCACAACTGCAAACTAAGCCATGAGCGAGCCTGCTTTGCCAAAAAAGGGTTCAGTGCGTGAACCGGGGAAAGCAGACGAGCTATACTCGTCGTGAATGGTTTGGGGACGGTTCCACGTTGACGAGCTAGGCTCGTCCCAAATGGGTAAGACAATTAACGTCCCCAAGAGGGGGCTTCACCTGTTGGCTCGTGGCGACTGGTACCGCCCCCAGCGGAGCCCCGCGGGGTACTCCAAGAGCAGGTGCACTTCGTCGTGGTCCGTGAGAGGCCCCGCCACCGTGACGCCCTCTGGCAGCTCCTTCCGGAGTTTCTGAGACATGTGGGCTCCCAGCAGGACCTCGCAGCCTTCCCGTGCAAACCGGTTGGCCATGAGAGGAGCGTTGCCGCCCACATGGTACTCGGCACTCTCTGCAGACCGCGCTGCCTCCACCAGGGACGCAAACAGGCTGGCGTTGGACACGAAGCGCCTGCGAGGAGCGGAGGTGGCAGTCGTTATGGCGGTTCTGGACCGCCGACATTTCGGACGACCCCTTCTGGATTGGCAGAAGTGATGGGGGTCCACCAGCGGGGAAGTGGGGTGTGCGGAGTGCAAGTTCATCTGTTTCTTTTGCAGGGGTTGTGTTGACGTCAGAATGCCGAGCTCCCATTGGCTCTGATTAAGGCAGCTTGCTTTATGACTACCCACTATTTTTCAATCAGAGCCAATTAAAGCTTGACCTTCTGATGTCAACAGAACCCTTGCAAAAGAAGCAGATGAACTTGCACTCCTCACCGAACAGTTATGGTGATGAAAGGGGTGAAAGAAGGAAATTACATATGTGCAAACCAACTTTGAAGTTTTGAAGGGGAGAGTAACCAACCCCACTCGCTCAGCATGTATGGCTAGGTCTATTTAGCTTTGTGGGATGGCCAGCCTCAAAATGAAAAGTTTTATTGCTTGACCTGAGTGACGGTCGAGGGCTTTGGGGACCTTTAAAGGTAACTGCAAAGAAAAAAAACTTTATTGTTAAACAGCCTAATTGGGACAAGCATGTCACGAAACAATTTTTCCGCCAGAAACAAAATTCTTTACAGCAATATTTAATGCGCGAGACTGATTTTAGTTTGCGGCTATTTCGTCCGTTTTAAATCGTGTGCCACAAAGTTGGTATTATACGTCACGTAGTGGCTGCTCTACGTCACAAAGTGACGTATAACAGCCACTCCGCGCGCGTCGAAAGAGCGGGAGTTTCAAATGTAGAGGAGTTGAGACTCCGATTAAATTACGTCCTGTGGTGCAAATATTGCTAGAAAAAAACTGTTCTTTCGCGGAAGATTTGTTTTGTGACATGCTTGTCCCATATAGGCTGTTTAAAAAATCACTTTTTTTCTTTGCAGTTACCCTTTAAGAAGACACTTAGGGATTCCAAAGGGTCCACAGATCCCCATTTGAGAACCCCTGCTAACACAGTTACAGCAACTAGTTTTGGTAGTAATGAGTTGTGTATAACGTTTGTAAGTGCAGGCAAGTGCCTGGCACTCCTACGCCATTTTCTGTGCTTACGAGCATAATAACACTCTTTTATTTAGAAACCCAAAAGTCCCAGTTTGGATAAGACCAGTGGGGACAAGGAGAAGAAAGGAAAAAGTAGAAACAGACACCACCTGACTTATGGCGGAGCGCATCTCGAAGAATGGAAAGCATCTAGGTCGTTGGGAGCAAAGCATACAATAGCTGGATGAGCGGCCGATGTGAAACAAAGTAAACGGGAATAGTGTGGTAAAAGAACGCCTTTCATGTCTCTAGTCTGTCGCAAAGCAAGATCTGTGATAGAAGCTTTGTCTCTAACACATGCTCATCGACCCCCGTCCTGCTCTGGCTGCACCCACGGCTAATTGTTGTCGAAAATATAAAGCTCGCATTGGAGGCAGTGCTTGTACGACAGATATTATGCTGCAACGATTGCAATAGGTAGTGTAGAAGCAGCATATTGAAGAGAAATAGTTACGGATTAGCGGCATAGCTCTTAATCCTTAATAGACCAGATAATTTTGAGGCTTTTGGCATGGAAGGATTAATCTCTGTAGGGTCCTACCTAAATCACCAAAGGCTACAAAAAGCTGGGTGACTAGGTACTGTCTACACTCAAGTGAGTTTCTGCTACCATATGGTTTGGTGCGCTTTATTATGGTGTAACTCTCAATATCTCTACGTCCCACACGTGGCTAACTGCAGTCAGTGACAGGTCAAGAGCTCAGGGTGAGGGAAAGGAAGGCTGGAAAAGAGGGAGAAGATGGATTGCTGAAAAGGAGAGGAAATATCTTCCTCTCTCCAGCATTCTGCCTGCTTCCTCCTTCCCAGCTTTGCTTTTCCTTGCCCTGGGTTCTTAAAAACCCGCCATCGACTATAAGCCGCCCAGAGTATGTAAAAAATCATCAAATTTACATGGTTCCCGCCAGGTTATTTTTTACAAAACTCGGGTTTTGTGCAGGATGGTTTTACACTCTACATTTGTTGACATGAAAAAAAAAAAGAAAAAGAATAGTGCCATCATTAAAATCAAACCAACCGAGCGCCGTAGAAAACCCAATAGCTTTGGAATCAAAATATAATTTCTTTGCGTTAGGGGATGCAACTGTGATATCCTGCCTGTTTGCCATTTCGAAAGCAAGCTTGGGACAGTTGCTGTGCCGAGCTTGGTTTTAAGATCAGACAGCTGGAAAGTTAAGGGCCTACGCAGACTTTGCACTTCCCTCTTTTGCCTGCCTCCTCCTTTCCTATGTACTCTCCACTTTTTAACTTTCCCCAATTCGGTTTCCCCCCGCAGCTTAGGAGAGGGGAGCGCTAAAAGTTTTATCTACCGTGCAGAAAACCGAGGTTGTACGTCAACCTTGAACACCTACTGTTCGGTGCCGATCTAGCTAGTAAATGTCAACTGCTGTAGTGCTGGCAAGAACTCAAGGAACCATAAATATCAAAATGTTGTTAGATGTTTAGATATCTAAGCTACAATGTCACACTTACAACGTTGCAAACAATTTGCAGAGATTGGCGGTAGCTGCTCAGAAATATTAGAGGTGACACCTAGCGTTCTTGGTCCTTTGCTGATTTTAATTTATATTAATGATACTGTTTCCGCTATCCACTGGTCTGTGAATATATGTCTATTTGCAGATGATTGCATGTTGCTTAGAGAAATATCTTCACCTGACAATCAACGATTAATGAGTGAAAGTCTCAACGAAATTCAAAGTTGGTGCTATACATGGAACATGAGCTTAAATCTTGGAAAAACTGTTTATCTTCAGATTACAAACAAGAAATAACCATTCAATCTTCAGTACAAGCTAAATAACATTCACACTGCTTAGATTGATTATTACAAATACCTCGAAGTGACCATAAATAAGAACCTGAATTGGACGACCCACATAACAGATACATCCTCGGCAGCCTTCAAGAAGCTGGGGTTTTTGAGGCACAAGCTAAAATATGTTGCTACCACAAATGTGAAATTATTGGCTTACAATTCACTCGTTAGACCTAAACTAAAATTTGGTGGTAAAACTTGGGACCCTGATACTAAATCTAAATCTGAAATATTGGGTCGAGTTCAAAGACATGCTGTGAGGTTTTTTCGAAAAATTTCAAAGAACTGATTCGCCTTCATTGTCGATGGAAAAATACAAACTCTATAGCACCGTAAGACGTATGGCCCATTTGAAATTTTTGCACTCTATAAAAAAATCTGTCCTGGGGTTCAGATTATTATTTAAAGCCGGTTTCCACAATACAAACTACGCACCATCATCAGCATTTCTTAACAACATACTTCACATGTACCAACCTGTTAAAATTTTCGTTTTTTCCTGCCACGATTGAGGATTGGCATTCTCTTCCATGTTAGGTTACTTCATCTTTAGATTTTCCTTTATCATAGATCATTCATTGTAGAATTCTGTGAGGTGTCATTTTAGATTTATGTTTGTATTTCGAAGTGTTTCGGTGTTGATAAATTTGGTTTTATATACTTCAGTATTGTATTGCCTTTCTTGGGCTATTTGTAGATTTGCTTGCCTTGTTTCTTTTCATTTTTTTTTTTAAACGGGTATTTTATGCTTGTTTTTTTGGTCATCCTGCTTGGAGCACTTGTGGTCTGCAGTATCCAAAAAAGAGTTTCTAAATGTGCTTTAAATTTAAAACTGATAAAGGGAGCAAAGGTGGGGGTCATATCAGTCAGAAGGGAAAACACATCGGCTATGTCTTCCCTACCATAACAGTCAGCTTTCCTGGCTGTAAACAATCAGTCATTTCTTTCTAAAATTGACAATACCCTGTTATTAGAGGCCCACAAGCAGTTTGAAGCTGACAAGCATTGGACAGTCTGCCAGGAGCATCTCAGCTAGAGGTATGACTGACACTATCACAATGTGATAACTTTTATCACATGTACACAATGTGATAACTTCTACACATGCCTTTGCCCCCCACAAAAAAAGGACTTTCAACAGTGCACACTTGAGAGCCCTTGAGAGCCTAGCTGAAGTGCTGTCCCACTTGTTCCTATAATTGAAAGTGAGTAATCATATAAGCAATGACTCCTTTCTTCCCAAGTTTAGATTTCCATAGTGGTTGAGTGGTGAAGAGGCCTGGCTTTGTTCTGTTCTCAAGTAGTGAGGCAGTTCTCCCTAAGTATAAGGCACTATAGCAAAGTGGTGGTTTGGGCTAGCTGGTTCATCATGTACAAAAAAACAGCATCAAATAAGCACAAACATGAAAATAGACCAAAACATGCCCTGCCTAATAAAATCTATAAAGCTCCCTCTGTTTTACTTTCTCACCAAATTCATTTTGTGGGCCTTTTCTCGAATACTTTGGGACGAATGTGGTGCTTCATGCAAGCACACAGACTGCAACAACTTACAATCTGTAGGTAACACTGCTACCAGGAGCACTGCACATCAAGAGGCACTGCAACACTGCATGGACTAGACTTCTAACGGCCAACATTTGATTAGCGTAAAATCCCGAGAGATGCCCCATCCCCGAAAGATAGCCCACCCCAATTTTCGGATTGATTTGCTATATTCTTTTAAACACCGAAAGATAGCCCGCTACTAGTAATAGTAGTGTTGTGTATACTGTAAAAACCCAAATATAAAAGTTTTTTAAAATTTTGCTATGTAAAATTTGCGGCTCGTATTATACGCGGGCCCTCACAATTTTCAGCTTCGATGAGGCGCGATCTAACACTGTTTGACGTAGTTTCGGTTTCGAAGCAATAAGGCGCTCAAAACAGCTATCATCATCATTAACATCACAATGTTCGAGGCGCCACCGTCCGTCAACAGTTGGTTGGTTAATACGTTTATTGAAAATCTGCCTTCTGGCTGGAGGGCCTCAAGGTAGGCAGGGGGATAAGGGAGGGGGGCAAGGGGAGGGGGCGGGGGGAACAGTGAGGCTCGGCAATGGTGTTGGCGCGAAGACGATAATCGACCGCCTTCAAAAGAAAAGCACCTTTGGTTGCGGAAGGCACCGGCAACAGGGCAGCCGGACGACAATTAGCCATAAATGATGGCAGCATCCGCGGATGGAGACAACAAAAGCAAGCTCTGTTTGCGTGCAACGGAACGAGAAGAAGCTTTAGGAGCCCGAAGAGTGGTGTGTTCGCCAACGTCGAGGCAAGTCTCAGCCAGGTCTCAGCGGAACGGCACCTCGCCGTGAACACAGAGCTGCTGCATGAAAACTTTGGCGAGCCGACATTGGGTTACTCGCTTTATGCGCCGCGCCAAGATTTCACTGCGTCGGCGCTCGCTCGTTCTTTCAAGTGCGGGATTTCAAATGCGCTCGACGGCACTGAAGACTACTTACTGCCTTCGGGAGGAAGCGTCGGACGAGGAGTCTGGCGGACGTGATGACAGTGATTTAAGGTTCAGTTATGACGCAAATAAGGAATATTTTTGTAGTCCTGATTTTGTTTCGTATGATACGCGGATAATTTTTTTTCTTTTTTCGCAGTCCTCAAATTATGTTTTGTATTATTCGCGGGTTTTTACGGTACTCTACTACTGGTCCGTCGTTCGTTTGTGCTGTATTCTCGTTCCAACAAGCTTCGAAGGGACACAACCTAAAAATAGCAATTTTTTAAAACTTTTTTTTATTGTACACCGAAAGTTAGCCCACTTCATATTTTCACCCGATTTGCTCTTCATGTTAGGTGGGCTATCTCTCGGGATTTTACCGTAGTCTTTTGGGAAAATTTTAACAAATCTTCCTTTAGATACTCTAATATTTGTCTCATAGAATCTACCCTCAGAAGCTTTGGAAAAGTAATAGCTTGTGTCATGAAATATTTAGAGATATTATCACAGAAAAAAACGAACACATCCAAAGACACATATTTGCCACCTGTTTCAGTAGCACTCGCTACAAGTTTCATTTTCAAAGTTAATGGTTGCCAGCTCTTGTGTTCTGGGTAGCGTTTCAGGGATCATATTTGCTTTAAAATGGGCAAGTGTGTTAGTTACAGTCGGCAACAATGTCCATTATGTCACCACGTGACACAACACAAATCCAGGAGTCCCAGACGATGTATGTCAAGCGGGTCGGTTGTACCCCATACCAAGAGATGTTACAACAACAACAAGAAAGCCGGGTGGTCAGCGTTTCCCCCAATGAAAGGTCGTCACCTTACAAAGCATCGCCATGACAACACATCGTATCAACGGCAGCACAAAGGGAAGGGTTCAGAGTCGACGAACGAGACACACCACTCGAAATGTTCTGATAAAAGCGAGGACGTCACCACGATAGTGTTTTATCTCGTATCTTGGGTTGCGAGTACAAAGATTCGTGCGACGCACACTCCCACTGCTTGAAACAATGGCCGACCAGCTTGAAATCAGAGGCTGACGCACACCCCCAGTGCTCGAAACAATGGCCGATTAGCTTGAAATCAGAGGCTGACCTCAATGTCATCAGTTAGATTACTAGTACCTTGACATCATTAGAGGAGTGCATTCTGATATACAAGTTCTCAATTCGGCCTCCTTCTAGGGTATATATATACATGCCGCAAACTTTACTGCTGTGTTTCCTAATTCACAAATAAGTAAGCAACCATTTTCAGAATTCACAATAGAAAAAAGGAAGATTTAAACTGCAAATTCGAGAGTGCAGGCAGGCTGGTTTAAAACTGACATTCTAAACCCTATTGCGATAAGTAGTGCAATTTTGTAGATACACTTTTCCCTTTGTGTCTGGTTGCTTTGTTCTCCTTGGTGGTTTCCGCTTGGATTGATGATGGCCATCCCTTAGTGAGTTGTCCTTGGTTCTCTAAGTTCTTTTTTATAGCAGTTCCTGGTTTCTCGAGGTTCCTTTGTTGCAGTAGCTTTAGGTTTGTGCTTTGTTTGATTGTGGGCCTATTTAAGGACAAATGCAGAATAAAATTTGAGCTGTGTTTCGAGCTCCACGTTTGCCCTCTGTCCCATCTTCTCCTTGCTCTAAGGTTCACAATGCCAACAAAAAGGAAATTCAAGTTGTGCAGCTCCTATTACAGTGTTATGGACATTGTGACACCAAGTTGTATCAGAGTTTCAGCGGAAACCATAAATGTTTGTTGCATTCTGGCAAGCTTGATCCGAAAGTTGCAGTCTGGGTATAGTCGGTGTCATTTTAAGAGTAAAGTGGAAGCCCCTCCCACCTCTTTCCACTCTAGCAGAGCAAATGCAGCAGAGGAGGTGACCTCCTCTCCAGCGTCTGCTCTGCTTAAGGTAGAAAGGGGTAGGAGGAGCTTCGCCTGAACTCTGAACCTGCCACCGACTACGGTAAGCAGAGGAGTCAGTTGAGAAACATCACCATAGGCGCTGAGGCACCGCGGGTCTAGATCATGCAAGAGTCGTGTTTATTTTGGCTCAGGAGGGCAACGATGCAGCACATTAATAGATAGAAAAAAAAAAAAGAGTTATTCTTGTTTATTGGCTCCTCCCTATAGCCAGCTATAAATTCAGTTGCGCGCGAATTCGCACGGCTAAAGTTAGCAGCAGCCAGATTATAACAGGCTGTTGCTTCCACAGCTGTAACTGCCCCCTCGACCACTTGCGCTTTGAACGACGATAAGACACGTATGCACAGGAAGAACAAACAAAAAACAATAACACAAAAACCGAGAACTAGTTTTCGCCGACAGAACGGGAATTTTAAGATGTCGGAGCGTCAAAAAAATAAATAAACGATACCAAAAGGCATTCGCGCGGCGCAAGATATCTGTGTAGAGAGAGGCAGAGAGAAAAAAAAAAAAGACAACTACGAAGGAATTCTGAAATATACAGAGGGGAGAAGACGACACTTAAAGGCTGGTTTTCATTAGGGACGGGCGTAAGCCAAAACAAACAATTACGCTACCTCAAAATTTAAATAGAAAAAGTGAATAAGTTTTTTTTTCTGTTTTTGTTGACACATCCGGTTTTAGTGCCACGCAGTACGATCCCTCACACAAGACTAAGCGAGACACCGTGCTACATTGCAAGCCAGAGATCACACTCGCAGCTTGGCGAGGCAACGAAGCCAGTAAAGCAGTTAAACGATTAGACAGTTTCCTTTCTTCCAGTCTTGGTGTCACGCATTACAATTCCCCACACTACACAGCAAGCGTGATACCGTGCTGCTTGCAAGCCAGCGATCACACCGGCAGCTTAGCGAGGCAGCAGCGAAGCCAATAAAGCAGTTAAGCAGTAAGATAGTTTTTAAAAACCAACTCACTCTGCCGCCGCTCCATGCCGGAAGTAATAGGCGAACGCCCGAAGAAGATCTCGCTCGCTGTCAATGACATCGATGTGCTCGGGATCTTCGGGCGGCTCGAAGTTGCCGAACAGCTCCGAGCTCTGCACGATCAAGTCCTGACACGAGCCGAATCCCAGGGCAATCCGTGTCTTCGGGTCGACCGAAACTTGCCGTTCGGCCTTGAGTAAGCCGTCGAGGATCAGCTGCAGCCTCTGGCGCAACACTTCATCGGTTTGCCGCCTGTAATAGACGGCGTAGAAAATGACTAGGGCGGATAGGAGGGTGCTGATGGACACGGTCCACTTTGATGCCATGCTAACGGGGGTCTGACAAAAGTTTTACGGCAGAAATTTTGGAGGAGAATTCGAGTACGGATCGCGGACGAGGAGGGAGACGAGGAGCTAGCGACCAGCGGTAGCCATGTTGAATCAGGTGTGAGAGTTTTGGGGAGGTGTGTCGCGTCACGTGTCGTGTGTGGATAATGAATAAAAAGAAACGTATTGGGCGGTGTGTTGCGCCATCTAGTGTTAAATAGTCAGAAAATTACCCGTTCTTGAAGGATCGCTGTTTCTAATTTAAGTTGTGTTCGGAATCGACTTTTGTTTAAAGCTTGTCTCTTAACCAGATATAGCTTCTTGTTTATTTCCATTTCTTTTATTTCTAACAAATATGAAGTTGAACAGGTCAGGTAGATGCAGAAACTTCAAGCATTTCAAGTCTTCAGTGTTTTCTGCACTGTTCAAAACCGAAAATGCAAGATGTTACCACCTTGCAGTTTGAGCTAACACTCCTGGTCTATTTTTTATTCTTACAATTAACAATTAATACTGTGAATAAATTTAATAGCGTGATATTGTAATACAGTATTTTGCAATACGCGATGGTATGTTGGTCGTCTGCTAGTTATCCGCTTCTGCAAAGCCTGCAAAATCACATCGGTCACAGCGTCTGCTTGTTTCTTCGCTAATATCACGCTAGCTACACAGTCTGAGCTTCGTTAAACAACTTTTAATAAATAAATAAACCGACCAGCGGTGTTCTCAAGTGATTAGCGACTTCAGGAGGCGACTTACTGGACCGATTCCAATGGTGAGTTTCAATTTGAGCCGAAACTTTGTATGTTTACAAAAAAACACAGCAAGAATATAAGATAAGATAAGAGGTATAAGATAGGATAAGAGGTTACTTTGTGTTTTTTTTAACCATGGTTTTGCCACCTCCAATTCTTGCAGGGAGACTTAATACGAAGGAAGGAGAGTCAGTTTGCGGCGAACGCGGCACCTGCACGTTTCTCGTCGTTCGAAAGCGGCGCACAAGCAACATGCAATGAAGCGATTGACATCAGTAAGCTTTCTTGGTCATATTTAGAACGCCATAGGCCTGTTTCTCTCGGCCAGGAGCGCTGTAGCTTCCACCAGAAGTGCCCACAAAAGAGGTGCCTCCGCTGTCCGCGAGACGCGACCATTTAATGCTGACGTGAAGCGGCGTCCTTGCGTCCCTCCATGCACGACCCACGGGTGTAAAGTAGCGTCTGTCTTTGCCTCTTCGCGTCTGTCCACGGGCACTAACAGAGAGTTTTAAAGGACGCAACTCGACGCACAACAAAAATGCGATCTAAAAATATCAACATTTTTAGGGGCGAAGCTCCTTAGGGGCTAGCCAATGTACGTCCGCCGTCGGGTGCACGTGCTCCTGCTCGTGAGCTCACGCGCTCACGTGCTCACGAGCACGTGAGCACGTGCTCCCGTGCTCGTGTAAAGCAAAAAAAACAAAAAAAAAAAGAAAAAAAAAAAAACCGCATCCCCACGTGGTGAATGATGTTGACTGGGGCGAAGCTCTGGTGGTGCTTGTCTGAGTAGACGGTGAGCCTCAGCATGCTGAGCCTTTCGTTCGTTTTCATCCATGTCAGAAAGAGAATGTGAGGTTTGGAACGTGGTTGTATACGCATTTGAGCATTTGACCGCAGCGTGACATGAACGAAAAAAAGCGAAAGGCTCGGCATGCTGCGGCTCAGCGTCTACGCAGACAAGCACCACCAGAGCTTCGCCCCAATCAACATCATTCACCACTTGGGGATGCGGTTGTTTTTTTCTCGTCACGGGCGTTGCTAAAAATTTGAGAGCAACAGATCCATAACCACAGTGCTCAGCTAAGATGTAAGCATGTCTCAGGCACGGTATAAGTGCTACGCTCGCGCTGAAAGTGGAACGGAGTATAAACCATACTGTGTCTCACAGTAAGTGCGAGCACAGTAGAAGATAAGAGCGGGCTTTGGGCTTTCAGCGTCCCTGTCAAGCACGCTCGCTCGTGCAATGCGATCATCGTTCAGGACAACATGCTCGTGCTTGTACCTTCGGCTTTGCTCGCACCTACAGTGAAACGGAGTGCTATCTTTTGAACCTCACTATAGGAGGTATTCACTGGACGCCATATTTGAGGATGATGTTTAGAGCGCATGCTCAGAATGAGCTCCCATTAATAGCCTGCTAAGACCAGCCACCTTGATGGTGCTAAATGCGCGCTCCAAAAGGACTGCGGAAGCTCACAGTCAGCACGCGCTCAGCAGCAGCGCGCACGGATATGGCCGCCAGTGAATACTCCCTATAGACGCTTTACACACGCGCCAAATTACAGCCGCCATTGCTGACCTTCTCTTGTCTGACCGAGATGCCGAGATACTGAAACGGTAGTTGACGGTCCTCTACAAAGGCCGATGCTTTAGAAAAGGACATAGTTGAATCTAATATGGCAATAACCTGGACTGCTATAGTAATGATGAAGTGAAATAAACGAAATAAGAGGAAACAAAAACTGAAGGTCAGTTATGGCGGCGTCCATGCACAGCTGCTGCAAAGCGTCTATACTCCATTTCACCTTATGTTGTACCGCAGCGAAGGCTAGAAGCGCGAGCTCATAGCGTTGACAGCTGCCCTAGCCACCGAGACGTGCCCTAAAGCAAGGCGCTCGCGCTTGTAGCCTTTCCTGCGGTACATCAAAAGGTAAAATAGAGTATAGGAACAGAATGCCCAAGAAAATATTTCAACAAGCTCACAGCAAGGTGGGCTCCTGAAACTATCGCTTTCTCCTCAAGACACCCTAGTCCAGTGGGAAAGCACTTCTCCCAGGCTTTCCCGAGCATATCGATTTGGGATATTTTAATTTAGACTTTAATCTCCGGCGTCTTTTGCATTAATGCTCTACATTTAGAGGAAAGAAAAAACTTTGTTCAGTCTGCCTCGAACATTTTTCTGCATGATAAACGCTAATATCAGTCTGTTTCGTTGATTTACTCGGGGCTTTACAGTTGAATAATATCACTATCGCTGTCAAAAGCTCTGGCATCAAGACCTCTTTGGTTTTTCATTATTGTTTAATGATTGATTATTTCTCAAAATTCTAACTGGGAGTGCGGTAGAAATGGACTAATTCTATATACTTGCAGGGGTTAACGAGTCACGCAGTATCACGAACAAGATGCTAAAGGCGGTGCGAAACAATGCCATCGCTATGGAAATTGACCTGCAGTACAAGGTTTGAGCAATTTCACCAGTCCGCTAAAACCCGCAGTGCCCTGGTATCACACTACATGGTTTTTCGTTTGCATGCATTCTCGTATTAGAATCCTTCATTATGGAAGCAGCGCGAAAACACGAGGACGTAGAAGAAACACACGGGACGAGCGTTATCAGCTGACGAATTTCATTTGGAAGACACACGAAAAGGACCCTTCATTCTACGGCAGTACGATCCCGCGCAAGCGTATTATATGACTATTAATAAAATACCTTGCGCGCTTTTCTACGGCGGGGCAAATCTGGCTCAACTTGTTTCTGACCGAAAAAAAGAAAAAAGAAAACGACATTGTTAGGCTAGGTGGCGCAAGCTACCGCCCGTTACAAAGGGTATAACCATTACCATCCATCCATCCATCCACCCTTGAGTCCTTCAGCTCGTGCGATATGCGATAAACATAAGGAATGGTAGCCGCCTTCTCCCTGCTATCCACGTCCCATCTCCCCGCAGTTTCTCCCGGCATCTGCCTCGATATTTTTCTCTACTTTTTCGCAGGCCGAGGTAACCACTGGGTTTTGAAAATCCTGCGTCTTGGAGCCTCACCGTTTGGCCTGAAACACTTTCCTTCATTTTGTGCTCGAAGGATTTTGATAACGCGAATCGAATACTATCTTTCAAAAGGGACGTGCCGATCAGTGGAAGGTCAGAACCACTGCACAATGGCGGAACAGCTGACGTCATGGAACGTGCAAGTCATTCCATATGATAGCGTCGGAGTGCGGTCAACGCTAGGAGCCGACGAGCCAATCAAACAGCGCCTTAAGCGCAAAGAAAACGTCACTGCGCTCATCACCTGCTTCTGTGGGTGTGTTTTTGCTTTCGCTTCTAATACAACCCGACGGATAAAGTGTTCCGTGACGTTGCGGTTTTAGTCCGCCATTGTACAGGGATCCCACAGCTGCCAAGAGAAAGCAGTCTTTAGAAACGGCTCTATGCCATTTTTTTTTTTATGAGCTTCGAATGGACGGAGCGAAAATCAAGCAAGGACCTGTAGAGGGTTTTGGGGTGGTGCAACCGAGGAACATGTTTCTCCTTCACATCGACACTGAGATCGAGAAACTGAATCTAGTACTCCTTGGGAGTCTCTAACGTGAACACCGGGAGATATGTGAGTTCATATCTCCCGGAGTCTCCAACGTAAACATTGACGGGAGATATGTGATTTCATATCTCCCGTCAATCAATACATACGAAAAAGATTAAGAGTTACATATCTCTTTGTTTTCAATGCTAATCTGGATATATGAAGTCAACCACTTCAACGACGGTCCATGACTTTTATTCGAGTTTTGCAAAGTATAGACAAAGTAGCTGGCGTTGACTGTGAAACAGAATGTGACAAGGTTAACGTCGTATAATAATTGCTTTGAAATAATTAGAACCACTCGGGTGTTCGTGGTACGATTCGATAATAGAGGCTGAATGGGTAACCACAAATTCGCAAACATGCAAGCAAATCACTAAATTACCGGAAGCATGATCACAATCATACACGTTACTCAATAAAAAAAAAAGAAAGTAATCGATTACAAGCCAATTACTCTTGATTACAAGTATTAAATCAAATTACTATATTACTCGAGAAGAACAGTAATTGGCCGTTACTTAAAAAAAGTAACCGTTAGTTTTACGATAACTTGAAATTTTCCAGACGAAAGATATTTCTGCTTGTTTGAAAACAGCGTCTCTCATACCGTCCGTTATGGGATTGTAATCACCGGATCGTAAACTACCCACCCTCTTAACCTGGCAATTTCGATAAAGCATAGAATCTATGGTAAACCATAGAAATCTATTCCATAAATCATCTAGGGTAAACCATAGACTTGGTTCGAGGATTCCTTGGAGGGAAACTTGTACAAACAAAGGGGCGCCATTATGAAGGGGAGAGAAAAACGGTAACGGTTACAGGGCGATTGGAGTGCTTCCAAATGTGATCCCATTATTCTCACGATAACAAAATTACTTCAAAAAGGAATCGATCACCAGTAATTTGATTGCTTGTAATGGCCACGATATAAGGTACACGTCTCGTCACGATATGAGGGAACATCTTGTATGGATTTATGGCATCCGCGAGTATTAGAGCTCCTAAATGATATATGCTCTTTTAGAGTAACGAATACTTGGGCAATCTTGTTGAATAGAGCAATTGCTGGCAGTTATCGGAAGCTTCATCGGAAATGGCAGACAATGCTTTTCCATCCGCCTGAAATTGTAGGAGGGTCGGCAGCAGAGATTAACGATATCGCATGGGCTTTCCGGGAAGGCGTACATTCTTGAATCGTAACGATCGTCGATTGCGCGTCCTGTGCACTACGCATCCAAATGGCGGCGTACACGGACAAGGTGAAAAATAAATAACGCGATGTAATCTAATTATTTTCGTACCACCACTGCTAGCTTTACGCCTGCTTCACGAGTGGGAACTTTAAGGCGCCCCCGAGGGTTTCCCACGAGCTTCAGTTCGTTCTAAAAAAAGTTGATTTAGTGGTTTTCGATGACGCTCTCTAAGCTTCTAATTGGAACCATACGCCTATTTTCACAAATTGAAAAGTTAATTAAGGAATGTCAATTAATTAATCGAATATATATATATATATATATATATATATATATATATTGGGATTATTATTGCGAGGAAGGTTTGATATAAATCACATTTTAAGTCAATGATTTAAATCACGATTTAAATCATCTTGATTTTTATTCTCTACCCTGCCCAAAAGGCGACCGGAGAATCAAGTCCCAATACCCTAAGCTTAGCTTATTATTGACCCTAGCGAGTTCCTCCAGAAAGTTCATTTGAAACTCGTGCGAATGAAACAAAAAACTTTTCAGTTAAATTTGATAGTGGAAAACTTGAAGTTTCCCCGGGAAGCCGCCGACCATTATTTCGGACGAAGCTCGAGTTTGAGGTAGCTGATAAAAAGGGCAAACTCCCGTTCATGTATGTTCCTTGGGTCAGAAATTTTTTTTAAAAAGCTAATTTATATCTAACATTTTATGACCTGCACTGCCCTTATCCCAGAACGCCGAAATAACTCAGCACGAGAGATGCGTCGAGGAAAGTACCGCCCGTGAGACTCGACTCTTGATGGACAACTATAGGCTCGAGAGACAGTGCACAAGTTACGAAGAACAGCTAGAAGTCACCAGGGCTATGTGAGTGCAGTTATCATGATCATCCTCATCACCATCGACATCATAATCATCATACTTTATTTTCCTCGAGGACCGCGGCAGGGGTTATTTATACAAGGGAGTGGAGATATATAAATATATATAAAAAAAGCAACGAAGATAACATTAACTAAATATACTCCAATACTGTAATCGCACTGATACTGCGAAGGAAACTTGAAGAAAGATTAGTAGGGTCAGAAGAAAGGTGACAATTAAGACACCTTTTTGTCACCTTTCTTGTCCCTTATAATTCATTTTTAGGTTTCCTTCCCAATCTTATTGTTTGCACATCATGATTAATGGGCACCGGGTCGCCCTGCACTTAGACCATATTTTACTGTAATCTAATCTGAGGGGTTAGAAAGGAAGAGGGTAGTGACTGCTGCGAATGTATTAGTGTTATTTACATTGTATATTTTTGTTTATATTCGCATTATTTACATCTGCCAAGATTAATTAATCTCATATTTAGTCTCCTTTAATCGAAGCACTAGCATTAAGTTATCGGCACGCAGTGTGAGAAATATGGGGTGCCGAGGGTTTCTCACGATGGAATACCAACCGGTAAAATCGGCGCCTGCACGTAACAAGCTCAAACTTCCACCGAATCTGCATTTAGTTAGATTTTACCTCGCAAAAAACCAACAAACTTAAAAAAAAAAAAAAAAAAAAAAAAAAAAAAAAAAAACGAACGTGTTTGCAGACGATTGAGTGAGTTAGCGAGGCATGTAAAGATGAATGTAATTCAAGGCGCCATCTCCCGATAGCCGCAGCGAGCAGACGGCGCACTCTGTTTTCTGCTCGCGGGTACCATCGGGAGATGGCGCCACAAGTTACATTTTGCCATTCTGCATCGGTCGTCTGCGAAGACATCGATCCGCGTTTGACTCCGGCAAATTAGTTAATCTAATTTTTTTTTTCCAGGAAGAAATTGATTTATGGTAGTTTTACAGGATAAACTCCACCATTTAAAATGCGTATTCGGCGAAAGGTTGAGCTTTCTATAAATGCAGACGCCGATTCCTCCGGTTCGTTCTTACAACGCCAGAAGCACCGTGAATACCCTTTGTATCTTTAGCCAAGCGGTCTTGCATTGCACTATACTAATCTATATATGCAGTATTCGTAGAATAATTCCGATATCGTTGGCGCGCAGCGTCCTGAGGTTGTACGAGAAGACGTCTGTTGCCCGTGAACGTCACGGAGAGCTTCGCAAGAGCCTGGCAACTTGTGAGTGTGAAAGGACAACTTGCTTGCGTCAGACGGACGCGTCTGCCGCCCGGTCAGCGTCTCCTCGTCGAGTTCCAGCGTGCTTGTCGCTTAGGGGAGAAACGATGACCATGCGCAGGCCTTTGCCTTCTATAGGCCTATAGTCGAGACCCGCCTGCACTTCCTTGGAAAAATTGCAGAATGAACAGATTATCGATCGTGCTCTTCGTGTATGTTTGTTTTTATACTTCTTTTATGCGGTTGCTTTGCTGCAACTTGCAGAAGAAACAGTATTTTCGAGAGTTGAATGAGTGAAGTTGACGGAAGTATGCAAACCTTGTAGTCTGCTAGTTCTAAAAACGCAGGGGAGTGGCGGATTTTGAGCGTCTCATTATCGCTACGCAGTTTTTCATGTTGCGTCATTAGGCAATAAGAACGCCGTTAAATCAACCCATTTTTTTAATATACAGCATGTAAATTAACGCGCTTAAGGCCCTTTAGGCGTCCTTCAAAAATCGGTTTTTCAACGTATCGTGCTGCAATTTACTACAGAGGTGCAAGCATGTGGCGGAAATCTGTAGTGAAAAAATCAAGAAACGGGAACTTACCACGTTCAAAAGAAAGAAAACACACACTCACACACACACACACAAAAAAAACTGTTTTGAGCAATCCATGCCGCCACTTCGCAGACGATATGCACGCGTAGGAATAAGTGCTGCCGACAGATGGCGTGCGCCGCGTTCTAAGCTTCAATGGTAAAACAAAATGGCTAGGTGGCGTAGCCACTGCCCGATCCAAAGTTCTCAGCCGGATTCATCCATCCATCTATCGACGGCCGGACGGTTATGATAGCAGACGATCCTGCAAAAGAACCCGGGTCGGCCGGCCCTCCCTCGACGCGGTGCACGCCATCTCTCGGCAGCACTTATTCCTACGCGTGCATATCGTCTGCGAAGTGGCGGCATGAATTGCTCAAAACAGGTTTCTTTTTTTTTCTTCTTTTGAACCAGGCAAGCTCATTCCTTCATTTTTACACTGTGAACTTCCATCACCTGATTGCCCAACTGTAGCAAATCGCAGTGCGATACGTAAAGAAACCGATTTTTCCGGGTCGTCTAAAGTGCCTTAGAGGGGTTAGTTTACAAGCTTCATTGTAAATTGCACAAGCACCTGCAGCTTAATTTTTGTCATGAACTTCTGAATAGCTGTGCTTCATAATGAAACAGTATGCGAATTGGTAATGACCTTGACAACAATCATACAGAGACAAGGTGAAAGTCTCGGACGCTGATCAGACAGTATTTGAGACGTTGTATCGCTTGTCGCTTCTTTAGCATTAGGTTCGATTTTCTGAACGCCATCAGTGTCCACCAGCTAGATTGCACCCTCGCCCTGATTGCCATTTTAGCCCACTTCCATATATACTCGAATTAAGAGAAAGTCGTAACTTTTACATTCTTAATTTTCATTCCAAATAAAAATCCTCGAAGGTTACGCAGGGAAAGACAGTCTCTTGGAAGAGATGCACCTAGCGTTCGAAGACGGAGATGTAAGTTTTTATTAAAAAAGAACTCTTTCCTTATCAAAGTTTCTAGAGATGTCGTCCTGTCTGCTTACACTTATGCTACCACGATCGCAGCGGATTGCAGCCGCAGTTGCGAAGCTAGGGAAAGCATTCGAGGCCAGCGTCAACAGGCTGAACTCTCAGAGTGAGTCACTAACTAGTTCAAGGTCCCGTCTGTGCCACCAATCAACGTGAATCAATTAAAACGTTACGTAATTGACTAATCAACAAGCTTGTGTATCAGGTCTACAGAGCAGGGGCGGGGCGTTTATAACAAGGACGTGACATCTGAGGGAAAAAAAAGGATTTGTCAAAGAATTTTCCTCTGGGCTTGTACAATGCCTGCTTACAGCTATGCGGAGTGCAAGTTCGTCAGCTTCAATTGCACAGAGGTTGCGATGATGTCAGAATGCCGAGCTCTTATTGGCCGATTGAAAATAAATAGTGGGTAGACCTCAAGGCATCTAGCTGGCATCTAGTTCTGAGGTCTGCCCACTATCCTTTCAGTGAAAGCCAATCAGAGCTCGGCATCGTTCTGACGTCACCGGAACTCCTGCGAAAGAAGCAGACGACTTGCTTTGCGCATAGGTATATGATAATGGTCACGTGAGGGTAGCAACACTGCCCTACCCTCGAGTCGCTAAATAAAGCGAAGCTTATATAGTGACCCAACCCTACCCTTAGCAAGGTTCTGTTTGGTACAATGCATGATTTAACATAGTCATCTGTGTCACGTGATTTTTGATTTTATTGTAATTTATCTTCACTCGTGAGCATTAGGGAAACCCGACTAACTTTTGAGAATGAAGTACTCCGAGTTGGCTTTATGTGTGACATTCAGAAATACTAGAAAAGTTCGTGTAGATTAATTTCCTTTTTTTTTTCATTTCTGAAATAAAATGAATTTGGGGGCATATATTCGAACGTCACTCGCTTCGAACTCACATTAGACTTTCCTACAAACAAAAACAGGAATAACGATGAAGGAACGGCAGGAGGAACTGACAGCGGCAATGGAGTCCAAGCAGAAAGAGCTCGAAACTATGGTGAGGAATGATCACAACTTGAACTGCACGCAGTGCTATACCCTTTGCAAAAGAAACTCGGCTGCTACTGCGATCGACACCTACAGAGTGAATTATATCAAATGCTTAAAGAATGTTTACTCTAGAAAACCGTCGCCGAAATTAAGCGAGTGTCGTGCCTTAATAAAGAAGTGTAACCTTGGCGGTCAGTTCAGTCATTTTTTCTGACTTCTTCGTAGAACGAACGACGAAGTGTGTGTTTTCCCATGACTTCCAGACGGGCCTATGCGAAGACCTAAAACAACAGCTGAGTCTCCCCGACATTCGCGTCGCAGAACTACAAAGTCAACTTGACTCGATCACCTCTGAGAAAAGCAAGTTATGTCCATTCTTAAAAAAAAAAAAAAAAAAAAAAAACACTAGTTTTTACACTTCTACGTGGCAGTATTTTGGTGTCTGTTGCTTTACGAGCAGTTCTAGTATTTTAGTGAAAAACCCGAGACTGAGGTATTGACAGTCGTTCTCCTTCTCTTCCTTGTCGTCGTCTGTCAATACCCCAGTCTCGGTTTTTTCACTAAAATGTTTGATATACACCACCTCACTTGCTCCCTTGCGTTCTGCTCATTAAGACTTCTAGTAATGTGAACAGGTGCACATTAAATTTAGATGTTGTTCCGTTCAACTTTTGTCACGGAAGAACGAATTATGAAGCAAAAAAAACTTGAACGCTTAAAATCACGCCTTGGATTTTTAAAGATTTAAGTGGCTGTAGATTAAATAAAACGGGTGTTTTGGGGAACAGTACTACCTGGCACCCCGCTACGGGTATCATTTAAAATGTTTTTCGGTTTCCGCGCTTCTGTGATTCTCTCGAACGTATATCAACGTTGCGGAGACAGGTTTTGGTAGTCCCACGACATCCTGTTTCAGTGTCGTACCCGTAATGATAAGAAAGCACGATTGAGACAGGATATTTAATCGGAATAGCGTAAAATGTATTTTATTTTTTTTATACAGCAAATTATCATTTGGAGCGCTTCAGATGCATATAATACTGGCTAGAGTGCCTTCATGTGCGCTTCGCATAGAGTGATGCCAACTGCCTGTTTCCCTTTCCCACACCCTCTTCCGCCGCCATTTTGTTCCTCTCATTGTTTCCCCGTGCGCCGGAAAGTGGCCTTTGTGTCCATCGGTAATCCCATCCGAGGGGGAAAATGCTAATCCTCCCTCCGTGGGTTCCACAACGCTGCTCCGAACTTCTGAGATAAGGTGCTTGTTTCCGGGAGGGTTATAAGCCCCACGGATTATCGCCGAGGAACAAAATGGCTGCTGGTTTGTCGGCGAGTGGTATTACAAAGGGTGGCATTAGGGAGCCTTCATGTGCGCTTTGCTAGGGTGATGCCACCCTTTGTAATACCACTCGCCGACAAACCAGCAGCCATTTTGTTCCTCGGCGATAATCCGTGGGGCTTATAACCCTCCCGGAAACAAGCACCTTATCTCAGAAGTTCGGAGCAGCGTTGTGGAACCCACGGAGGGAGGATTAGCATTTTCCCCCTCGGATGGGATTACCGATGGACACAAAAGCCACTTTCCGGCGCACAGGGAGACAATGAGAGAAACAAAATGGCGGTGGAAGAGGGTGTGGGAAAGGGAAACAGGCAGTTGGCATCACCCTATGTGAAGCGCACATGAAGGCACCCTAGGTGGCATCACCCTAGCAAAGCGCACATGAAGGCTCCCTAATACTGGCACATGGTCGGTAACCACAAAGTTAGAGTGCTCATTTCGTCTTTTTTTTTTTTTTTAAATTTTGTGCAGCCAATGTTGAGCGGATTATGCAGCTGGCTGAAGAAGAGCTGAAGCTTCTACAGAGAGAAAAGGATGATGCCGAACGCGAGGTTCGGAAGGCCCAGGTACGACGTTAAAAATGGGCGGAGATGTCTGACGAGTAATGTTATTATTTGAAAACACACTCCCCGCTTTTTAGGCGTTAGTTTAAAATTGATTAGTTTACCAGCGATGCGTTCAAGTATAAATTTCGACGTATTCAAAATACGGTGGGCAAGGTACGCTATTAAGCGAATGTGCTTGCAATATGAGCTTTCGCGTACACAACATCGTTCGGAATGAATTCTCTCTACCAACGCAACACGTCGCGGACGCTATACATAAACTCTCTAATGTCTCCTAGTGTCTGTGAAACATGAGAGTGTAGACATTGAGTTTAAAACTAATGAGACCGAGGGATAGTTTGATATATTCGATACAATTAAGGTAAAGTATATTCAAGAAAGATGTACATGCTTCTGTGAACTGGGACCAAAGTTAGTGTTGTTTTTTGGCAGTAAACTCTTGTTTTTCTCGGCGCAGGAGGAAAAGGAGATGTTGGCCAACTTTCTGGAAACAGTTGCCGAACACTTCAGCACCCTATGCGACTTCTCGACGAGACCAGACGCGTCCGTCGTCGAACTTGTCGACGCGGGAATTCACGAGCTCTCTGAGGAGTGTCTGCAATCAAAATCAAGGTTCAAATATTTCGTTTTTAATTGATCAACAACAACAACCACAAAGGTCACCAAAAAGGTGTGATTGTCAGAGTTTGGTTTCTGTGATCAATGATTTCGATCCTGAAAACCTTGTGATGTCTTTAATCAGAACGTCCCCGTAGGATCATCATTTTTGTCTGGAACTTTTGACATGCAAGTCTCGTTTGTCTCACGATGGGGTCGTCGTTGATTCCACTGAAAACTCTTCAACAAATGAGACAATAATTTTTTATGCTCGGCAAGTTTGTAATGCATAAAGTGCATACGCGATTTTGTGTTGAATCTCATTACTCTGATTATTGATTTGAGATTTCGATTGCAGGGCGGATCAGGCTGAAGACAGTGTTCGTGCACTGGAAGCCAATAAGGGTGAGAGCAGAGCTGCGAACTCGCATAAAATAACTAGTGAAGTGTTTTAATTCGTTACCATATCATCACTAAATATTGGTACAGTGACATTATCATTCAGCGTTGGCAAATGTAAAGAAATTGTGTTGGTGAGCAATCGCAGTAAATCTAGACCTCATGAAATATCTTAAAAGTGTACAAAACGCAACTTTTGGAAAGGAATCGTAACTGTAACTAGATACATTCGTAAAGCACCTGAATGTAATTATAACCTAATTATATTTCAAGTCATCAATTTACTGTACCCGTAACTTGATTACCTCTAACAATAATCTCTTAGAGCTCTAGGTGAGTGTGACAGATTAGTTACTAATTAAAATCGGTCCTAGTTCCTAACATGTGCCCTGCATGCGTTTCATGAATGTACAGGGCTTTTTATAGGCCTACAGATTCGCTTAAAGAACCGTGAAAGCTGCACAGATGCGGTTTGTGCAGGTGAGAATTATATGGTCAGGGGGACATAATATACGGGTCTAATCGCCGTGATTTATATGCAAATTAACTATTTAATATGTAAATAATTTTTTTTACTTACTGGGAATGTACATATCGTTTCAATTTGAAACTTGTTGAGCCTCATTAGAAACCGCTACATCAGTCAAATTTAGAAAGGCCAAATTTAGAAAGGGGACTGCGAGTTACCGGTTAGGCAGAAGGCGCAAGGCCTTCTGCCATAGCCTCCTCTATACTCACAAGCCTGGCAGTTCGACGATGGAGCCATGGAGTGTCCGGTCGCAGATTTGGAGCGCGAGGATCTGGTAGCACAGAGCATCAAAGAGTAATTTCTCGGGGAACTTGGACATCAGCGCACAGCTTTCGCAGCGGCGAGGACCCGAAACACACTCGTTCGCTCGGAAGAAGTGTGCTTCGGCGTCTCGCCGCAGCGGGGGGCCAGTCACGTGGCTTTCCTCTCACCCGTTGTCTGCCGCTCCACCTTTTCCATTTCGGCGGCCGCTTCTCGTGGCGATCTGCCAGGCTTTATTTCTAAGAATGACTGATTTAGGGGTTTTCGATGGCGCTCAGCAAGTTTCTGATTGAAATTATGTGTTTATTGTCATCAATAAAAAAGCTAAATAAAAATGGTCAATTATCTGACTTATTGTGACGATTATCCCCCTGTATTATACCCCTCTCGCCGCATGACTCAACTGCACAGACCACATTAGTGTAGCTTTATACGGGCATAAAAACGGTCGGGTTAGCTAGCGTTAATATTTAGTCGTCCCTTATCTCCTTGACGTGCCGAAGCCTTCGACTTAATGGCTCGTATACGCATAGGTTTTTTTTAGCTGCCATGAAACGTTAAAATTAAAACATAGGATATACCGATATTAGTTTCCCACATATGTTTCATTAGGGGCTTGACTTGACAAATGTTTTGTTTTTACATTTTGAGCAGAGGCACTCTCGGCTGAGAATCAAGCACTGATGGAAAAACTTCAGAATCACGAGGTTGTTTTGGTAAGAACTCTACTGGTTGCCACGTGATCTATGGGACTATGGAAAATGTGCGCAGTCACTTGAGCTTTGAAGAAATTTGTCGAAAAAGAGGCACACGGACACTCATCAAAAAATAAAATGTGCGATATTTCCTGTCAGTGACAAACTTCAGTGCTGAAACATATAACTTTCTAGAAAATATTCCGAAGCCAATTTGGCCAGTGTAAACCTCGTACTCCACTACTAACAAGCATTACATGTACTATCGGATACGAATTAAATGCGAAAAGCGGAGCGAGTGGCCTTCGATACATGTATGGACAAATTTAAAGGCAGCTAGACTCGGTGACAAGGCAAGGAGTAAAGCGGAAGCTCCTCCCACCTCTTTTGAGCTTCCACTTTTTTCTTAACCTGTCACCGTCTATAGACCGATTTTTCGTGGCGGCTGCCATGTGGAATTCGGACGTAGCTCAGTTGGGAAAAAAGATGAAATCACTTTATTCGCCGACTCAAATCGCTAAAACTCAAGGGGTTCGTGCCAATAGTTCTACTTCTATCCTTGCTACTCTTTTGTTTAATGCAGTTATGCTCAAACCATTTACTTTAGTTTTTGTCGCTCAACCCAACTTACGTCATATTTCAAGATGGCAACCGTAGCAGGAAACTGCGGAGTGGAGAGGGGGAACGAACTAAGCTATGCACCGATGTTCATAGCTAAGAGGCTATGAACATCGGAGAAGGCGCGCACCCTCGCAACCCCCTTTCCACCGCATAGTGCTTTATCAGGTGCTAGTTGCCTTTAGCTAGCGCAGTATGTGTCCTAGGCAACGCGCTCTGCTGTTCGGATTTTATTTGTACTCGATAGTAGGTAGTCTGCAAAAATTGCTCAAGCAGGAATAGAGAAAAACTCGTAACGCACCGTCTGCGCTAGTGAAGGGGGCAAAAACATTGTCAGTTTTTTTGGCATTTTGCCTGTGCCTCAAATCCGAATGTATTCCTTGAAAAAAAGACAAAAACAGTAAAAAATCGTCAGAGAGTAGGAGAAAACAAGCACGACGTCTAGAGTGAGTAACAGCCAGCAAAAAATATTACAATTGAACGATTCATTACCAAAAAGTTATATTCACATATATATCCCTTATTTTCACAAATTAGGAACAAAACCTGACCACTGGGAATTTCAAAGCTTGCATCGTCTACTGCCTATCTTTGTCCTTGTTTATTGTCAATCTGTATCCCCAATCTGTAAGACTGAACCAACTCGCCTGCATGGCCACTTTGATTCCCATTTTCGTCTGCAACCACACTTTCTAGTTGGAGAGCGAACAGCTGCGCTTGCAGCTTGTCAACGCAGAGAACACCCTCTCTCAAACTAAGAACGAAATAGAAACGTCAAAGCAGAGTGCCTGCGACGCCCTTCTTCAACTGCAAGCCCTACTGCAAGATCTGGCTGGAGACACAAGCGTTTCCTCTGCAGACTTTAACGGAGCATTCCTCGGGCGAGTCACTCATTTATGCGCATCTCTTTGAGTACGACCTATGAACCAGCTCGTTAGCAACACGTTTTTGTCTCTAAACCAAACCGGGATAGGTCTGAATGTGCATACGGACTCCCAGACAAATAAAGGGATATACTTCCCAAATGAGAAAATGACAACAAAAAATGAAAAGATGATCCATTGGTTAATTCTTAGGGAATGCGTGAGCATGACCCTTGGAGACGCCACACATGTATCCCTTTGGGAAACGCTACCGCTGTCCCCTTCACTTTTCTGTTTTGTCTTTCTCTTTTGCTTCCTCTATTTTTCGCTGCCTGCTTTTGGCCTGTTATGGGCTTACTTTTAGCGTTTCCTAAAGGAGGACCTGTGTGGCGTTTCCCGACGGTCATGCTAACGCATTCCATAAGAATCCACCAATGGATCTTTCTGCAATTTTGTTCATCCCTTTTCTTTTCTCTGCCTGCCGGTCATCCATATCATTCGTGGAAAGAACCACATCCATATCACTCGTAGAGGGAACCGCATCCATCGTTTTAACTACTCACACACACATCACAGCCCACGTACCGCTATTACGGAAACCCAGAGCGAAGAACAACCGGCGACGGCATTGAGGCAACTGAACACTCCCGCATTCCACCGTGCCGCGGCGCAGAAGCGCGGCACCTCCTCCTCTCTGGCTCCGTACAAGCTGTGCGCGTGACTTTGCCGAAAACGGAAGCGCTCGTTTTGACGAAGACCCGGTGGTGTCTGTCAGTTTGTCAGCGCCGGGGAGAGAGGGAGAGGTGGTGAAGTCAGCGTTTTGGACTAATGGGAATGTCGCTCACGTCACCTCCCCTCCTCCCTCTCTCTCTTCCGGTGCCGATAAACGAAAGACACCACTGGGTTTTCGTCAGAACTGGTTTCTAATGCTAACGCATTAAAACATTGTTTGATGTACACCACTAAAAGACATAAGGTGATTGCGCTAGCATCAAACGTGTCGGTCCTCAGGAGATGAAAAGACAGTCTCGTCCTTACTGAGGAAGCCTGGGAGATGGTCAAAAGAGGTAACCAAAAATGAGGAGAGAGAAGGATTCGCAACATATCGGTGCTTAGCGCCTAGCCACGGTAGCGGCCATTCTCTGAACCACATTTCTTTGAAACACATTTCTCAATGACGAAATATGTTTTAGAGAATGACCGCTGCTGTGGCTTGACGCTAAGTACTAAGCTACTCAATTGCAATCCGGTCCTCGCCTCTTTTTTTGCGGCGGCTGGACAGCTAATCATTTGGCGGGCAACTGTTGGCTTTCTCTCTGCGTAAAGAAGACTCTGAAAGTGTCGTAACATGGTGAGGCCAGCATGACGAAGCTATTTTTTGGGTTCTATATGATGAAGGACAACGCACGCCTTTGTGATTTGTTCTAAGCCTCTGTCGTATTGTCTCACAGAAACAACCGCAAACAAGGGCACGCTAACATCCTTGTGGTCTTGTTTTATTTACAGAATCGAAGGGGACATCTTGCGCCGAAAAGAACAAAGCAGTGAGTTAAATGTTTTTTTTTCTAAAAAAATAGTGAGTGTCAAAGAGACTGAGATCAATTTCTTTCTTTCTATCGTTCTGTGGTGAATATCAGTGCGTCATCTGGAGACGGTGCATCAGCTAAAGGACGTCTTCAAGAGCCTGCACGACGAACGGGATGAACTCGCAGCCCAGGTTCATCAGATGGCGTGCGACAAGGAGACAAAAGAACACGCTCTTGCAGACCTCAAGGTAAGATTTGCGTTGAGTTGTATTTCAATTTTTTAATGTACATTTACTCAACGTCGAACCTTGAAGTTTGCTTGTCGGCACAAACATCGGAAAATTTGTTATATTTTGTTGTTTCTCTACTTTTTGTATGCAAGGAGGAAATTTGTGACTTTACTGATTGTGATGTGATGAAAGCAGGTGATTATTTGTCCCAGAAATGAAGTATGGGCAGTCAATAAAGCGATAGTAGCGGTGACGTCACTGCTCGGGATTGAAGGAAAGGAGAAAACTTGGCATTACATATCTTGTCTCCGGAAGCTGTGTTTGTTATATGCCACGAATTCTGTCACCGACGCTCAGAAGTTTCGAAATCGACTTTCATTTTGGTCTGCTTGCTTTTGGGTGAAGTACTTCGTGAAGAAATATCCATCTAAAAGATTTGGAAAAATGTTGTGTATTAAACCCCGATGTTTTTATTATAACCCTCAACACAATTAATTCCTCTTATTACTGATTACGACAAATGACAAACTACTGTTCCAGCAAAACATGTTTTTCTAAAAAAGTAATACCGGTATGTCATCTCTTGAAACATAATCACAGTACACAACTTTCGCTTTACACATACAAAATTGGAGAACGACATTGCAAAATAAGAGTGTTTGGTGTAAAACTTTTGACCGAAATTTTATGGCCTTACTTCGTGATGAAGCTGCGAAGTACCGCTTTTATACACGTACTTGGAATCTGTTAATATATCGATAATTATTTGCTAGAATCAAGAATAATAAGAACGGAAGATTTTTTGTCTTCTGGATTGCTGATTACAAAATGTTTTGCAGGCCGATATTACCGGTCTCTATGGAGCGATATCAAACTACGAGGAGGAGCTAGCTGAGGCACACGCAGAGGTGGAATCGATGAGGTGAGTCAGCTGTTTTCGCAGCGTTCTGAGACAGAACATTGGGCCTGTTAGGGCGCGTTCACACTCTTGCGACCGAGTAAGACCGGGAGAGACTAGACCGGTTTTTAAGCCTCTTGCGATGTCTTAGGACCAGCTCCGCTCCAGCGCATCCGGTCCTAAGAAGTCGCAAGAGGCTTAAAAACCGGTCTGGTCTTTCTCGGTCTTACTCGGTCGCATGTATGTGAACGGCGCTTTATGTGTATAAGTGCAACCAGTTATATTGATTCCTTCCAGAGCGGCTTATAAACTCATACTATGGTACTTCGTGAATTGAAAAGGATACTTACCACGTGGCCAAATATATTACATTCGTTTCACTAACAGTTTGCGCAGCTTTCTGATTTGGTCTCTCATGTAGGTCTCTTTTAGATTTGTGCAGGTGAACGTATTTACTTGCAAACACTGCTGTTACATTTGTGCATAAAAAGTATTAAATGAAAGATATGTTATAAACGAACTGAGTAAAATTGCCTCGTGGCATTTTTTATGCTAAGTTCAGTTTTTTTTATGCATATTCATTTATATTCATTTATACACCTTTATAAAAAAAAAAAATTAAAATCAACAAGGCGGAGCCTTTGTAGTAAATGAAAAAAGCTTAGTTGCGTTTGAATTTCTCTTCTGTGACGCCGGCAACTACATGTTTTTTTATGATGACTAGCCTTTGTAAAAATAGCTAAAAATAGGTCTTACTACTTAAATGTAAAGAATGACTGGACCACGTCAAGTAGGACTCCATAAAAAGCCTAGTTTGATTTCGAGTCTTGATTGTTTGTACTTTGTGCATGCGAAACTAAGCCAAGAGATTGCTCACCTAGGGCTGCGGCCGACTTGGAGGAGCACTCGGTTGAAGAGAAGGAGAAGATGGTACTTTTGCTTCTTGAGAGGGAGGATACATTGAAGCAGCTACAACAAAAGCTCCAGGTAGGATTTCTCACACTCTTTAGAGCCCCCTTCTCCCGCTCCCCCTCCCCCAATCCCTCCACCCTCCCGTTCCCCCCTCCCCCTTCCCCTTGTCTCTCTCGAAAAAAGATCAAAGCATATATTTCTAGGTAATTGTGTTGTGTGGTTGCTTAGACAGCGAAAGTTAGTCACGCCCAATGGGCACCTGGTGTCTCCACTGCAGATAAGAAATCTAGACAGTATACTTCCACTGCTAGCTTGGGGTCTTAAACGTGCACCACGCAGTAGTGATACACGACCCCTCGCTGGTAGGACGCTCAACCAGATCAAAATGGGTAGGGATTGAACCCACGATCCCTGGGTTCTACAGCGCGAGCTCTGACTCCACGCGCTCCGAACTGCTGTGCGCTAATGTACTTGTCCACCGATTCCCTTTTTTTAAGGAGCGAAACTAAGTCCAGTCCATCGCAACATGCTCTTATGTGTAAAATTTCGCGAATGAATTTTTCATTCATAGAAGTCACATGGTCACGTTGTTCCAGGTCACGTCACTGTGCCACATAGTATCAGGTCACGTGAGGTCACCGTGTCACGTGGGACCGTGACGTCATGGGGTCCAAGTTCAGAGGTTGAGCGTGACGTTACATCTCCTTTCAGGATCAACGACCGATCCGAAAATAGATTCGTTGTTTTAAAACGCTCCTTGCAATGGGTACTGTTAGTTTCCCAATATTTTGACATTGTGGCAGGAAACTACGTTTTCTTTCGAAAAGTGTGGCTATTCGAAGTCTTTCATGTTGAAAAGACATAATACTGCAATCCTATATGCGGTCGTAAACATACTCTACCCAATACAGTCACTCACGAAAGTCGGCGCTACGACATTGGGAGCTCAAGCAACTGAAATGGGCATGCCATGCTTTTAAATTGAGACAGATATCAGGTGCCGTATATTTGATAGGTCATTCGATGAAGACAACTAATCAACTCGTCGGCGATAAGCATGCACTTTACATTACTTGCAAATGTGCTGTGGCCCTCTGGTATCAGAACTTGCAATCCTATAGTCCCAGCAGACTGCATATGTAACATGACAAAAATCACAAAACTGTAGGTAAAAAAGACACGCACTGTAATATATTTTTTAGTGCATGTGCCGCTTTTACCCGCACTTTCGGGTTTTTTGTCATGCTAAATATTCACTAGCTCGTTTGCGCCCTTACATTTAAAAGGCATATCTCTGTTCTTGGAACTATTTTTTTAAACTTATAAACAGGAAACTCAGTCTTCTCTGGATGAGATGCGAGAAAACACCACCGCGCTGCAGCAAGAGCTGGAGACTTTGAGGTTAGTGCTTAGAATTACCTGGATCATGTGTTTGGCGCAAGATACTAGAGTTAAAAAAAAAGCTCGAGGTACACCTAAGCATTTCTTATTAGTTGCGAATGCGAAAGCATGCAAGCCGCTCGTCCGCTCCTTTTGTCGTCTGCTCGTCCGCTCCTTTTGTCGTCTGCTGCGTACTAGCACGCGCACGCGCTTCGGGATCTTGGAGGCTATGGCGCAGCGGCCAATGGAACCGAAGGCGAATCGCTCCTATTGCGTTCGCGGCGGAAACTAGGAGCCGTTTTCGCGCTTCAAACTGATGACGTCAGCTCGCTCCATGAGAGAGTTGATGCTTTCGCATTAATACTTTGGTCGATCGCTCGTTACGGTGAAGTTTTTTAAAGTCTCAATGCGTGCCTGTCTGACAAACAGCGTTTTCCTTATACGTTTCTCCAATATGACACGAATGCCGTCGAATGCGTGAATTGATTGAATTCAACATAACGTATACCGTTGCGCTGAAGTTGGGTGTTGAAATCACAGACAATGTTTCCAAATTCTTTTACGTGAACAGTTTCGAGCTCCTTTTCGTACGTTTTCAATGTTTATAATATAGTTTTTTTTTTTAATTTAGCTATGGTGCATTGCAGAAGTAATTCGTAGGGTTAATAATTAGCCAATGATATTGTCGGTAAGTGCGTGTTTTGTTCATGCAACTAAGAACTCACCTTCAAACAATTAGGGCGAAGGAACTGATGGCAAATGACGAGCGTGAGAAGATGGCTGACATGCTCGTTGAGAAAAACGACGCAATCTCACATCTTGAGGACAAAATTAAGGTATATCAGTATGCTGTTTTGTAATATCACCGCTCCTTTGTGAAAAAAAAAAAAAAACATTAGCAAGTTGTAAATGTTTTAGAAAAATACAACTACTATGTAGCATTTTTATTCCTATCTGATTTTATAGATTTAGTGATTGCTTTAATTACTACCGCTTAAGAGTGTTTCTAGATTAAACCTTTCAATGGGGTTGCAGATCTGGTTCATGATGCTTGGTATATCAAATGAAGCTGATGAGATCAAGATAAATGTGTTGATTAGGTGGATATTTCTTTTGTGAAGGCAAGCGAGGCGGAACTAGCAGAGCTGAAAGTAGAAAAATTGGCCACATTGGAAATTACAAGCGCTCTTAGGTGAGGAATGTTTTGTTCCAATATTAATTTACCTGAATTGGGCAGGTGAACTTAGCCCACATATAAAAAATATTAGATGTGAGGTGACCGTGTGTAAGGGAGTAAAAAGAAACCTGTTATATGGTCATACATTCATTTTTGTTTGGCCACCTGAATTACAAAGAGACATTTCTTATCTAATGTATATTAAACTCTATTATATAATTTACTGGTATCATGCCCTATCATTTACTACGTTCCCCTGCTGAATAATTATAAATTTTCAGTAATCAGTCGTGTAAATATTACACGAAGATATAATAAATAAAAACACGAAACATTGCGAAATTTCAGATTCACGCGAAGCTGTGTAGGAAAGCGACTATTTTCTTAACTTGAAAACCTGACAAAAAAATGTCTTCAGGGCACAAAACGAGGAGTTGTCAAAGCTTGCCGCCGAAGTCAACGAAAAGTTGAAGCAAGAAATGGAGCTCCGTGATGTGCCTAAAAACACAATCCAGGCGAGTTTTTTTTTGTATTACTTCAGCTTCAATTGCGGTGTTTTACACAGAGGCTCGTTTGATTAGGACTGCACACAATGAAAAGGTTTAGAATCGCGCACAAAGAGGCAAGCACAAAAGAGGAAGGAACACAGCGCCTGTTTGTGTTCCTTCCTTGTTTGTCCTTGTGTCTTTGTGCGTAATTTTTAACCATGTTCAACACGAGAACAGCTGTCAGCAGTGTGCCAATTACGAATTATATGACGTAAATCGGACTTTAATACTGTGAAAAAATCTGCAGTATAAGGAGTGCAATAAATGTTTCCAGTGTTTCCAGTACTACAAACTGTGCAGTGCATATAAGACACAAGAAATATGAGATTCATAACCACGAGAACGCTCAATAACAGTGAGTCGTATTGTATGTATTGCAAGCAAATTGTAACGGCAGTTGCTGATTGTGCACGAAGAAAATATACAACCAAAGCTTGAAAACTGCGATATGACTCTATATATAATAATAGCCTGATGAAGTCTTCAAATTAAAATACAGTTGATATAATTACTATGCAACGGAACGACGCTTTACCAAACAAACGCAATGTGATCTAGTTGACCAGCAAGTTGACGAGATAAAACTTGAAGTTGACAAGAAACTCTTGAAAGATGTAACTACGAGCTCACCCATGCTGATCTAGTGTTTGGATAATCTTGCTACATGTCGTCACTAGTCATTCTTATAGAAAACAATCATAGCTGTAGTGCTGTGGCGTGTCACAGGTAGCAATATGATTTCTTTCGTGTTGAACCGTACTCAGGTGGAGGAGCGTGAAACACAAACCACCGAAGACACCGGCGGAGCAGACAGTAAGGTTCAGGTTAGTTTCAATTTATATTCATGAAACCTACGACTTCCCGCTGTGTTAAATACGATACCTTGCTTTGATATAAAATATTTTGGGTAATTTGAGCAGTCAATCACGCTGCTTCATAAAAATTTGGGGAAGCCTATAATCTGTTTTGTTGGGCACACAAGGAATATATTTTCTTCACTCGTTATAGTAAAGAAATTAATAATCCTTTTAATTTATAAGTTTCAAAATAAATAAATAAATAAAGATGCAAATTATTATCGTTCCTCAGTCAATAAAATTGCGACATTTACCGATAGTGGCAAAGAACATATCACGAGGCAAGAGCCGTGATCATAATAAATTACGCCCTGCGTTTTGTAAACTGTCACTAACTGTAGCAACATGATAAACACCGTCAAAATATATAGCTTTAATTAATTTGTTTTGTGAATTGGCATTGTTTGATAATAGTTTTATCATTAACTTCCCTTCCCGAATATAGCTCGAAGAGGCCTTGAAACAGCTCGATCAAGTGAACAGTGAGCACAAGAGGTGCAAGTCTGAGTACGAATGCCTCACACGTGAATGTGCGGAGCAGCTTGAGAAACTTGAGGTGTGTTTGCGGTCTCAATTTCTGCAAACTTCTTTTAAGTTTTGGACTGTTAAAAAATTTTCACAAAAGAGAATAGAACATTTAATTGCCCTACCGTACTTTGGAAGGGTGTAATCTCCTCAGTACAGGCGCTGGGGAGGATCATCGATTCAAGAATATTGTTTTTGAAACATTTCTGATTTAGTTTTTAAGGGATATTGTAGGCTACACGTTTGGTTTTATTCGAGACTTTTCTTTTTCATGAATCATCATAATTTTTTAATTAGGTCCCGCTACTTTGGATATTCAATGCACGTTCAATTTGGCCGTTATGTACTCGGAAATTAAATGAATTAGAAAGAAGTAAATTTACTTTTGCCATTACACTGGAGTTTAAATTTGTATCGGCCTAATATATATAAATTTACCGATATATTGTTTATCTTTATGGAGAGCAGTACTTTTTTTTTTGCCACGAAGAGTCTTTGCGTTTGCAGGCAAAGCTCATAATGGCAGCAGATGTATCATGCACGTATACTTCGTCTCGCCTTATAATAAAATAAAGTAAAGGCGACTGACCCAGAGGTCCAATCACGAGCTACTTAGAGACCACGTAATATTGTACTCTGATATTTGTCTGATACGGACACTAGAACATCATGTCACATGGTGTCTCATTGGTGCTTAGGCCTGATGGCCCGTAAGCACGGCTATGGTAAATCGTAGTTTGAGGCAAATTATGGTGCCTAAAGTGTGAAAGTTAACTACATTGAATCTATTTGCTATATGGGTAAAAACGGAGGAAATGTAAAAGAAGTGTGAACTTACTTAAAATCGAAAGAATATAACACGGAGGACAAGCGCAGGACAACCACGTTTTTTCGTTTAGCAACAACGTTTATTTTGGGCAGGAAATTTGCCCAAAATTTCCTACCCAAAATAAACGTTGTTGCTAAACAAATAAAACGTGGGTTGTCCTGTGCTTGTCCTCCGTGTTTTATTCTTTCGATTTTAATTATTCATGTCGAACTCGCTCACTTTTACCAGTCCAAGTGTGAACTGTAGCCTTCTATTCTTCCAGCAATCGTACTTGGACAAGAAGAAAGAGCTTGAGAAAGCCATGAGCGAAAAGAAAGACCAAGTCAAGCTTCACGACGAGGCAGCGAAAGCGGTAATCTCAGATAGTAGAGTAGTTGACACGAAACTCAATGTTGCCACTGCTTGTGGCTTAGATTCGCTAGGGCTTACGGGCCCAGAATTCAAAATTGGATTTTTTTTTTTCATTTTGGCACATGAGTTGCGGAAGCAATGGGGAAAGCGATGCGAAACAGCTTGAAGGAACTCCTTGCTCTCTCGTAGTGTCACATAAACAGGGTGTACAAATTTTAATTCATACATATTAAAAAAAATATTGTCAGAGACGAGTGTAGTTTTCGCCATGTATTTATCAGGCTGGGTGGACATTAGGCGAGTGAACTGCCGTCATGGTAAGTTGGCTACATAACTAGCATTTCTGAATTAACCTTCTAATTATTCGTTTTAAGAGTCTTGTTGCAAATCCAGCATTTACGGCAATTAGTATTAAAGAAAAAAACGGTTAAAGTGCAGGCGAGCTGGTGTAAGTTATACCTGGTCATTGAAAACCTGAGATTGTGGTTTGAAAAACGAAAAATCGTGAAGTAGTAAGAAAAAGGGAGAGACAACGTCTCAAAGTCGTTGTCTGTCCCTTTGTTTTCTACTTTATCATCATCATGTAGTATTAGAGGGAAGACCAGGTAAAAGAATTTGCAAGATTGCAATGGAATTATTCATTCATTTATTTATTCAGGTTACCTCGCAGAACCTAGAAGACATTGCTGCGAGAAGATACTTGTACATTATCCTCAATGAAAATATTAATTTTCAAATATTAATTAGTAAACTTTTACGTTTCTTAACCCGATTTAAAAATTGCATACAACACGTGCGCCACAAGTCGTGCCCGCAATACTCCGGTCACTTAGTCGTTTGAATAATTTGTTCACTATCTCGGCAGCATGTCCTTGGTGGGTACGCAGACTACCCGAGTGACGACGTGAGTCAAACGACTGCATCACTCATCTAAGCTTTATTTTGGAAAGTGCTTGCGGCGCGCTTGTTGCGCGCAATTTGTGAAATCGGGCTAAGAAATGGGAAATCTTATATATGAATAAAAAAGAAAAACGTAACATTTTTCCAAATTTTTTAATATGTCTGTCTTGTAATTGTAATTGCCACCCGTTCTTCAATTAAGACATGACCCCTAAAAGCAATAATTAAAATATAATTAACAAGCTTTAGTTAATGAGTTAATTTACCATGACGGTTATCCCTCATGAAATGTCCGCCGAGCCTGATAAATGCATGGTGGAGACGGCACTCGTGTAACCCTCACCCATTTTTCTTAAAATTATTTGTTCGAATTAAAAAAATTAGGCACTTTGTATAATATCAAATTGTACTCATTAATAAAAGAGGATCTGAGCGTAGCACACAATATAAAATAAATTGCCTATTACTAACTCATCGATAATTTCTAATTCAACTTGTTGCGCGAAGGTTTTATTGCGACTGAATTAATTAATCAACATAATGTCGCGATATGTGAAGATAATATTTTTATCATACTGACTAAATTGATTAAAAAAATAAAACCACACATTGCTAAAATGCCGTAAATATATTTAATTGTATGGGAAAAGGCGGTTCATTGATTGAAGAATTGGATAAAAAAAGACACGACTATGTTTTCTATATAGCCGAAATGGCTTCGTTTGCCATTTTGTCTAGATTCGGCTAGACTTTTTTTCATTTCGTACTTTCTGTGTCTCTTCCGCAGCGGAAGAGACACAGAAAGTACTAATTGAAAAAGTTGGATAAACAGGAAAAATTTGAGTTCGAAAAATTATTTTGGGCAAATCGAGAATCGATGATTCGCTGACTGTATATATTTAGACTTTGCAAAAGCATTCGATACGGCCTCTCACTAAATCCTGCTACTAAAACAAACAAACAAAAAAAAGGTAGTGCAAGTAACATACTAAAATGGCTTGAATGCTCTCTCCCCCTTCGTCGGCATTTTGTCACAGCTAATAACATCTGCTCCCCTATTCACCCTGTAATTTTTGGCGTACCTCAAGGCACTGTTCTTGGGCCTTAACTTTTTCTTGTCTACATTAACGACCTGTAAAACTGTGTATCATCTTCGATTCATATATTCGCAAATGATCGCGTTCCTTCCAGGGAAATAACTAGTGTTTGCGCTTCAATCTGATATTAACGCTATCATTTCTTTGTGAAAAACGTTGCATATGACGCTAAATTTTAACAAGTGCAAATTCAAGCGAACCTCTCGTTGCCACTCTAACTTACCTTCGAATCTCCCGCTCGAATTCGTCAAATCATATAAGTATTTAGGCGTCCATATTACTTCTAGTTGTAGCTGGGAAATTTACATCGATTTCATTACTAACAAAGCTAATCGTAAGCTAGGGTACTTAAAACGTAACTTTAACTCGGATTCTACTTCTATTAAACTACCGTACTACAAAGCAAGTGTGCATTCATGACTAGAATATGCCTCATCGATTTGGGATCTTGGCGTCGGAATTCTTGTTGATCAATTGGAAATGATTTAAAATAACTCACCGAGATTTATATACTTAAACTACCAACGAGCTGCTAGTGTGTCCTCCATGAAATCTAACCTAGGTCTTTCATCCATAGCTTCACGACGCAAAAGTGCTCGACTTTGTTTATTTTATTAAATATTTTATCCCACCACTTTGGATCACCTTCCTAAACTAAAAGTCATTTCCTGCAATACTAATCTCTTTTTTTGTTTGTTCTTTCAGTCTACGCACCTGTAATGACTCGAACCGCCCTCCTTCTCTAATAGCAATTTTATTATTATTTTCAATTTCTTCCAATCTGCTTTGCAGAATATACCTGATTGATTTCATGTAATAGTATAATATATATATATATATATATATATATATATATATATATATATATATATATATATCGGATTTGCTGATTGCTGGATAGCGAACTGTATAGTATTCAAACGTTTGTGTCGTTTGCACTTATAGTGTTTTTTAATTTTTTTATGTATTACTTTCCCAATTTTCATTCAATTTTTTATTATTTGTTCTACTACTCTCCTTTGTAATGATTTATGGCTTAAAAGTGTGAATAAATAAATACATGAAAAATGTAGGAACATATTAGCTTTTGAGCTCAATGGTCACTTTAACTAAATATAGGCGAAAAATAGGGCATTCAGAAAAGTTCTATAGCTCGATCACACGCATTCCTAGTTTTGATGAGACTTGAACAACGGATAAAAATGTGGCTTTTAGCATATGAGAAGCTTCAACTCATTACCCGAGCTCATGCTTTTTAACCCTTAAATGTAATCAGATATATTGGACGCGTGTTCGCTTCACGAATTATATTTCAACGTACGTTGTTGAGCATGTCTTTCGTTGAAAGGATGTCCTAAAAATTTTGGTACGAGGAAAATATTTCATTATGTTTTATAAAGTTATATTTTATATTAAGCTTTTTTATAGGGTAGATATTTCTCGCTCATATATTGAAGGCTTTGTAGCCGGTATGTAAAGTTCCGTGAACGAAGATAAGCCTTTACATTTGAACATTTTCCTTAAGAGAGAGAGAGAGGGAGAGAGAGAGAAAATCTTTAGGTAAAACGTGCTTTCTATAAGACTCGGGACACTGGTAAATATTTTTCGGTACTTTAATACTTACACTTCGAGGAATCGCTGAAACAGTGGAAGTTTTAGCCCTCTCTTTCTCTCTTTCTTTAATTTTTACTCGGGAGAAAGCATTACAAATTATGGCCGTGTGTGTTGTTGAGAGTGTCCGTCGGCATAACCACCAGCTTGTCCTGAACATCTATTTCTAAAACTCCCTGCGTCATGTATACGGTTTCGAATTAACAACAATTAAAATTGACAAAGAAAAGCTGCCTGAAGTAAAGGTGAGTTGTTGCATGTTGAGAATAATGGTAGGCATGGTGGTAAATGGTGAATGATGGTAGACTTGATGGTAAGTCTTGAGCATGTCAAGACGTGATCTTTTGACATTTGTTTATTTATCCAACTGTGCTTTCAGTTCCACCTCAGTGGCTGGGTTACCATCAAGTTCAACATTTAGAATTTGTTTTTACCTTTTCTCTTTTTTCCATCTAAACAATATTTCATATCTTCCCTCAAAAGAATAAGGTGATGAAAGCAGAAAGTGAAGCTCTGAAGAAGGTGAGCCTTTTTACGACAGTTTTTTTTTATATTTAGGCACTTCACCGAATTTGCCAAAGGGAGTGCAAAACTATTTCAAGATGTTTTAAAAAAGAAGCATCATCTGAACACTGCAGTCAAATCTTCCACTCATATTAAATTCTGAGGTGTATATGTACGACATTTTTATTGTGTATACTCAACTGGCGTTACGGGATATCAGGTGATCGGAGACATACCGTTGTTGCTTTCTGGCTAAGGTTGATTAATTGGTATTTGATTATATGATATTTAATGATGTGTTGAAAACAATACAATGCACTCAAACTAATTTATAAGAATCCTCTTCGATGGCGGGGGCTCTTGATGGAACACAATATTAATCGCGTGTGACATTTATTTAGAAAAATATGAAGACGGTTTTCTTAATAAACTCGATCAATGAACTTTGTTTCAGAAATTTGACGCTCTTGAGACACAGATTAAGAAAATTCAAGTGGCAGCTGCCAAAAAGGTAGATATACATGCACCACTCTTTGTTCTAAAGTTTCGTTCTAAATATGTTATAATCGTCTTATTTTTTTATTTAAATGTGCGCATACTGATAGTGATGTGACTTTTAATTTTAAGGAGCCATGAACCCAATAATACATTTAAAGTGAAATTAATTTGGTGGTTCCACGCAATTACCATTCCGAAATTCCCTAGGCGCCCGCACGGACTTCGAGAAATTAGACTCTCTTGAGGTTGGCAAAATTAGACTTGTTTACAAAAGCTTCTGGGTAAAGGCTTGTTTAACTAAAGTTGTAACACCACTGTCAATTAAAAAAAAGTAAAGAAAAAAACACACACACGCACATATAAAACTCAATCTTAAGGTTGTAGAAAATTTTCCTCTGAGTTTGCTGCTATGATCCTTCTTCTGGTGATGCGAGTGTGAATTATGCTAAGATTGTTTCTTACCTCTGTTTCTTTTTATTTTATACAGGAGTCTGCGGTGGAAGCAGAGGTGATGTACACACACCCTATAACTTACGAACCGCGAAACCTCTAGTTTCATCACAATTTCAGCGAATCTTGATGTAAAAATCTGGTTAACTGATTTGTTGGCTAAAGATTAATTTAGAAAAAAGAAAAAAAAAGCGGAAAGGACATTTTATGATAAAGTATAACTAGTGCCTATACATAACTGCACAATCGCCATCCAAAACATCTTTGAACTCCACTGCTCAAGAACCGACTTTGCACACATAAAGAGGGAACTCGTAATACATTTTATTCTTAATCGTTATTTGAGCTTCGTGTAATTTGGGCATTTGCTCGTGAAATACTGGCGATGCGTACATCAGCAAGATAATTGATTCAATTCATTGCGGCTCTATCGGTACCAGGAGCCGAATACACTTAGCTGAAATTATATGGATTTGATCAACTCCTTCCTTTTTTGCGTTTGTATCGAAACAGAATGCAAGGCTGAAGGACCGTCTCAAAGAGCTCCAGAAGAAGGTTGAAGAGTTGAACTTTGATCTGAGGCACACTCGAGACGTAGAGGCGAACAAGCGTTCTCAGATGGACAAGCTCTACAAGGAGGCCCAGAACGAGATCAAGCTTCTGAACAAGACGCTGGCAGACGCCGCTATAGCGAAGATGGCCCAGACAGCACCATTCACTCGGGTCTGCAACATTTGATTATTGCATGGAAAGTTTTTGTTTGACAGAAACCCCTAATTTTAGAAATTTGTTTGCCCATCTGTGCATTACCTCCACTGAGTTTGGCGAAGACGTCAAGGCATTATGTGACGGTGACACCATGACTTGACACTGTGACGTCACGTTATGTGACCGCGTCGCGTGACTTAAGGTCGCGTGATACCCTGACGTCTACATGTAGTGACGAAATTGCTCTAAGGTGACCTGACGTCACGCTACGTGACCCGATCATGTGACCCCGTGTCACGTGATGTAAATGTACCCGCTAAATTTAGTGAATAAAATAATTAAATGGCGTCTTCTTCACTCTTAATGATTGGAGTTGTCTTCTAAACAAATTTAAGCAATCGCTTCCTAAATAGTGCATTCTATGCGTTGTAAGACTTTGTAGATGAAGGATGCTGTTTATATGGTGCTAAGTTTCTTCTAAGAACCACTTGCCTGAAGATCACTGCAATTATGTTATCTTACTTTTATTCGGACATGGTGTATTATGGCAGAAATCAATGTGGTCGATTGTATGCGTTCTAGAAACTTGTTTGCATTATTATGATTTTCAACGGGTACTTCAACTACGTGTCTCACTAATGATTGGTGTCATTAAACAGTCAAAAGCACCTTCCACCCCGACAACTGGAGTGCTTCGTCTTGAGCCAGCTCCGGAGCCGGTATCCAAGCCACCTGTGTCCGGTCATCCAGATGGCAGCTGGAGCAATGACTCCGTTAGTAGGATCGCATTACTCCCAATATGTCATTACTCTCGCGTGTCTTCCAGAAAAACATGTACACTCAATAAGATGTTTTTTTATATGAATATAAGCGATTCGTAGGGTGTTCCAGATATCTAAGGAGGAGGCAACTCTACAGAATTTTGACCTGACTTTCCAATTTCCTCCTCTCGGTAGATTCCGCCTTGCAACATGCACTTATTTTCTCCTTTGTTACTATCAAGGTTGAACAAATTTGAACAACAAGATGAAATATATTAGATACAGAGATAGCGGGCAAAAAGGTTTCTTCAAGTCCCTTCCCGAAACGTACTAGTCTAATGGTTTATTTTGCTGTTGTAAATTTTCTAGGCGTTTATAACTTTACTGGTAGAAATCTATATGAGTGCAGTCGGTATCACTATCGTAACTCTATGTTCGCGGAGTACCGATATCCGTAATCGTTTCTCTCCAAGTCTCGCATTTATTCGTCCTAATCCTTAGTATCCAAGGCGGTAGTCTGCCACAGTGAATATTCATACTGCACCCACATTTATGCTTCGAATAGCTTATGTTTGCAACATAACTCATAGCGAACAATGCAATATCTCACTTCGGTTCCTGACAATAAAATCGACACTCAGGTCGTGGAAAACGCTCAAGGGGAAACTAGTGTTGCCATTTTCGGTTCAGGGTGGCAACCAAGGTATAATAGCTTACAGTACTTCTGTGCACTGTCCTCACAAACTGCCGAGTAGGCACAGACTCGGCAGTTTGTGGACGGGTAAAAGAAATTAGGCATTGGCGATGCATACGCGGAGTTTGACATCGAATTTGTGCTCATTTTGTTTTAATGAAAAGTGCGATTGAATGGGAGCCCAGTATTTCTGCCTCGATGCATTTTTTAATTAAACATCTATTCAGCGTGACAATTCCCGCTGTACTACGAAGTTTGGTTAGCGTCTTCTTTAATGAGTTTTAACCGAAAACACATAGCACAAGCCCAGTTACGATTAGATGCAATTAATAATGAGCTAGTATTAGTCACTATGACAGTTTGAAAAACACAGGGCAGGGTGATTCTCGATCATCTTCTTTTCGCTCCTTAACGGGGGAGATTGTCGCACTAGCCAATAAGAACGCCTAAGAAGGAACCACGAAGCAAGAAGCGTCAGCAGTAGAGGCCAAGCCCCGTTTTTTTTTCTTCTAGTTGCGAGAGACTATAGTTGTTTTAACATTACTATATTTAGATGTTGCTGCGGATATTCTTAAAATGTAGGAAGCTTGACATCCAATTTTATTTCCTTTCCCGTGCATGGCGAATTCAGCTGGAGGGCATTGTGAACCAGATCGTCAACAAGGAGGCCAGTGATAACCTGACCTCGGACAAATCTTTCCATGTGGTCGTTGTGCCGGCAAAGAGCGACACGACGAGCTTGGTTAGTATTCGACATTTAATTTGCCGACCAAATGTTTTTATTTTTAATCAAGTAGGTTGCCCTTTCGTCTTTAAAAAAGAGTTGTGCATGGACATACCCGAGGCTGTTTGGTCGTGATGTTTTCTTAATGATTAAAGGGGGCTTCAGGAGAGACAATTTTTATTATGACAATACAGCAGTAATTAGAAAAGGTAATTGCGAAGCAATTGTAAAGAGCAATCTAGCCAGCGCTGCCTGTTCGTCGCTAGGCTGATCCTTCGGGTGCTTCGCAAATAGGTCAAATTCCACAATGCACTTCTTGCACTCAGTCCAGGGTTCGCTCGTAGTGTCTAGCGGTTTTGGATGGTGGAAGCGGGCCGGCCGTCGTGGCGTTTTTCTTGGGTCTTCTCCAGCGACTCGCAGACGCCTGGAGGCCTATTTTGCAGGCCTTACGTTGCTGCCCTCCGTCGCTGCCATAAATATCCGCTGCCACCATGGAAGGAGCAACCCAGCCAGCATTGCGATTCGGAATGAAGGCTTTTATTGGGTAGTTTTAGGGAACTGTTTTCGCACATCCGATACTTTACGATGGGCCCACCGCTACGAACTGCGCAAATGGGAGTCTTCTGTTGTCGCGCATGCGCAGTCTGCACCGGAGGTCACAGCGTACCGTATCGGAGGTGCAAAAAGGGTTCCCTAAAACTGCCTAATATCGCGTGCATCCCCCTTCCCCCGTTTCCACCCTAGGCGTCGTCTTCGTGCAGTGGTATAGTCATATGTCGCTAGCTATCGCAGCAAATTTGTACATACTGTTTCATAGGCTATTTATCTAAAATACATTAAAAAAATGAAATTATTTGGTGTTACAACTTTAACTCGTTTAACAAATGTGAGGGCTAATCCATGTGTTAACGTGCTCTGGGTGTATTATTTTGATTTAAGAAAAAAATACATGGACTCCGTTAACGAACGATTGGCCAAACTTATAAGAGTAGGGGTTCTCTTAAGAAAAAAAAATATTTCAGGGTTCCATAAAAATCAATCTGACCACCTTTATATTATGGTGCCTGGCACGAGTTTCCGAATGGTGTTTAGTGTCGTATTCCAACCGATACAAATGACAAAGCACATTCCCGCTGGAACAAAAGGGCGTCATTCAGTTCGGTCTTCCACTGTGCGCCGCCATTCGCTTCCCTAAAACATGCACCGTCACGCAGTCGGCGCTTCAAGGAACCTCGCTACTTGTACGAAGCTGTTTATCTAGGAACTTCAATTCGGTTGGCGCTATGATGTTTTCTGCGTGACGCCACTTCCGTGACGAAGGTTTCCTGACATCCATCTCCCAACTTTGCGTCCCATTTAAAGAGCGAAAAAATACGTATTTCTATTTAAAACAAAACAAAACAAAAAAACACACAAAAAAAAAAAAAACACGAGAGTGTTGTTGTCGCGGCATCCCCAACTGCTGCGACGTCATCAGGCAGAAATCGAGGGGCCACTTTTTTGGGGACGTGCTGAGAATACCAGACGGAGACGCGTTGCAGGCACCGTGTTTAGGACAGCAATATTTTGTTTTCTTTTTTGTGACAGGATGGCGGAAAGACCATGGCGTCGGGTATAATGCAGGCCATGAGTGTGACCGTGTCCGCTGTAAGTACTTTTGCGTCAGATAAATCGGAGATAAATCAACACAACGGGTAGATGTTACAAAATCCATCATTCGCCTTTTTCAAGTCGCAGGAGGCTGCAACACAGAAGAAACCCGCTGCCCGGGTAAGTGCGCATTGATTTTAAATATTTTTTCTTCGGAAATCTAAACTAAAACCGCCTTTAAAAAAGAAATTGGGTGACACATTTTTCAAATTTTGAATTGAAGCGCTTGCCCTCTATGGATGTCCTAAATTGTTACACTATGAATTGTTGGATTGAGTAGAGCGTCAGAAAAAAAAAATTCCAACGAAACTTTGAGACAGATCTGGCTACGACCAATTCTAGTGGTATATTAGATAAAATATTTGGGATTATATTAACGAAGTTTAAACTAATTGTCCTCTTGTTCTATCTACTGTAAGGATATCTGAGATGTGGTAAGGTTTAGCTTCCATTCATTGTAGAAAATATGACGCCGACAATAAACTTGTTTTCGTCATCAAATTTATTTAAAATTGCTCTATACAAACAAAGATCTCTAAAATTGGGCACTACATCTCGGAAAGCTGTCTGAGCGAATTAATCGGAAGTTACTATATTTTTAGTCTTATATTCATTTTATGAAGCTTCTTGAGTTTGATTCACAATGATCATATACTTTTAATGTTGTCAATATTATTTGTTTCCAAAAAAGGTTCTGCCATCGCAACCATCTACTCCAAAAGAGAGCGAGCCCCCCACGCCAAAGAAGCGGAAGTTCTTCAAGAGCAGAAACTACAGTGGCGGATATTAGTTAATTATGTTGCATTTTATGTTCTCAATCGTTCTCTAGTTGATAGATCAAAGCACCATCTATGAAACGGCGGTTTTCAATCTAACTATTTGATTTGCTTCGTTTCATCATATCTTTTCAACGTAACAAAAGAATATGCTAGTTTTACGTAAACTTAGTTGCATTTTTTGCTTACATTTATTAATTTATTTACAACTCGGTTTGACGCAAATAGAGCTTCTGACATGTTTGTGAGCTTGGCTAGCTTATTTGTTTTGTTTTTGTCAAATATCTCTTGTTCCTTAGTTTACGGATGGTAACACGAACTGCGAGAGAGCGTTTTTAAGTTACACTGTCGTGGCCTTTTCAACTTTATTTTTACGTTTTTGACGAGGCTGAGCTCGCAAGATATGTTACGCTACCCAATATTATGTTAAATTTAGTTAAATGCTCTATTTTGGGGTTTGTGTTTGAGTGGAAGTTTAATAAAATGTTTGACTTCGAACTATGTATTATTGAGTTTTTCGTCATGAAATATTGGATTTATTATGTTTTAAAATATGCCACAGATGTTTTGCTTTTATTTACACTGTAGACATATAAGCACTACGCTAGAAATTTGTTTTCGTTAACCAAGTGCAGCAATTAATTTTTACCCTCTGAACACTTCACACATTGGTAATTTAGCAAGTTTCATTTTATGTGTGGCGCACTCAGCACGAGTGTCAACGTAAATATTGACCAATTTATAATCTATAAAAATTATTCGTTGAGCAACGAAATATGATTGCCTAGCAAATTTCTAAAGCACATTAGAAATTAATTAGACAATCAATAAATCTATAGAATATGTAACATTCTGCTTTTTTTAAGGTTAAGACAAAGAAAGCGCATTACTTGTTAATTCATTACTCGATGACTCCGCGTACCGGGTTGAACTGCCAACTTTTCTTCGAACATTTCCTTTTTATTTATTTAATATTAGGTTGAAACTGGTCTGTGAAAAAAATATTTCCCTTTTTATCGGTTTTGAATGAGTTCCCTATAAATATTACCGTCGAAAAGGACAACCCCGGGAAACTCCCTGAATAAACGATTGGTTGAAAATCCCCATTTTCGACAGGCGACAGGGGCCAATCTTTATTCAACGAATATAAACATTTTATTGTTGTTCCTGATCTCGTGTTATGTTTGTGCGGATTAGTATGTTTCTTTGTGAAAAACTGTATGAAGGTTCAAATTGCTTACATTCTACATTGTGTATATTTATATGCCGAATGCGCACGTATGTATTGACCGTAGTTTTTTTTTCATCTTTAAATTTAGAATTTCTCAAAGATGACTAGAAGATGGCCAATTCAAGCCAGTACATTAAAGCGGCAACATTGTAATACAAACTATGCAAAGGCCAATATTTCTTACATTCGTATTCGATATATTTTAGATGCGCAATTCGTAATCAATTTTGTAAACTTTTGTACAAAATGTGTTCACGACTGGTGGTTATTTCGTGCGTCAGTGAATACCTTTATCTCTTGTTTTAAACAGACACGGTCAGGTGGATGTTGCTTTTATAAGTTTTGGGAAGATACATACTTGTCAAGCTATTTTATTTTTTTGGCGCGTCTTAATAGACGCGCCAAGCAATAATAACAAATAAAAAAAAAGATTTTGCGTGCTCAGCGGTCTCTTTATCTGGCCTGCTGTTTTCAGTTGTCCAGTTATGTTCACTGACATGATGTTGTCGAAAATGTAGGAGTCACAGTTTTGTTTTTGCATGTCTGAAAAAGACAATTTAAAGAAGCGACATTAAAAAAGAAAGCCCTAAAAGGAATTCCAACTAATAAAAATTAGTTTCAAAATACTGAGTCGTATTATCACGTAGAATTGAGCCTAGCAAATAATGAACAGTCTCGGGAAAAACTGCCCTTGATGGGTGAGGGTAGACATCCTCTTCCGGGGTTGTAAAAATAACCAACATTCGCTAGCGTGACCTCTAGAGAATCCTCTATTACGGCTTATAATACATTTATTTTTATCGGGATCAAAAACCACATCACCAGAAAGAATGCTAACAAATGCGCCAAAAGTGCAGGCACTTCATTATATCTAGGAAGGGTGGTCAACGAAACAAAATAGACCAGCGGAGCGTGTAGACTCGCGAATATACAGTTACTTTTGAGATTCCTGGAGTTACTAAATGGCTGAGCCATATGATCACCCTAGAGGAGAATAATTGTATGTTTATGTTTATGTTTATTCTTATTTTCAGTGACCCACCAACAGCTTGACGCCTCCTTAGTGGTGCACTTATTCCTTCAGAAATACAACGCTAAACAGGATAAAAGCGAAACGTTAGGAAAGAACAATAGCCTCAACACACTGTCGAAATTTACGCTTTTCATCAAATATACCGAGGCTAGCATTCGCACAAATCTGTTCTAAATGGTAGTCTTGTACGCTAGAGTAACTGTATATGCTCCTAATGCTGAGCAAACTCATTTATTCTAGGGGGGCCACCCGCTCCGCTGGTCCAATTCGTTTCGTTGATCCCTACTTCATAGGGGCATATAAATATGTCTCTAGAAGTAGGGCTTGTATCTGTCGTACTGTTAGTATTTTTAAATAAAGATGGCCATGAAAGACATGAAAGAAATTGTACGGTTAGCGGCAATATAAGCTAAAACAGTTTAGTTCAAGCCCCCCCCCCCCCAAACAAACAAACATGCTAAACCACGACACCGTCCACGATGAGAATTCGCTCAGCATGTGCCCCCCCCCCCCCCCCCCCCCCCCAGAAAAGTTTCCATGCTTCTCGCTAAATTAATTCTGTAACGCAAAAAAAGGAAAAAAAAAAAAGAAAAACGTTTGTGACGTTATTAAATTAACCGGGATAGAATAGACAGCTTTGTTTTAAATATTAATATATTCATGACATAAAAATAAAGCAGTATGATTACCTTGCCTACGTCGCAATCCGTGCCCTCTGGAGCATCCCCCAAGACGTAATAAAGAACGTCGTTTGAATCACGCACTATGCAGCACAGCCTGCACAGAGTGCGAATATTTCCCAACTGAAAGAGATCCACGTATGTATTCCAAACACTAGAGCAGCCCTTTAATCGCTCTGAGTGTCGAGCGCGGCTACTCAGTCAAAGGATTTCAGAAGGATATACTTACTCTTCCTTGTACAATGGGCCCATTAACCCCGCGAGAAGTACACACTGAATCAAGGTTGGGCTCAGTTTCTTCAACACCTATGCATACCTCAGGCATTGTGTAACCTGGGGCTAATGAAAAAAAAAGAAGAAATATTACATTTTGGTAAACAAGGCAGATATATATTTTTCTATATTTATCAAAGTCAAGGCTTTGTAAGTTTCAAGTACACAATTTTCTACAAAGCGACGCTATTTAAAATATATATAGAAATAACTGATTGCAAAAAAAGGTTTCTAAATGCCTACTGCCACATTTGTAATAAACGAAACTAAAATAATATTATAAAAAATGCGTGTAGATTTCTAAAGGGGTGAAAAAGGCATAGCAATTGTTTTTCAGCATAAGACTGTTATTAAACGTAACTATTTTGTAGCGATTAACACAGCACAGCTTAAAAAAATAACGCAGTATACGATGAGCCCCGTATTTCTCACTACCGCGCCGCAGCAAATGAGATTCTGCCACCAGCCGTTAAAAAGCCGAAGAACAAATCACGAAGGAAAAATTATGAACATAATATTAATAAAAATTATCATCTTTATTTCGATGTTTCCACATCCACCGTGACCTGAATAATGGTACACAATTCGTCCTAAAAAAACACAAAAAAATTACGCCCGTGTTTATTGCGTTGTCAGGGAGTATATAAATATATCCTTTGATATTAAACATATTCGAATCCCGAGACGGTGTGTAATACGCGTACGATGTCACGAGATTGAGACGTCAATTGTGTGCAAGAGCAAATGAATCTGATCTTTGAATCCTTATTGTGCCTGTAGAAATGGTGCTTTTGTAGCATACCGAATTTTATTGAGCTTGATCAAAGTGTTTGGTGTTTCTCGTGCTTTACAGGTAAGGAGATTTGTGAACTTTTTTTAAAATTTAGACAGCGTTACTTACAAACGTAATATAAATTCTCTTTCATCTTTTTTCTCTGTTCTTACACAAATAACCGGCGTCGATACCTGGTGTGCTACAATGATTTTCTTACCCCCGGTCTGTCAATTTTCTTAAAAAAGAGTCTGAAGCGTACTCGCTTATATCAACTATGCCATTAAAGTATTTTTGATTTATAGTAAAAAAAAATACAGAGCGAGATACTTTGCACAATAGCGGCCACAAATATAAAATTAAAATTGAAAGAAATGTTGGGCCGCCCTGCTGAGGCATCCGGCTAAGAAGTCTTTATATACCGTTTTCTATAGACTTTTATAGATGTTATATATATATATTTCTTTGTTTTCTGTGCCCACAAACATTTCAGTTTCCACTGTGGTGCACAAAATACTAAAATACAAATACCGCAAAAACTAGAATACTCAATACAAATACAAATGTGTATATATAAATATATAAACAGAAGTTATAGAAGTTTTAACTATGAAAGTTATTAGTCAAGCTATTTTGCGTATTCTATGCTGATGCGTACCCAGCTCTGACGAGCTTTCCTTTCACCGCTTAGTAAGCCAAATACCGCCTTTTATTGAGCTGCAAAATTTAAAAGTTGTTATTTATATGGGTTTTTTAAGTGCAGGGTTATATGGTATGACTTCGACACTCCAGTCTTTGGTACCATGTGCATATAAATCTTCGATTTGCAGCTAGCAGTAACCTGACAGTGCTGATGAGTAACTTGAACTTGAACTTGCCAAATATTGAACCAACGGCAACCAGAACAAAAATTATTCCTGCAATCATAGTGTATAATTCACAGGCGACCCAGAAACTATATGAAAATCAACTCTTTTTTTATCTTTTCTTGTTCCGGCTCTTGATATCTGTTCCAGTACCTGCGCAAAACATACGAATGAAGTTTAATTGATAATAATATTTTTAAACACTTAAATCACACTTCTTATAGATTTGATTTTACATAGAATTGTTAATAACAACTGTGGAATTGAACGTTGTAAATATATTTCCGTCTCTGCTATTTCCTGTACTAGACGATTTCACCATTTAAACATTGTGCCATTTCATTTTCATGTTAATTATTTTTGAAATTCCTTCCCTACACATACGGTTAAGGTGTGCGATAACGTGTACGGGCCTACGCGCATGGTTGTATACATTGATTTTATTTCCGCAATTGTACATTTTTTTCTTTCGTATTGTGTGATTGTATTGAGTCGTTATTTCACAGGGTGTTTAATTTTTTTTTGGTTTTTTTGCTCACCGTTACTGTGAGCGGTGTATACCCGCTTCTGCAACGATCACAAATTAGGTTGCACTATGTGCAAATAAATAAATAACAAATATTAGAGGTTTGTTATGCTGCGTTATCTAACAACCAAATTTAGATCAAATTTCCCGTAAAGATTGAATGAATTGGAGCGATAAAAGAACCCCGCTCTTATAAAGACGCGATCTATAATTAATAAAAATCCGCGAGTGACCTTGATTACCGCAACGAAATATCATTGCAGAAATAACTGCCTACTGAATATAATTATTGACGGTACAGAATCACGTTATTTCTCCTTTTACAGCTCATGCAAGATGAATAAATGAAGAGATGAATACATCTCCGGAGGTAGGATGCACTTCGGAGATGAATACATCTCCGAAGGTAGGATGCAACGTTAATGTGTGAATCCGAATGCGCGGCTATCTCGCATAAACAGATTAAAAAGGAATGATCTCAATTTTGCTCAGGTTTGATATCCAGTAATGCTACCGCGTATAAATAACTGGCAACAATAGAATTTGGTCGTACAGCGTTTGCCTTAGGTTAGCGGAGCGGAGCGTGATAAGAGTAAACAGAGACTTGCCTGCGAGTTTTCAAGTTGTCAGTTCAAAGTTGCTTAGTGGTTTGAGCGAGCACACAACCGAACGGGTTGTTTATTTGAGGCAAAAAATTTTTTATCTTAAATTTTTGTTGGGCACAGCGCATGTGGATTTGAAAATAACAATACGAAAGATTTGGCTCTATTGTTTATCTTTTCACTGAGACGCCTTTGGAGCAAGTGTTTGACTATAACAGCAAGACGAAATAGACAAAGAAACCGACTCGAATAACTGCGCACTATGAATCGTGAAACATAAGAAGGATTCAGCGTTTTTTAATTTTTATTATTTTTTTAATTCGGCGCAAATTTTTGTGTTTATTTTGAATGCATATTTTCGGTTTTTATCGGTGAATATATATACAGCTAAACATGCTTTCATTTTTTTTTTGGCAAATATATACTCTGGTTCTATCATTGCTGTTAACAAAAAATGTCGTAAAAGGAAAGGACCCCAAATAGCAAGCATCAAACTGGAACAGGAATCAAGAAACACGCACACGCAAGAACAAGCAAGTGAGAGATCGGTACTAGGTAATTCGAGCACGTCGTTATAATGAATACTTGAGAACGAAATAATAAGAACCTAAAAGACGTCCACGTTCACGGAGAAACCCTACATTTCACTTCCAATCAAGTCACGATTGCTTAATCTGATTGTAATACACACACATGTTTTTGCCCAGGTTTCCTTCGTTAATCTGCGTTCTCTTTATCCTCCTTATCACCCTAAGTTTAGAGAATACCCTTGGGACACTGACACACAAAACAGGCAAGCTAAGGAGGCGAATTGTTGCAGTACATAACGGTGGCCAATGAAACAATTGTGATGGCCAAAAAACAACCGGTACCACGTTTTCGAGCACAGCTTACTGCAGATATTCACGCATCTCTGGCTGCTGGGCTCGAATTGCGTCAGTGTCACTAGCAGCAAGATTTGAAGGTGCTCTCGTGCATCGAGAAGGCACAGGGCAGTTCGGGCTTCACATTTGGGTCAATGAGGCGTACTTTAAACCAGAACGTTGGCAGTGCAGCGGTGTGCCCCACGCTACCTGAAGCGTTTCTAACGACACTGTCATGTCAGTTTTTTTTTTGCCACAACAATAAAGCAGGACTGAAATGTCTGGGTGAGTTCGGCCCGTCTATCTTCCTTCACGAGGAGGAAGCCTGTTTCCCGCAGGTCGGCCTGGACTCTGCGCCTCTTTGACATAATTTATTTTGTGGGAGTTTTTTTCTTTTTTGGTTACTGCAGAGAGCTTGGGAGAGGGTGTTAAAAGGGGGATAAGGGATTAAGGACATTTCCGCGTACCCTCTGCAGCGCACAGTGCTGCAAAATACACGCCCATACTCTCTCTCTCCCCCCCCCCCCCCCCCCCCCCTCCCGAGCAAAAGGCGGTTGAAGAAACTAAACTTTTCTGGTTAAAACCGAATGCGGCAAAATAACGTCGGCAGACTTCAATCGTTTTATTTTTTTGTTTAAAACAGAAACGCTGAGCCCTAAACGTAAGTAACGTATGTGAAATCGACACAGTCGAGCAAGCCACGCATTTCCAGCGGAACAGCCATGAAGGTCATAAGATTGCCCAAAACATACCCCATTGTAAATGTGTCATTCTTGAAGTCGCTGTCAGACTTGAGATGACAGGAGAAGAATTCGACTTGTTTTTGTGGCTATCCAGACCTTTACGTTTCGGCTAGAATAGATGATCTTTTTCAAGCTGGTACAAACGGACGAATAGGTTTTTGGAACGAATAACGCTGTAGTTACGGAATGGTTTCAGCGGAGCGCGAGTAATAAATAATTCAGGTGGCACCTAATAGTTTTTATAAAACATTATTGGGAACTTATAGTTTTTAATATTATTGAGAAAAACTTGATGTCGTAAGATTAGATCGACATGTTCTCAAGGGATCTGAGACAATGCGTGTTATAGAAAAGTGAACTTGTTGCATATGCAACATACAAATGAATCTCCCCAAATTGATCTAAAACATGCTTTTAACAATACACATTTTAATGTCAGTGTTTTGAGCTCCTTATTTGTATATTCAGTAAAATGAATTCCCCGAAACTGACTCAGTTTGATTCACAAAATTCTTTCAGTCTCGTTCAGTTGTCTTTTTTTTTTTATTTCGATGGTTCCGTTGGGCTTCCGGATGCATACTTGTTTTTCGTCACAGAACTGAGAAAAGAATACGTAAGTCTGCATTTAGAGATATCGTAATTGAAAAAAAAAAAAAAAAATGGCTGCGAAACTTGTACACAGAAACCGCTTACGATCCGGATCTTAGCTTAGTGCTATGGAAGCTCGCGAGGGGAAACAAAGTTAAAGGGGCTCTAAAATCGGTTTCCCCCGGACTTTTAAGGGGCCCTATCATTTCGTCGAAACTCGTTTCGAGGAGTTACGTCTCGTGGACAACTTTTCATGGACGCACGTCTCGTCGTCACTCGCTACGCGAATTGCACGCTGTATGGACATTTCGTCACAAGCGTATCATTGAGGTAGGCGTTGCCCCCCCCCCCCCCCCCCCCCCCCTTCCCCCCGGCCTGCGTTCACGTCGCTTCGCGGCGACAGTATGCGGCGACTCATTACAAAACTGTTAAACCACCTGGCAGACCCGTACACGACGCTTTGCGGCCACAGTGTCATACAGCTTATTACAGAAAAAAAAAGCTAATTTGAGCTGTCGATGAAACGATCTGTCAATGAAACATCGCGTGCCGATGAAACGATCTGTCGATGAAACGTTCGATCAACTAAGTGCCACCGAACTTTCGATAGTAGACGGCATACTTTTGAAAGGAACGAAAGTAGTAATACCCACGAGCATGCGCAGAGAGATGTTGAGGCGGATTCACGCAGACCATTTTGGCATGGTGAAGGGCAAAGTTAGGGCAAGGCAGCTGCGAGTTTGCACTTTTAGGGGCGAAGCTCCTTAGGATCTAGCCTTGTCCGTCCGGCGTCCATGCTCACATCGATTGCACTGCCTCCGGGATCGGCCCACTTAAAAAAAAAGAAAAAGAAACGTACGCCCGCATGGGGCGTTCGAACTCAGGACAGCTTGCTTACGAGGCAGACGTCTTAACCACTAGGCTACACTCCAACTTTTATTTTTTTTTCTTTATTGAACGCTACACTACAACGTTGCATGTAGCCGCTCAACATCTATACAGGAGAGGGCACCGCGGTCAAATGCTCAACTGCGTATATAACCACGATCCATGCCACACATTCTCTTCCTGACATGGACCGTTGACTTAAGCGGTGGAGATGCGTTCCCACGGCTTCCACCGGATCCAAACTGATCCGCTAGAAGAACCACTGGCTCTGCATTTCACCGACCATAAATCAGTAATAATGAAGTCGAAACGGCAACCCGGAACGCAGCACTACCTACGAGCAATAAAAAGAAAATCAGCACCATCAGCGCTACATATGAACAATAAAATCAGTATCATCAGCACCACCAGAGCTTCGCCCCAATCAACATCATTCACCACGTGGAGATGCGGTCATTTTTGCAGAGCTTTACAATTTCAAACATGTGACATCCAGCCCGCACTACCCTCAATCTAACGGTCTAACGGAAACGGGTGTATAAATCATTAAACGGATCCTAAAGAAATAATAATAATAAGAGTTTTATTAGCACAAGATCATACACATACATTGATTACTGCCTCACGAAAGCACTTGCATG